GGAAGACTCTGGGTTGAAGTTTGGGGCGGCCGCTCCAATGGGTCCAAGTTTCTGGGGGCCGGAGCCGTTTCAAACCCAACCGATTTCATAACTAGGCTGGAAAAATCGGACCCCAGCAAAATATTTATCTTTTTTGCTGGTTAGTGGAAAACCAAGGGACCCCAAAAAAGCAAAAAAAAACAACAACAAGGGGAGCTCATTCTGGGGAAGATGAAACGCTAGCCCCGCTTCGCCAACCCTTGGTATGGGCTTGCAAAAAGCTGTGCTTGTCTTGCAGCCCCCGACCGGAAATGAACAGAACCGAAAGCCACTTGCCAAGAGCCGTTGAGCTTGCGTTGGCTCAATGAAGAGGTAAAAAAAACTCAAAATGAAATGACAGCGTGAGATAAACGCGCAAAGAAAGACATGCCACTCCTCCATTTGCTTCAGTCCCCTTTTGGAAAAAAGTCAACACATTTCCAGTATAATTGGTGATAGCGGCGAGAAAGAAACACGTGTTTTGAATCAAATGAGTGTCTGTTTTTAGGAATCGCACCCCAAAAATAAATTTTGGGCTTTCTTTTGGTCTCTCTTCCAAAAACCTACCAAAAAAAAGGGTACCGGGCCTCAAAAAAAACACCCATTCCTTTCCAGCCGCCCCTTCCGTGTTTGTATTATTTTGTGGTGGGTGTCCCTTTAACCCAGTGAAACTAAAAGCTGGGGATCAGAAAACGGACAGCGAAAAACGGCACACCCAAATCTTCACAACCCTTGGCTTGAGCCAACCACTTGTGGTTGTTCGCAGCCCCCGACCCTAAAAATAATCACACAACAAAATAACTTCTGTTCACAAACTTGCCAACCACTTGCCAACCTAAACATGATCAGAACCACAGAACTTTAAACCAAAATTCCAACACTTGATCCAAGTGAGAAGAACTGGGAAGGGATGCTTGGTCCTCCAGTAGAGAGGCTAGAATAAGGGTACTCACTTTCTTCTGTAGTCTCCTTTAGTAGGGGAACCCTCCCACGACTCCCACCCAACAAGGTTGGTGAGAAAGGGCACCTTGCTGGGGGACCTAGAATCTGAACAATCCCCCTTGCACAAAAAAAACAAAAACAACTGGTCCAATGTCAGCCCGGAAGCCCTCCAAAATGTGATATCGGCCCTGTGGGCCGATTCAGAAAACCAAACACTTTCAAACCAACAACTTCATCCAAGGACATCTCATAAGCCGATAAGAAATGGGCTCTGGGCCGGTGGTGTTTTTCTTTGGCGCGTGGGCATCTCATCTCTGGGCTTAGGGCTTCGCCATGCTTCGCCTCGTGGAGGGCCGCGGAGTCGGCCAAGGTGATGCCCAGGCCTTGGGCGTCCAGGTGGAAGACTAGGCCCTTGGTGTGCTTCCTGGCGGCGGACGCGCTTTGCCCGCGCTTTGCGGCTTCGTTGGTTTGGGTTGGTTTGGGGGGGGGGGGGTTGGAGGGGGGGGGTGTTCAGGAAAAGCATTTAAATAATCCTACGTGCAAAGGTCTTATGCCTTCTTTTTTTCAAACAGAACTTGAATATCTCACGGGGGAGGGAGACGTTGGGAGGGCTTGGGGGGAGGGGGGACGCTGGAGGGGGTGGGGCGAGAAGTTTGGGGGAGGGGGGGGGAGAAGTTGGGGGGGGGGGGGGGAAGTTGGGGGGCGGGGGGGGGGGGGGGGTTTGGGGGGTTGGGTTTTGGGGAAGGGTGAGGGAGGGTTGGGTTTGATGGTTTGGTTTTGGGGGCGGAGGCTTGTATGTTTCATGTTTTGGAAGGGTGTGCTCCATATTTGCTGAGGGGGAATCAAACGAAAGAAACACGGCAGAAATTGGTGGCACACGGGGCCAGGTTTAGCGGTGTTCCGTGGGTGGAACGAAAATGGCATGCAAAAGACTAGTAAACGGACACATATTTAGTGATGAGCATAGATAATAACACGTGTAAAGAGGGGGGCTTACAGCAACAAACTTCTGGATGCTTAACACGGACTCCACACAAGAAAAACGGGGAAAAAACAGTCATGCAAGTGGCGTGATTTCAAACAGTCGCAAAATCCTGTGTAGAAGGAGCCTGCTTACCCAAACACAGGAAAAGAATCAGAAGTGCAGCCGCACCGATTTGTGGTCGGGATTGTCCATTTCTAGCCTTCACATAAGCGGTGTTGAGTGTGGCTCTTAAGTGGACATGCCCCCAAAATGAGTGTGTATTCAATGGAGTAACAGGCGTCATACTTGGGCCATCTAGGGTACATGCCCCAAAAAACATCCCATTATTCTAAGCCACACCACCCCATTCTGAAGAGCTAGCCCAATTATCCCCCAAAATGGATGCAACAACAATTGCCATCAAAGCAGTCCACCCCAGCAAAACTAAAACTCAACAATTCCAATTCTCTCCCTTTGCCGACTCCCAGCAGCCCACCAGGCCTCTCCCAAGCAGGGGCGGTCAGCCTTGCCCTTCTTGTTTTGCCCACATCCATGTCATGAATCATTGCCAAGGCGACACTGACAAACATACAGCCCGTGGCTTCACGGCAAGCATTGAAGCATCCTCCTGATAGCACCGCGGGCCCCTCATCAGCCAACCCACCAAAGTGGTGCCCGCGATCCAATTTTCCACAAGCTTCCAATTCACTTCCTCATTCTTTCAATGGGGGCCCACGCAGCAGCCCACGCAGCAGTTGTCATCACTTTCGGGAGGAAAGACCGGAAATCCTAGAAAATTGGATGCTTGGAAAGAATGGGTTTTAACCGAAAATATGGCCTCATACAATACTTCCCCATTCTTTCTGGTTTTACAATTTTCACCCAAAACAGATGCAAAAGCGAAACAAATAACAACAGGGACACACTGATCTTTGATCGAAAGAACGATGCTGGGGGACAGAATGATGGGGTGGGGAAGAAGGGAAATGATCATGGTTGTTGGGAAAGAACGATGGTTGGGGAAAGAACGATGGCCCTGGGGAAAGAACGATGGTTGTAGGGAAAGAACGATGCCCCTGAAAACAGAACGCTGCCAGTACGATCGATGGCCTGCAGTGGCATGACTTTGGTAGGTCAGGGGAAGGGGTTGTTTAGTCTATTGGCCCTACCCCTAGCCCGCAGGACAACTTTCTGCATGCGTCAGTGCTCGCTGCAGAAAAAATCAAAAACTGAGCCGAAACCGGCTGGAAAGACCGATCGTTGCACTGAGTGCTCGTGTGACGAAAGAATGGGGAATCAACCCTTAGAATTATTGGCTTCTAAGTGTATGTGCATTTCGGGTATGTAAGTACGATCTGTATTGCGAGCATGCGTCAAACCGCTGCAGTGGATGCCCTAAATGTTAAGCAACCAAACGAGGAAATCTGCTAATGCACAATAAATTGCGGTGGCTTTGCGGTGAGTGGTTGGTTTACTTGCAATATCTTGGTTGCTGTTGACCCCTCTGCAAAAAGTTTAACTCTTTGTGGGTTTAATGGGAAACCCTTTGATTTCAACCAAAAAGCTAGAGTCTAAAGATCCAACCCACCCAATAGCAGTCAAGTTTTGGTCTTGAGGTCCGGTTGGTGTTTGTGCTTGTTTTGCGCTTTGGTTGGACTTTGGCTTCTTGTTGTAGGCGATCTTTGCGGCAGGCGATCCTTTAGCCCCGCTTTGTTTTGCGCTTTTGTTGTCTTTTGTTGGACTTTGGCTTCTTGGCGCATGTGGATTGGCCTGCTGGGCCTTTGAGACCTGGATGATTGTATTTAGTTCTTGCTCCTCCGATCCCTGCCTCCGCCCATGGATTGTCCAGAAGATGTCCAGAGACCCCCGGCCTCAAACCGAGAAGCGAATGCGAGCCTCCGACATCGGCAGGCTGGACATGTGGCAGGAAAACACGAGGAGTTGAGACCAAACTGATACCTGTTGGTAAGCTGTGAGTGGCTCAGAGCAACTCTGCGAAAGGAGCTCCAGTGTGTCTTGTTCGCGCTAGGTGTCAAACTCGAAAAAACAAATTGCCCCCTTTCGCATTTGGGTGTTGCTTGGGTACGGGTAGGTGTAGAAAACATAGGGGCTTGGACCAAAATGCTGGTTTTCCTGTTGGATTTCCAAGCACCGAGCCTCGAAAAGAGGCAACAGCACTTCTCAAAATGGGACATCCCCCTGGGGATGATTTGTTCGGAAAACCAAAAGGACACCAACCACCTGAAGGATTCCCAAAGTGGCTGGTGCCGGAAAACCTCCCATTTGCTCAAATACAAGCATTTGCTTTTTGGAATCGGGCACCACAAATTGAATAGCCGAAGCTTGTTTGTTTCCATGAACAAAACACAAACAAAAGGTACCAGCTCCAAAAAAATGAGACTGTTTGATGCACGTCCCTACAATCCAGTCAGTTTGTTTTGAGTACATTGGCATGGGTCTGCCTCCAAATCGCTTCGGTTTTCCTCTGGGTGTCACTCTAAACCCAGCAACTCCCAAAAAGACACATAGTGTTGTAGTTATTCTTAAAATTGGTAATTAACCGCAAGCGCCTCATTCGTCCTGTGCGACCATGAAGAAACCAGGCAGTCACTCTCTTCCTAAATGGTTGGCCACAAACAAAGCAACCAAACTGTTCGTTTGCAACTCAAATGTTCCATGCCCAAGTGACTGGAGTCCAGGAACCGAACTCAGGGAGTTAGAGCCTCCATTTGCTTTTTCGTCCCCTGGAAAAAACAACCTGTAACTTGCTACCCTTCCTTCAACCAACATAGCTGGCTGCAAGATCCGCTTCTGTTTAAAGGAACCCCCCTGCGCGGTGCTACGTTAATCCGGGCCGCCCAAAAAAAACCCGCTAAAAGGTTAACTGTTCGTGGTTTACATGGAAACCACCACTGAACACTAAAGCTAAGTTGAGCCGGATTTGGGTGGATCATAATATTTCACCAGCCGGAAATAAGGTGGTCTGGGGGAATTCTCCACGTAAACCAGTTGGGGTGAATTCGGTCGTGTGAGGTCGAAAAAAAATCACCCCGACCGGATGGCTGTTCGCTATGGTGAACACCTGCTTCAGGGCTTTCAGCAGGAAGCCGAAATGGGCCCTGACTTTCAGTCCCGGCTCTGGCAGGTGTGAATTCACTGCATGATGTGGCTGCTTCCGAAAAAACTCAACATGCCGAGAAAAAAACAAGAAAAAGAAAAAAGAATGAACAAAACAGAAGAACAAAAAAGAAGAAAAAAGAAGAAAACAAAAAAAACGGAAAAAAAAAGAAACACAATGACCGCATGGCTGGGAGCCAAGTTCATGGGAGCCTCGCTTCCGACCGAAGATTTCCGGCTCGAGCCGGGCCCAAGGGGCGCAGCCGCGAGATGGAGCCGAGGGATCGGGTAGAAGGCAGCGCCATGATCCTGAGCCGTGCGGATGGGCGACATCCAAATCCTTCCATTTGCGTTTTCGCCCCCTGGAGAAAAACTATTTTTCCAAGTAGTGAAATCGATTCCCTTTAAAACCAGCAAGGAACAAGCACATGATCTTAAGCAAATGGCAAGGAAAAACAACATGCTCTTAAGATCTCTTAAGCAAATGGATGAATCCGTTCGCACCACCTGGAATGATTCGATTCCCCTGTAAAATACCAACAAACAATGGTTTCCTGCACCACGAAATGAAACCCTTGGTTGACTGGTTCACTTTGCCTTGGTTCCAACTTCGCGCTTTGTGTTTGGAGAACTAAAGGACAGACTCCCTCATTTTAGGGTCTCGCCCATTTAGGCCCAACCCCATGGCACCTGACAGGGGATCCTCGAGAAAATGGCCCTTGGGGAAGGCCCCCAGGCGACTCTGGGTGCAAAAAGGAACAACTAGAGAGGTATTTGTTCAAACAACCAAAACAGCTGAACAACTAGGGAGGTAATGTTGCAAATCACAAGCAAGAGGGAAGGAATGTTTCAAACTACCAAAAAAGATGAACAACTAGTGAGGTAATGTTTCAAACTACCAAAACTATGAACAACTAGGGAGGTAAAGTGTTCAAACTACCGAAAGAGAAAACAAAACAACACAGGGAGGTCATATGTCAAACTACCAAGCAAAGAAACAACTAGGAAGGTACTGGCTCAAGTACCTGCATTTTAGGAATGCACAGGGAAGTAATGTTTCAAACTGCCACAACAAACAACAAGCTAGGGAGGCATGTGTTTCAAACATGAAACAATAACTAGGGTTGTTTCAATCCACCAACGAACAAGGACACGAGGACACATTTGTTCACATTACCAACACATGAAGACATGAAGAAACCGTTTTTAAAACTACAAAACAATGGGAATACCATACGTGTCCTTTTTGGAACATATATGGCCCTGGTAGATGATTGAAGCACCAAGTAAACCAAGAATTGCGCTGGATTTTCAACCCAAGCAACCAAAAAGGACACCTGCAAATGTTGCTATCAGTCCAAAACCTGAATTAAGAGATCCCCAAGCAAACGACCTTTGTCATGGTGAGCTCATTATACGCCCAGATAAGCTCGCTCTAAAACAGGCAGACCTCTGGGTAATAGCTGTGGGTGGACGACCTGCGAAACCCTGGAATGATTCGATCTCCCAACGGGAATACCAACAAACATTCATTGTTTCATTTCGTGGTGCCATTCTTGATTTCGTAACCATGCGCAGTACGAGTGATACATCCTGGACCCAACTACATGAACAGAACCCAAGAAAAACAAAGAAGAAAAAAACAAACTTGCCAATAATACATCCGGGCTCCTTATATGTCCCTTTTAAACATCACCCACCAGGCCCAAAAAGGTGATGTTTAAACCCTCAACAACCAGCACAGGGAACGTACATCCAATACATCCCCCACCAATCAAGATGGAAGACCATCTTCCTTTTAGAGGCATCGGGTCCGGAACGTCGAACGGTTCCGTGCGAAAAGAATGGGAGGGCCTTGAGCCACGAAAATGCGGTATGAGATTGTGCGGGGTTCAATTACTCTTTTGCTTTTAGAAAGCTGGTAACGAATTCTTATATTCCAAAATAAGAATGAAGGAAAACATATGTAGGAAAAGAATATGCCACGACCGGAATATTCGCGTTGTTCGTGTCCACTGGACCACTGGACCACTGGACCCCCGGTTTTTCCCGTCCGTCCGAGTGGCCGGGGCGTGGCCTCGCGGTCCAAGCGCTTCCGCGGGCTGCGGGGCGAGGGCGAGCTGAGCCCCGTGAGGCCCCGGCGCCGCGGGGAGGCCCGCGGCGGCTCCTGGCACAAATTTGGGCGTGGGTCAAAATGGCTGTGGCTCAAAAAACCGGTGCCACAATGGGTTGCCCTGGTAAGTGGAAAAAACAAACATTTTTTGCCCGGTGGAAAACAAAGGGAACCCCAAAAAAGCAAAAAAGTAAAAAGGGGAACTAATTTGGGCGTTGGGTCACATGAGACACAATCAAAATAATCAAAACCTGGTATTAAAATGGTGCACCCAATCCAATGTAAAGAACTACAAAGGCGGCCGCAACTAACTCTGGCTGGGACTTCCCCTTACCAACCTTCACTTACCGTACCCGGGATTTTGATTATGACTCACATGGAACTGTTCAACGTTTTTTTTGGGGGGTCCTGGTTTGGACCATTCTCCTGAAGGGACCGGGTCCCGCACGTCAGGTTCCAGGTGAATTGGTTCGAGGGTACGTGGATGGGGGTCTTGGTTCTTCCCTTGTCCATACCATACCCAATACTTTGGTCTTGGTTCTTCCCAGGACAGTCTTGTTTGTGGGGGGGTGGGTGTCCAAGGTGGTCATCCGGATCAACAGTGTCTGACACCTTTGAAAACCCCGCAGCATTCCATGGGCCTGGCAGTTGGGTTTTGTTTTGGCCATGGTCAGAATCAGGTAATGTTGACCCCGGATTAATCAAGCCCTGTTTATTTTTTGTGGGGGTGTTCCCCTCCAAAAGTGACAATAAAACTGGGGACACACCCATATCAATAAACACGGGTTTACTAATCCGGGGACATTCTGGGTCAAAATGAGTCACTAGGATATGGACAGCAGAGTTTAGTCCATGTTTCCATTTACCAGTTTTCCATTTTTGGAAACTATGTTTGACTCATAGGCATTTGAGTCGTAATCAAAACCCGGTATTAAAACAGAAACCAATGGTTTTTTGGGGTTGTTCAGTGGTAATTTAATGGTCTACCCAAAAACCATGTGAAGAATCATGCAGGCGGAAACTCAGTTGTTCAGTGACCCTGGAAAAAGAGGGAACCCTTTTTGGGGCTTGGACCATTTTTAGTGGGGCAGACAAGCACCAAAATAAAAGAGGAAACATAATTGGTGCCGCTGAACAACTGAGCGGTCGTAAAATGGGCGTAATCCCAGAACCATGCTTCAAGAATGAAGGCGGATATCCGCAGCTATGTGTGGCAAGGGGATTGTCCCTAACCTTCATCTACCCGAATCGGCTTTGAGGACGTGGCTCATCTGGTCGACCCCATTTTACTCAACCCGTTGGATGGCTAGGTGCCCTCTAGGATGCTGAAAAAGTACTACAAGAGGACACAAAGAGTCCTGAAAGAAATTGACGGTGTCGCTTTTTTGCTGAGGGTACCTGTCTTGTTTTGTGGTTTTACTAAGGGGTCGATTTCACTAATTACTGGACATGTTGGCTCATTTTGTCCAAGGGGCTTAAGCAAATTGAGGCTTCTTCGGGGTAATGATGACCCCAGATGAATCAACCCCCTAGTTGATTAATAGGTGGGTGTCCACCTAGGTGACATGTGGGGAATCTGGTCATTTTTGGAGGGGCCTCCGCCGGGGTTGATTAATATGGGGTCAACATTAGAGATGTCTTCTTTGGTGAATTGGAGGATGTTTTGGAGGAATCAAAGAAAACAGAACAGGCACACTTGAGCAGTGTTCTTTTTGGTTGTGTGGGTCCTTATCATGTTTCCTTGCTTACGCGGCGCCTACGCCACGCCTACGCCACGCCTACGCGCAACGCAGCAGTCCCACAGACAGGAGCGTCAACGCGAGACCGAGCTGACTCGAGAACTGCCTTCGCCGTCACACAAAAAAAACTCAAATAAAAAATGGCATCCCCCCCTTTAGCAACTTGTCAAGAATTCCAACTTGTTGGTATGGGGGAACACCCCATGAGCGTGTTCTCTGAGGCTTAACGAGCTAAGAAATGGAGGGCCCCTAACAAAGACACGCCCAAATAATTCATCAACTGGCCAATAGCTTCTCGTCCAAATCACTCCCAGCAACGTATGGGCCATGTACCCTTTGTGGCTTGGCGGCATACCCACCACTTATTTGGGGTAAGGGATACCCTTACAGAAGTGAGGGATGCCCTTACAGAAGTCAGTTCCATATTTCAAGTACAACCTCAAAACCTTGGGGGTGGCAAGCACAAGGAAACCCGCACGCCCTCCCTTCTGTTTTTGGGGCGAGGTGAAAGGATGCCTCCCACATGTTTACTATAAGTAGCCGGCAACGGCACAAAGCCTCGGTTGCTTTCTGCTCCCCTGCAAAAAGTGAACAACTTTTAGTGGTTTGATGGGATAAGCATCCATGAGTTTGCAAAAAGTAAAAGCAACATTTTACCAAAGAAACCATCCAACTGGCGGTTTCCTTTTCGCGAATCGGGTTCATTCCCAGATTCCCATGAGTTAACATCCCTTGGCAAAATGCACCAACCGCACCTCGCCTGATAGCTGGAGGGAGGCTTCTTGCTGCCCAGCCAGCGTCGCATCAACCGGAAGGGCGGGAACGCCTTCGGCGGCGAAAACGGCGGGGGTCCCTTGGACGAAGGAGAAAAGCGGAGAAGCGGTTCGCTACCAAACATGTGTTACCCTCCCACCAACTAACGTGGAAGTGCACAGCCCCCTCTTGAAAGACGACCTTGCTCTTGGAAAGGGGGTTTGGGCACTTCCATGTTAGTTGGTGTAAAGTTAATAATCCCTGATTTCAAATACAGACATATCAATGAACATCTTACAGGAGTTGAGAAGCCAATGGGTCCGAAAAAATGAAACACCCAAATGGCAAAACACTGTTTTACTTGTTTGGAACCCGCATGAAATTCCTGAAGAGAAATTGTTTTGGGACCCACAATGAGAGTGTAGAAGCCGCTCAAAGGGGGGAGCGGACCAAACCCTGACAAGTTTCTCTGCAACGACAGGCTGGCAAAACGAAGCTTGGGCCTCAATCACGTCGTTTTAGTCACGGCTCAGCTTGCAGCATGGCACCTCCTCCTGCCCGGATTTTCTCAATTGTTCAGTGACCCTGGAAAAAAAAGGGAACCCTTTTAGTGGGGCAGCCACCAAAAAAAGGAAAAGGGGTGCCACTGAACAACTGAGTTTTGCAACTGCATGTCTCATGTCTGGGTCGTCGCCGCAAACGCGTCGGGTCTGGACCAGCCAAACGACAGCATTTGCCAGCTGCAGGCAACTCGAAAAGTACAAAGATCAGAGCAATCACAAGGTAACATGCTATCGACACGTCCGAGCCAGGCTCAACAATACATCCCCAAGAGCACAAGTAAACAAATAGTGAGTTTTGTTTGGACTTTTTAGTGAGTTTGTGTTGTTTGACGGGAATCAGTGAGGTTGTGTCCTTGAACAAAGTGGAGATCGTTCCCCCTCTGTCCCGAACATTGAATGGACCACAGATTAGTCACACGGCATGGCTTTCTTCCAGGGTTGTAGAAAATGACCGCTAAAAAAGGGCTTCCCAAAGACTGACCCATATTTAGGGCGTTTGATTCCCAAAAGTATCACGGCTGAGAACCAAAGCCCGAGTCAACTGGGCTTGAGGGATGGGTTTGCGAAAGAGAGACCACCAATTCCGGCTTCTGGCAGAATTCTAGGGGACACTTCCCCATTCTTTCCAGGCATCCTGATCTTTCCAGACCACCATCATTGCAGGGAAACCAGCGATCCGGTTTTTGAGAAAAGAGCCGACGGTTGAAACGAATGGAACCGGAAAATCCACCCCTATAGAAGACTCCAACTACCGCGGGTTCTTCTGGGGCTTCTTGCTGCGATTTCAATCCATCCCGGTCCAGGGGCTTGCCAGTCTTAAACTTGATCAATTCCTCGGTTGTTCAGTGACCCTGGGAAAAAAAAGGGAACCCTTTTTGGGGCAGAAGACCGAATTTTAGCATTTTTGGTGGGGCAGCCACCCAAAAAGAAGGGGAAAAAGAATTGGTGCCACTGAAGAACCGAGATTCTGGAGAACCACCCAATGCGGAGAGAAACCCACCCAGTTTACGAGAGTGATCAACAAGCCCTCCAATTTTCTCCCGCTTCGCCTGCTTCTGGGCTCGGCGATCCGTGAGCACATCGTTGAGGATGATGTGCCGGGGCCGCTCTTTCAAGACGCGAACGTGGAGGGCGCCGATCACGGTCTGCAAGATTCACTCCCATCCGTTATTTCGTTCTGTTCTTGTGTTCATAAAAAAACGGTTTATCTGTTCACGTTTCTTTCCCTTATATATATATATATATATATATACATGTTTTTTTTGTTGGGGGGTGGGTGGGGGGGGGTGGGGTGAGGATTTTCCCTTTCCTGGAGGAATTTGTGGGTTGAGCGCACCCTTGTCCTTAATCTTTGGGGCAAACTGGTGGGTGGGGCGGGCAAGCCCGTGAGCGCGTGTCCAAGATAGGCAGAGCCAGCGAGACATGCGTAGGAGGCAGGAACCAAAGTCATGGCAAATTGCGTTGAGTTTGTGTCACACTGACATGTTTCCTATATATAACAGAAGAAGAAAAAAAACAGCTGAAAAGGAAAAGTGCACGTTTGACTGGCCAGTTGTAGCATGGACATGTATGTATAAAAGGAAAATGGTCCAAACCAGGACCCCCCTTTACGTCGGGTTCCATGTGAAAAGGGTGGGAGGGTACCTCATACACCAGCTTTGCAGCAGGAGAAACCTGCTGCCCCTATAACCCCTCCCGGCCAAGCCCGCAAACGACACTCTTCGGCCTCCTGCGGAAGCTCGATGTCGATGATCGTGCTGTAGGCCTGGAACACGTGGCAGCTGCCCCTTAGGGACCCGTAAATAGCTAGGCTGGAAAAATCGGACCCTAGCAAACATATATATGTTTTGCTGGTTGGTGGAAAACAAAGGGACCCCAAAAAAGCAAAAAAGCAGAAAGGGGAGCTAATTCTGGGGAAGATAGAAGGTGTATATTTTGGGTGACGAAAAATGGACATGGAAAAACCCAAAGGTCAGAAGGTCGATTCGCTTTGGACAACTCAGGTTGCGATGTGAACCAATGTGTAACAACCGACAAGATGGCCCATGCATTCGGAGAGCGGGAGCATGCCGTATGCACCATACCTCAGTGAGGTCATTACAACTCAACGCGCCTCAAATCCACAACGCGTTCTTGAAAAATGTGTCATATTGCACGACTATTCTATGACAACACTGTGCTTTACTGTGTTTTGTGAGGCTCTACCAAGAACATCCGTGTTGTTTCGCAGTTTTTGATTCTGAATTGGATTTGACCTGCTTAAAGACCTGCTTAAAGGTTAAACGCCACGTTGTAGTGGTTGCATTCAAAAGTCCTCCAGTTCCACTTTTCTAGTCTCCAGAACAAGGGAAAATGGAACCATAAACCGAATTCCAGGGTCACTTCCCTCCGCCAATTCCATTCTTAAGGGGTTGGGGATAGAAAACACATGGAACAAATACCAAAGGCAAATGTCAGCGCAGGAACTGATACAATCGATCAGCACTTGTTCGTTGCGTGGGGGTCACCAACGGGTGCTCCTTGCTGAGAACGCAGACAGGAAGCTGTCAGAAGCCTTCAACATAAACTCTGGTCGATTCTTGGGCAGCAATGAATGTTGACCCCGGATAAATAAGCCGGTTCTCCTAGTAGGGGTGTTCCCCGCCAAAAGCGATGAATCCCCACTAAAAGGGGGACACCCCTATTTATCAACCCCTGGGGTTTATTGATCCGGGGTTAACATTACTTGGCTGCCCAAAAAAACGTAAATGATTCCCCTGATTCGATCTCTCTGCACACTTACACTCCCGACAAATGTGGAAGCTCCCAGGCCACTGTAAATGGAGGGTAGTTGATGCAACCCTTTTTGAGACCAGAGTCATCAATGCTGGGGGGGGATGGGGCCCAAATAAGCCCCGAATAAGGCCATATTAGGCTTGATAAGGGCTTTGGGCTCCCTCCCTCTCTCCCTCCCCCCAGCCCATGATAGAGGCATCTCGAACTGCTGCATAGCTACGATTGACGAACACCAGGGATTCGCTCGCCTCACTCGCCTTCGCACGCGAAACACTTCCGCGTCCCGCCTCCTCGTCATTCCCCACACCAAGGCGCACCTGCGGGAGGAAAAGAAAGAAACCAGCTTCCCAGTCACAAGAAGGTTCTCACCTTACCCGCGGAGGACGACAGATCTGACAAGGGTCCATGCAGCATTGCTGGCCTTGTAGCCCTAATCCCGCGTGCTGAGGGCGTTCAATTCAAGGGTCTGGACACGCCCCGATTCTGGAAAGCCTTCTGGGCAGGTGCCCAAATGACCTGGAACCAAAAGGTGATCACCTGTTGGGGTCATGGCTGAATATGGACCAAAATAGGAACCCCATGTTCCTTTTGGTTCTCCTTTTAAACCTTCCAGTTCCCCACAAGGTGTACCCCGAAAAAAAAGCACCCCCACATGAGACCTGACGAAGGCTCCAACTCGGAGCCGACAAATTGGTGGTCGAGTCTGTGTGCTTGTCCTTCGGGCAACACTTCGGGAACATTGGGGCAAGGTGGGGGAAAGGTATAACGGCGGTCCGCTTCCGGTGATTTGGAGTGAAACTCCGGTGGACGTTCAACGAATCTTGGCTTGTGACGCTTGTGGATGCTTCCGGTAGCTGGGAAGCCGCCCCTGTCCCATTCTATAACTGGTGAGAGAGAAATCGCGGAGATTCAAAGGCAAACAGCCAGTTCAGTGAAGCCAATGTTGGGGTAGCTATGACTTGGGAAGCGCCCTCACGAGGTGAAAAACCAAAACCCTACTGGAAGTCTGAGAAAGGAACCGCTCGCCGAGTTTCTCCTGGATCCCTTTTGGCGAAAGGGAAACCTGGTCCATGATAGAGAGGTTAGGCTGTAGAGTTAGAATGCTAGGTATAGAATGGCTTGGAAGTGAATAGTGGATATCTTTTCATTTGTATTTATAATCTTAATATCTTATATTGTTTCTCTTTATCTCTGTTCCACCAACATATCAGGTTAAATGGAGATAATTGGGTGGAACAGATATGACATTCCTTTATCCTTCCTTTCCATTATTATCCAATCCCATATTTTCAGGAATTGACTTGGATGGGATTGGGAATGGAAAGGAAAAGAGATTAATGTTCTTCCTTCCTCATCTCTCCACCTTTATCCGCCATATCTTCACCACACCACTCCGTTCCAACTCCAAATGTGAGAGAAATGGAAATAAGATGTCCCAAGGCATTTTTTGTTGTTATGACAGTTGGATTTCATTCCCCATTCCTTTCTACCCGTGGAGATATAGGGAATTAGAATGGTTTTCTTTTCCTTTCCTCGTACCTTCGTCGTTTTCAAGAATTCGCGAGTTCCAAGAGCGAAGAAGGGAGAAGAGAAGGTGAGAGAGGGAATAGTGGGGAAAGAGAGGGATAGAGAAGAGAGTGGGAACGGTTATATGCTGGTCCAAATTCTAAGACTTTATTATTGTCCCAGCTCTTGGTCTAACCGTTCACTCTTCCTCCTTTCCTCATCTCTTCGTCACTCCGGAAAGAACTCCAAGAGCTGATAATGAAGACTGGAATGATAGACGTGGAAGCACTCATCCTTACCAAGCAATCTTGAAGTTAGGAGAATTATAGAGGTGCTTCCTGGCCTATCATTATCTCACTCTTTCTCCATCTTTTCACTTCATCACCATCTACCCGCTATTACATGACGAACGGATAGATGGATAAAGTGAACGATGGAAGGCTACCATGTGACAGCTAATAACCAAGTAGTGAATAATGGATTGGAAAGGAGGTGGCTCTCATATCCCTTTCCTGTCTATTCCTTCTCTCGGTTTCCTCGTTCATCATGACACGTCCTAAGGATTAATCCGTGAGAAGCGGAGAGAGGCATAAAGATGGAATGACCCATTTCTTCCTCCTGTCCTTTCCCTGCGGTTCATTTCCTCGTCTCCTCGCTTGCCACTGACTCGCCGCTCATTTCCTTTCCTCATTGGTTCGTCTCCCTCGCTTTTCCTTCATCAGCCTGTGCCTCGGGGTAATAGCGGAGAGGCGGTAGGGAAGAGAGACATGACCCATCTTTTCACCTCATCACTTCCTCCTTGCCTTTGGCGACGGGTATATTTTTTATTTCTGAGGTTAAGAAGAAGGTGAAAAGATGAGAGGGCAAAGGCAGGCGACATTTAGTAAAGAGAAAGAGATTGAATAACCTGCCTTCCCTCTCCCCCAACCCTTACCAGCCAAGAAGAGAGAAATGGCTGGTGAGATAAAGGGTTGGGTCTGTCTCTTTTTCCTTTCCTTTTCCCTTCCTCTGTCTATGACTTCGGAATCTCAAGGAGAAGGAAAGAGACAGGGGATAGGAAGGGAATAGGATGAGAAAGGAAAAAATAGAACAGATATGAATGAAGATGCCATCCGCTCCCTTCGGTCTCTCGCCACCACTTCTCAGGGGGTTCCAACCACGAAAACTCATTGCCAGTGCCACAAGATCTTTGAAGCAAAATAAGACAAACACACACACACACAAAAAAAGAAGAAAAAAAAGAAAAACGCTTCAACCCCCACCCCCCGCCCAAAAACAGAATCACCAAAGGACCTTCAACCCAACCCCCCCCCCACCCCCCCCCCCCTTCTCCCCAGCTGGGGGAAGGGGTGGTCGGTTTCACCTCCCGGCCTGGAAGGTGCCCTGGCCGCAAATCACCGCGCCCACCGGCACGAAGGGCGCGCTCTCCCCGGGGAAGAGCTCCAAAGCCGTCTCCGGACCCTCGAGCCTCGAGACGGCTCTCTTTCTCAAATTGAACCCCATTTGGAAGACGTGAAAAAAACTTCCTGGGGTGGTTGTTTTTTGTCTGTTTCTCGTTTCTCGTTTCTGTTTTTTTCATGTTAAAAACGTCAAAAAAAAACCATGGGGTTGGTTTGATTGTTGCTTGTTGCTGTTTTTTTTGGTGCGGGGGGGGGGGGTTAATTGTGGTTGTTGTTCTTGTTGTGTGTGTGAGATGGCTTTTGTTTTTCCATATGTTTTCGGTTGATGGTTGGCCTTTCTTCGGCGCACGTCCGGAGTCCTGAGCGGATTGGCCAGAAAAAGTCACCAAACAAATGTTGTTTGCCACCAGAATGGCAACCAAGCCCAAAACGTGACTCGAAAGCTCCGAAACGGACCTCCGGAAGTGAGAGAAGAGATCCACATCCTCTCGCTCCCTTTCTTCGCGAAACAGGATGTGGTATGACTCACTTTATCTCCAGACCCAGACTCACCTTGAGGATAGATAGGGCTGGTCTATAGGTGAGTCTGAGAGATGGAAAGGGACGGATAGACAGGTTTCCGGCAAGAGGACTTACTACACCACATCCTTCCATCACATGCCTCTCAACCAAAGGGAGATAGAGGCATGAAGGATGTGGAACAAGAATGAGAGAGATGAATGGCATTCCATGGAAATATCTTAGGTGAGGAATGCCATGTCTTTCAAGTCTCTAATCTCTTTTCCTTTCTCTATCTCATGCCGCTTCCAATAGTATTTATTAGCGGCAGTTCCATGAGATAGGGACATAAGGAAAGGGTCCCTGCTCTTCCCATCACCAGCTATTTACTTTCATAATATCGTTCCATGCTCCATCGAATTCCCAACTAAACATCAAGGGAAATCAGAATGGAATGGAAAAGGAATGAGTGAGAGGAAAGAGATACAATGAGATGCTTTCCAGAGAAATCCTTTGGCATCTCATGCTTCTTTGTCTCTTTCCTTTTCTATTTCTTCCTAACTCCTTCCCAAGCCATCCAACAGCTACACAAAGGCTTGGCAGTTTGGAAATGAAAGGATATGTAAAGACAATGGGAAATGAGATGCAATGAAGCCTAAGAACAGTATCTCATGGACATCCTTACATCTCTCATTTCCCACCTTTCCCTTTCTATCTACTCGGTCTTCATGCTTCCCAACCTTACATCAGGTTCTCCAGCTACCGTGTAACACCTTGGGATTTGGAAAGGGACGGGAGGTGAGAAAGAGAACCATGCCACCTCCTCACTCATCTCTCTCTCTCTCCCTTCCCTAACTCGCTCTTGGACAAGTTCTCGATAACACGGTGATAGACGGTGATAGACGAGAATGGGAAAGAGGGAAGTGGAAGGGCTATCTCTCTCTCTCTCTCTTCACTGTGTGGGCTTGCAAAAAAAACCGTCTGTTTTATGCATACTGAAAATGAACAGAACCAACAACAACAAGAAACCTACAACAGTGAGGCAAGGAGACACGCTCGAATGGACACCTCTGGTGGACTTGTTGGTTTTTTTGGATACAGGTGGTCATCCGGATCAACCGTGTCTGACACCTTTGAAAGCCTCTTACCATTCCATGGGCCTGGCAGTTGGGTTTTGTCTTGGCCATCGTCATAATCAAGTCATGTTGACCCCGGATTAATCCAGCCCTGTTTATTAATGTGGGGGTGTTCCCCTCCAGTGAGAAATCCTCGCTAAAACCAGGGACACTCCCATATTAACAAACCGGGGTTTACTAATCCGGGGTCAACATTACCAACACAGGGCCTTCCACTGGCACACTGGGGGGCTGGGAGTTGGCAGTGTTTGCTTTCCCAGAGAGCTGGAAGCTGGGTTCTAACTTCTAAGGAAGGGAAAGTGATTTGCGAGATTGACGGCTGGGTGCTGGGGGGCGTGCAGTTTGAGGTGCCTTTTGTGGGTGCTGGTGCAGGTGCTGTTTCGGGGTGCTGTTTGTGGCGCTGCTTGAGGTGCTGGTGGTGATGGCGCGGGCGCTTTTTTGCCGGGTGCTAGGGGTGGGGTGCTGAGGTGCTGTCTTGGGATGCTGCTTGAGGTGCGGGCGCATTTGTGCGAGATTGACGGCCGGGTGCTCTGGGAGTGCTGTTTGGGGGTGCTGTTTGGGGTGCAACACTTTTGCGATTGATGGCAGGGTGCTGCTAGCGGCATGCAGTTTTGCTGGTGCGGGTGGTTTTGGGGGACCTAGACGGGCGCCGGCAGGGGGCATGCATTTTCGGAATTCTTGTGGTGCTGTTTTGGGATGCTCTTCGGGCAGTGCTGCATGCTGGTGTAATTTTAAGTCGGTGCCCTTCTTTTGCGTTGGTATTTCGATTCAAGGGGACCCACCAGGAAACCACAAGTCTAGGAATTGGTTCCCCTATGTTCAAAAGGTTTCCCCTTGGGCTTCCCGAACAAAAACAACCCAAAAAGGGCTACCCTCCAAAGAAAGCATTCCTATGTGCCAAAATAGGAGGGCCCCTGCAAAAAGGACAGTGTTCCTAAATTGCAATTGTTCCAATGGGCAACTGCCACAGAAACAACGGTCTGCTGGTTTTGCCTGGGTGTCTTCTCGTTTCAGCAACGTTGAAGGGTGTAACCATCGAGTTCGCTGTTCAAGGCAACAACATGAGGGTAGCGGGCTGACGAACAAAGACCTCTCACAACAAACGCACCTCCTACACATGATTTCACCAAACAAGTCCGCCGATTTGTTTCAGAAGTGGAAGGGTGGAATCCACAGAAAATGATCACAGGTCTTTCTTAGCCTGTCAAACCAGGTAGAAGAAGTTTCCAATGTGGACCCCGGATTGATACACCCCTGTTTATTAAGATGGGGTGTCCCTGGATTTAGTCGGGATTTATCACTTTTGGAGGGGAGGTGCTCCCCATATTGATAAACATCCGGGGTCAGCCTTGGATCTGGGGTCAGCATTAGGTGGCATCCCATGTCTTGCGCCAAAAGGCTGGCGCACGGAGCACACCATGTGGCTGACGTTCTCGAAGAAGTAGGGGCAGCTGGTCTTCACGTAGGGTCGGAGCTCCACCACCAGGAAATCCGAGACCGGGTCCTCAAGTCCAAGAAACGCATCGGCGGTTCGTCGCCTTTTTTTCAGTCTACCCCAACAAGGGCAACAAAAAGGGCATGCGTAGCTCAAATGCCTGGTGGATTTCCATGGAAAAAAAAGCATCGGCATCCTTTTTGTTGGTTGAGTTTAAAGGGAACCCTGGCCAAAACAGGACAAAAGGGTGCCACTAGTTCAACTAGGTCCTCCAGTAGAGAGGTTAGAATAAGGATACCCTTTGTTCTGTAGTCTATTTTAGGGGGGAACCAACCCTCCCCCCAAAAAGTTAGTAAAAGGGCACCTAGCTGGAGGGCACCTTGCCCAAAAAAAGGAAAACAGGGTGCCGCTGGGCAACTGGGTTAAAAGGGGGCCTGAAAAGGCGACATGTGTCGCCCTCCCGACAACGGTTCAGCCTGCCCTGGGACTATATGTCCCTTGCATGTGGTGCACGTTACAAACCTTGGTGTGCTAGCAAACAACTTTGCGTTTTGCAGCCCTACTAAAACGAACAGAACCAAAAAACAAAATCGCAAACAACTTGCCAAGAACAGTGAATAAAGAAATCGGTGAGAATTGCTCAGAGTCGAATTGTTGTCACACTCTCCCTCCCATGCCCCTGCGAGGTGTTGTTTGGCATTGGGGCAGCTCTAGCGCAGGGTTCACTGTCTTCTGGTCTCAAGCTGTCACGTTGATCCCAACATAATCTGAGCACACGTGAACACCCTCGAACAAAGAAGCCCAAACGTGATTTTATCACAACTTGCAAAAAAAAACACCTCGGTAAGCCAGGATTCTGTTGCTTGGTGAAATCTGAACTGTCGAAAAGCTATGCCAATGCATGGTCATTTGGGGGCAAAGTATGGATGGGATTTGAGTGAGTCGCGGACCCTTCATTTACTTCCATTTGCTTGAGCCCATTGGAAAAACAAAAATATTATAGTAGTGATAGATTCCCTTTAGAACCAGCAAGGGAAAAGACAATGTTCTTAAGCAAATGGATGTTTACCACCATCTGCTTACAGGACTCCTAGCTCCGACAGGCTCCTAAGCAAATGGTGATCTCCAGCTGCTCGGCTCCCTTCCAACCAGCTAGATTACCCAACGGGCCCAGTGGATGGCTTGACTGGAAAAATCAAAAGGAAACCCTGAAAAACCAGAGGGATCACCATCTGAAACCCGCGTGGACCCTCGAAACCCCCAACTTCACCACCCAAATCCCTACCCACCTCACCCTGTCCTTTGGCAAAAAAAGATGGTTCTCTCCTCCAAATAGGTCAATTTAAACCAGCGGAAACCATTTATTTTGAGCCAAACCTAAAAAGGACACCTATGGTTCCCGCCGAAATGCATACAGGAGACCCACTTGGACTTGCGAAACTCCCAACTTCACTACCGAAAATCCCCACCTACCACCCCACCGCACCCGCAAATCCGATCCAAATTCGATCCAAATCCCCCAAATAGAAGCGCCGTATTGCTACCCTTGGTATGGGCTTGCACAAAACTGTGTTTGTTGCGGCCCCAAACCCAAAACATGAACAAAACAGGTAAACTTAAAAGCCGAAACAACTTGAGCCAAGAACAGTGAAGCTAGGCAAGGGAAAGTCGTCAATGTGAAAGTTGTGATCATCATATGGACCCCTTGAACCCAAAAAACCATTTGCTTACGTCCCCTGGAAAAAATAAGAATAATTCCAGTAGTGAAATCGATTCCCTTTAAAACCAGCAGGGACAAAAACAACTTAACCAAATGGAAGCAAATCCGCGCCTTCTTCACGTCCACCATGGTGATCTCGAAGACGGAGGTTTGCCCCGCCCCGCCGCTCTGCATGTGCCGCAGGAAGCCCCGGTGACCGGCCAGGTTTTTGGTCACCATGATGGGCGCCGACCACGCCGCCGACGTTCCCGGCGTGCCTCAAATGGGCAGCAAAAGGCTGAGGGTGGGTGGGTGGGTGGGTGGGTGGGTGGGTGGGTGGGTGGGTGGGTGGGTGGGTGGGTTTGCACGATTGTTTGGTTGTTTTAAAGAAAGACCAAAAGGAAAACCGAAACCATTCTTGGGGGGTCCGATTGAAAAATGACACACCCAAATGGGTTCAATTGGGGTGCTACAGACATGCTTGGTGCAAGCTGGGTGAAAGAAGATGGCGCTATTGCTATGTCCGTCAGTACCCATCCTCCAACAATCATGGAAGCCGATCGGTTCCTTTTGGGAAAGTCCCCTGTCAATTTCCATTGTTAGAAAGAGGGAAACTGAAACATAAAGCATACATGGGTAGGTTTTGCCACCACGCCGGGGAACACCTGAAGATGATTTGCCAGAGGTTCTTCATTCCCTTTTTTTGTCCGGTGATTTTGGAAGGGACGGACACCCAAAAAGAGAGTAAAGATAAACAATATGATACACATGTATCAATTTTAGATATTCACAAGCAAACAAGACTGAAGAGAACATTAATCTATCAATATATATATATATATATGTATTTGAAAAAAAAAACACAATCAAACACTTCTCAACTTGCTGGTCAAGGGGCAGCTGGCAATCTGCAGCATTACCTGCTCCCAGGACTTTGAATCCCGCTGGAGGCAAACTGAGCCCTGGTGAGGCACCACGATCTCCTCGGATCGCACCAGAGATCCGAACATTTCAGGTGCCCAGAGAATCTCAGTTGTTCACTTGGGTGCTGTAAATGCCCCAGCAAAAAGTTTCACTGTTTGCTGGTTAAAAGGAGATATGAAGGGACTCCAAACCTTAAAGTCTAATAGCGGTAGAGTTCAGTGACCCTGGATAAAAAAGGAACTTTTTTTGGGGAAGATCATTTTTAGTGGGGCAGCCACAGAAAAAAGGGAAAAAGGGCGCCTCTGAACAACTGAGTAATTGCACTTTGCGTCCAGATATGCACGCTCCGCCAAAATGCCGAGGCGGAATAATTGGGTGTTATTCGGTGTCGCTAGAATCCGTTTGGGAACCGCCCTCTTCAGAACAACACATGCGACTGACCGTACTCAGTGCGACTGCTGGAAGGGAAGCATGGGTGAATCCGCTGTTCCACGGAAAATCACCGTTCATATATGAGTTTTGTTTGGGAATCGCCCTCTTCAGAACCACAAGAATCCGAACCTTGCTGTGTACGACCGCTGGAAGGAAACATGGGTCAAGCCGCTGTTTCACGCAACAAATCACCATTACGTATGTTTCCTACACATGGGTGCGTCTCACTTGAACTCCTTGTTTGGTCTGCAAAGGGGCGCCATCCATCTCCAACTGCTCAGCGCCACGCAACTGCGACGACTTTCATTCACCGAGTGGCTGTACTCTTCGTGCCGGAGCGTACCAGCAGCGCGTGGCCCTGGAAACAGCCATATCCAGCTGTGGGCTCTTGCCATGGACAACTAGTGAACATATATGTCGCCCAAATCAAGCTGTATATCCTCTTTGGGGCCTGAAAGTACTACAAAACCCCCGAACAAGTACTCTAACCATGAAACTCGTACATCACATTTCATGTACTACCCAGTCTGCTGGCCAGAAAAGCCTTCCGGAGGGGCAATTGAGGTCACTGTGTTTTGGAACCAACCGCGGGCCACATGTTTGAAGAATCCCTGGCCATGAAACGAGCTTGGATTGCCCTTTGCTCACGCCTGCGTCATGGTCACTTGCGGGAATGCCTGGTTCATAAATGCACGTAAGACTTTTATATCCATCTACGTCCAGAAACATGGGCACTGGTGGAAAGAAATGGTTGGGCAAAGCGACGATCCAATGAGCTGCCCACATCCCCAAGGAACAGGCTTCCATGCAAGATACCACACGCACACACGCGCAAGGGTGTTGGGAATAACCGAGTCCGGAAGTTGGGAATGAACCGGTTTGGGGATTCCCGAAGAAAGGTAAGGCTCTTCCAGGATTCCATGAGTCAACTTCCAATGCTGGAGTTCCAGTGATCAAGTCGATAGGCACATATAGTTGTTTGTCCTTGTGCTACAATATATGTCAATCACTAACCCCAATTGAATACTTTCAATCTGCAAACAAATTCATGAGTCCAAACCAAACGTTGGCATATTCATGGGGCTCAAGCCCGTTCCGAACTTCCAAACATCCACCCGCACCCGTCACAGGATCGAAGGGCTTGCTATGGCTTTGTCGCCAGTGAGCGGACCTCTTGCAAGAAACAATGCAAACCGAAGCAGTCCGGAAGCCTCGCACACATGGGTGACCTCTGGCTGTGGGTCACAATAGGGTAACGCCAAAATGGTTTGCCCTGGCAAATGGAACCAAAGACTAAAACCTGCGCTTTCCTGGTGGGGCCCAATTATGACCCACACCCCTCTGGCAACCACTCAATTCTGTGAGCTGCTGCTTGCTTTTCTAGGGGTTGATTCCCCATTCCAATCAACCATCGGTCTTTTCAAAAACCAGCTGATTTCCCTGGGTGTTGATTTCCTAAAAGAAGGATCCTGGAAATGGAAAGAATAACAAGGGGAGCTTCCCCTAGAGATTCGGTTTCTTCTCTTTCGTTCGCTTTTCTTTGGCTCACTTCCTAAGTAGATTGGCCAAAACAGTCCAACCCCAAACCCAAAAAGTGACCAATTAAACATCTCTACTCTTGGTATGGTAGCAAAAACCTGACTGTTTTTTGCAGACCCCCAGTAAAAATGAACAGAACCAAAAAACCAAAAAAACGAAAACCATGATCCAAGAACAGTGCAGTAAAGGCTTTTCCAGCCCAGAGCCTTCAGGTTCGAAAGCCGGCAGTGCGGGTGGATGTGCACCTCCCTCGAGCCCCGCGAGACTTTGGTCTGGACCAGGAACTCCTCGGCCAGGCGCAAGTTTAGGAGCCGAAAAAATCGGTTGGACCACTGCGCAAATTAACCTGGAACCCGAAAAAGGGGGGCCCGAAAAGGGAAAACCCAACTGGAAACCACCAGTTTGGGGGTGTTCCCCAAAAAGGGCGTCCTCTACAAATCGTGGTATTTGTCTTCTCTCCCTTGAAATTTCCATTTTGGAACACCTGAAACCTAGAATCTGGACATCAGAATCCTGGAAATGATTCTCCAAGCCTCATACTTTGGAGCTGGGAGTCCTCCAACATGTCCAAACTTGAATTCTTTTTCAAATAAGGTTCGACTCCGAATTGAATTGGAATGTTGAATAGAATTTAGTAAGGACATAGTTCACCTCAACTCATAATTCACCATAGTCTCTATATTTAATGAGACTTTGAAAAGGAATTCCTTTCAAAATAAGGACAAACAACATTTAAGTGGAGTTTAAGTATACTTTAATACAGACAGAACTCGATTGGCGTTGAATCATAAAAGTTGAATTAGATTGGCTTTGAATCATGAAAGTTGAATTAGGAATCCCTTCCCAAATGTGACTTAAATTTGAATAGAGCTTAAGCATGTGCAGGTCTCAGAGCTGTCATGTTCGGGAGATGTTGTGCTTTTGGGTCTGTGCTGGTTTCAGAGCTCAAAGCTTCAATGTTTGTTCCCTGGTGTACTCAAAACCACTGTAAAAACCGGTGTTTTCAAACAAAGCCAGACTCGAATCTGAAAACGGATTCCGTTTTCGCTGTGTTGCCTTTCCAACACGTGCTGTCATATATAGAAGGTAGAGAACCAACAACAACACTGTATTTTACAGTGTGTTCAGGCATTTGCAAGAACGAGGCACACAGAGTAGAGTTGACACCTTCAAGTACAAGAGAGGAAGGTCGGCCTTGGGGGGGTGACCATATATATAATGATAAACTCCTTTTACAACCAACAGAGGAAATCTATTCGTAAGCAAGTGGAAGCGCCCCTCCCAGCTAAAAAGGGGGGGGGGAGCACTGCTTCCGGCTTTTGGAAGTCATTTGGATCTCGGTCCTCGCGGAACCACCCGGCAGTTTGCCCGGAGGGGGGGCGCTCCACCAGCAGAGGGGGCGAGTGCTCCTCCACCATCCCCACCTCATAGCTGTGCCTCGTGACTCGATCCACGCAATCGACGCACGGCTTGGCTTCGTTTCGATCCCTGGCCGTCGGAACGGTGAAGCTAAGTCATGGGATCGGCTTCGTTTCGATACCTGGCCGTTGAATCTAAATCATATTATCATACTCAAACAGGTGGTGTCTTTTTCAATTAGTTGCCCCTTATAAGTCATAACTTATAAGGATGGCCTCCCCTTAAATCACCATGTAAAGAGTAGTTCAAATCTGTCTTATGGACTGAGGACTAATTCATGTGGGCGGTCTGTTTTCGGATCCCTGCTAACAGTGAATAGCTTGTGGTTTAAATGGAAACCCAACCGCGAAAAATAGACCAGAAACCTCGAACAAACCTAACTTGGCCCAGAAAACGTTGCCTGCAGGCTAAACCACTAAAACGGGAAGCTAAATGGAACGCTGGCCATGGACACCGGAAGCTCGTCGGAATGCTTGTGGCGCGGGCTAGAGAAAGGCATCCATAGGACCAAGCAACATAGGCAAACCCATGGAGAAGTCGCCCCCACCAAAACTGGGAAACGCCCCATCCTTCGTCTTTCTGCCGATTTCAGGAAGGACCCACTGGACAAGGAAAGGGCTCAACTCAACCACTGAGGTCAGAGAATCTCGACAGGTCGGGCGGATTTTCTCCTCCGGCTCTCCGTGCGAAAAGCGAGTGAACGAACCCCAGGCCAGGAGGCTCTTTGGAGCCCAAGCGCAGCTTGAGCTTCTGAGGCCCTTCCTGGGCGCAAAAACCGAACCCCAGGTGTCCCGTTCGATTCTCCGCCATTTGGAGGTGGGTCAAAACCGCGCCCTCCCTTACCCCCAACTTCCCTATAGTGGACCAAACAACTGAGGGGTGAACCCAAAAAATGGGATCTATGATCTAGGTTTGGACCCACACCCCATTTTGTCCGTCAAAAGGCCCAAATCCCGACGGCATGTGGTTCCCCTCGCAACTCCCTGACAGGCCATTGCTTGGCCTCGCTTAGACCCCGTGTAAATGGCAAACTGTTTGCTTGAAATAGGTACCCAAAATGGAACCCTGGTAAATGGAAACTTGGACTACAACCTGCGGTCCATATCCTGATGGTTTAATTTTGACCCACACCCATATGACGGCAACCCAAAAGGGCACAAAGGGCATTTTTTAAGTTGGGCAATGCGTGGTTTAACCCCAACTTGTTTTGCCCACGGAAGGACAATGCTGGAGCTGCTGAAAACCGATTGGCCCTTAAAAGCTGCGTCCGTGTGCCGCCTTTCAAGAAGTTGGGCACTCAGATGTTTGCCACTGCACTTGGGCTCCTGTTTTGAGCCACACCCAACTGTGCAAAAGCGCAAGCCGGGGTGTGGTGGTTTTAGTGGGTGTTCTCCTTTTGGCTTCCCTTCAAAGACTTCCATTTGCTCAAGCCCCCTGGAAAAAGCGAGGGGAAAAACAAAAACATGTTCTTGAGCAAATGGATGAAAACCAACCAAGGGGTGCACCCACAAAGACAACCCAAGCCCAAAAAAGCTGCCTCCAGGCCGAGCGCACCGAGGGGCGGGCTGGAACCAGCAGAAGCTCATGCGGTGCTCCGGCGCCAGCTCTAGCGCCGGCGCGCCCTCACAGTCCTGCAGCCATTTAATTTGCTTTTTCGGTCGTCCTATACAAGCAAACTGGCTCACACACAACAGGAGACATTGTCCGAAACTTTGGATCAGACCACCCGCTTACTGTTGACTTTCCTTTAGCAGAACCGCAGCATGGGCACTTTTTGCATGGCCGTTGAGAGCAACATGCGGAATTCACCCCACTGCATTTTGGGCTTGCCCCAAACCACCAACCTCCAATTGCTTTTTAACTCTCCAGTAGCGAAATCGATTCACTTAAAAACCAAGAAGGGGAAAGAATCAAGAATACTCTCAAAGCACATGCAAGGCCATCGGACGCGGAACAGCATTCAGCCGCGCCTTTTTCTTAGGGGACTTCCCCGAGTCCCCGACCCACCCCAAAAAACACAAGGGGGGGACAAGCCGTGGTTTTCCTTTTGGCATCCCTCCCGGTTAAAAGACCACCACAAAAGGGATAGCCTCAACAAAAAGCAACACTCAGCCACACACTCAGCTTGGTTTGGAGCCTAGTGGTTTGGAGGTTTGGGCAGGAATCATGAGCAGTTCAAACCGCCAAACCTTGCCTGAGGGTTGCCTGAATGCTACCCTGCGCTGAAAACACAAGACATTCTGGGCAGAATTGGTCACAACCGTAGGTCCCTACACGTGAGACGTGAGATTCTTTGAGCAAAGGCTTGGGTAGCTTGAGCCATTTCATGCAACAGACCCAATGCGGCACCCTGCGAACTGACACACCCAAGTGTTCCGTCCTGGGATTCTGTTGCTGCTGCTCATGCACATTCAGCGCCCATGGGCTCTTGCAGGTGAATCAATGCCCGTGCCGTATCGATCACACTTTGAATATATACCAAGATGAAGCAGCTCAAAACCAACCAGTGACTCAACGCCAATGGTCTCGGTTCAAATGCGTTTTCCTGAACCCACCAAAAGCTTGGCAAAAAGGACACTGCGCATTCTCAGGACCTATGGTGAACAGATGTTAAAAGGGGATGTATATCCACCAACCACTCAAAAGCCATGCAAGTTATATAATCAAAACAAAATCCGCTGAAGGCTTTGGGGCCAAAGGGGATGTATATACGCACCACTCAAGAGCCACGGTCTATTCAAACAAAATCAACGAGCAATCAGGTCAGTCATAATCAAAACCCGGTACACAAATGGTCTACCCAGAACCATGCTTCAAGAATTAAGAAGGCGAATTTCCGCAGCTATTTATGGTTGGGATCGTCCCCTTACTAACCTCCATCTACCCGGGTTTTGATTGTGACTTAAATGACTGTGTCTTCTTTTCAGTGAACCCCCAAAAATGGGTGGTTGTCCTTTTGAAAATCCCTTTAAAACCTTTTACCGAAAAGGGTACCCGGGTTTTGAGGACGTGGCTCAGGTGGATTTTGGCCGACTCGCTCCTGGCGCAAGCCCACCGCATGGCCCGTGCGGTTGATGATCCGGAACTGTGGCCGCAAAGGTTCGGAGAAGCGCACGACCTGAGATGAGACACGCCGGCGGATCCCCGCGGCATCGTCCCTTGGCCTTTTTGGGACCCCATGGGAAAAAAACAACAACAGAAAAACATATTTGTCCAGCAGTGAGAATGAATCCCTAAAAAACACACATCTTACATTTGCTTTTGCGCCCTGCGGAAAAAAATACTTCCTGTAGCGATAATTAGGTTCCCTTTAAAACCAAACAGGGAAAATAAGCAATAGTCTTAAGCAACTGGAAGTTTTGCACACAGAATCACAAGGTTCTTTTTGGAGGACCCCTTTTGGGGTTCCACTCTACCTTCCTTTCGGCCGCTATTTGAGAGGTGGGATGATGCAGGTGCCGCTCTGTCTGGCTCAGGTACATGCGAGAGGTTGCTGCAGAAAAGGGTTCCACTTTTGGATTTTTCAAAGAGCGAGAGCCAAGTCCCGGATTGGCTTCCCCTGACCTCTGCTCCCCCTGAGCACAGATTCCACAAAACCCACGTGCGGGAACCAGGCTGCCGTGAGGAAAAAAGAGTCGACAGCAGAATTTAGTCAGTCAAAACATGGTAGTATACACGCCTACCCAAATCCAAGAATAGAATAAGTGCGGCCGCCCGCTATTTTGCTCTGGGACCGTCCCCTCCCCGATGGCTCAACAGAACAGTTGCTTTGAAGCTCCTCAAATTTGATTGACCTCCTTTTGAACCAACTCTCAAAGGCGCACGGTCGCAGCCCCACCGGTCCATCCCTGGCATAGCCCGGGCGCCACAGAGCCTTGCTCCTGGGAGGGGACCCCACCTGTCCCCTGCAACCCAACCCTCCCCGCCCACCTCCAGCACAACTTCCGAAAGTGAAGAAAAACGCCTTTTGATGGTAGTGTCCGCCATTTGCAGGCAACTTTGGAGGATCTCACTACACAACTCCCATATCACCTTTATCCCCCACCCCTCCCCTCGACCCCCCGCCAAACCTCCAACCCCCCGCCAAACCTCCAGCCCCGCCCAACGCGTCTCTCCCCCCCCAAGCCCACCTCAACCCCCAACCACCCTCCCTCTCAACCCCCCCCACCCCCCCCACCCCCTCAACCCCCCACCCCCCTCAACCCAAGCCCCAAGTCCTTCATGATATCCACCGCCGTCAAGCACCAGGCCCTGCCATGCGCCGTGGGCGCCTCCACCGGTCCCAGCAGCGGCTCCGGGCGCGCCAGCTCCGCCTTCTGCAGACCCACCGCCTGGCCCAGATCCATCTGGTGCATCAGCTGGAACCGGCTCCTGAACCCAAACCAACAAAAACCCAGGCGCGGGCGTCTGTTCTTTGGTGGGGGGGAGGGTATCCGTTCCTTGATTTTGGGGGGGATCCTTTGTTTTGATTGCTTTTTTTTTGATTGGGGGGTTCCTTAGATGCAGGTGGGTGGCTCGTCCTGAACCAAAACCCGGGAAAAGGGAAAGAGGTAGGTATGTCCCAGGTCCTAAGTTTACGGAATCCCGCAACGCACAGTCCAAGTAGGAACCGGCTCCCAAGCCAACAATCGGGCAGTCTGGGCTTGGGGGGTTGGGGGGGGGCATTCTTGTGTGGTTGGCTCGTCCATTTGTTGGGGTTGGTACCCCTTGTTGGTAGGTGTTCAAGGGAAACCGAGAGGAACTCCCTAACAAAAGACACAACCCTTTGTACTTCTCGCCAACTTTGGTGGCACATCTTGGTCGATAAACGCAACACTGAGACACATGCAAAGAACTGGCTCTTGCGGCTCATGAGGTGAAAGACGGGGGTTCCTATAGTTCCGACATCTCCAAGAGGAAACTCGTCCAAAAGTGGCCAAAAAAGGTGACGTACGTCTTCTCAATCTTGGTATTAGGCATCAAAGCTTGTTTAAGAAAATAAACACACAACCAAAACACATGCAAAGACCTGGCTCCTGCCGTGAAAAATATGTACATTGCAGCTTTAGGCCGTCTTGTTTTCGCAAGCCAAACGTTGACATAAGATGGTGTATGCACCATGTCGTGATATTGCTGGTGTCACATGATCCAACATAGTTGGAAAGCAAATTTCACAGCGGGTTTAAGTACCTGCGAATTGCGTCACCCGCGCCGGCTCACGTGGGATTGGGGTTGGCTGCTGCGAATGGCCATGCTGCCAAAGTTGTGGCTTGTACCAAAGCCATTGGGTAGGGCTTCATACAGACGTGTGGTATGGTGGATGGCTGCGAAATCGCTTCGCATCACGAAATGCAACAACGGTTGAAACCATAATGTTTGTTGGTATTTACAGGGGGAATCGAATCATTCCAGGGTTTTTGAACGGTTGTGCAGGATTTCGTCCATCCACGGTGTCAAACAGCGCGCCAGAAACAGTCAATTTGAGGTAAGAGTGACTAATTGATCATGGCTCATGCCAGCGAATCATTTTATTAGAGTGCGAAGCATATATTCCGGCTGTAATCATTCGGAGACACATGCATTGTGCTTTGTCTCCAAATGGATGCGGCCCTAGCAGTCTAGACCGGGTGGTCCCGTGGGATTTCACGAAAAAACAGCCAAAAGAAGAGTACTGAGACCCAAACAAGACACACCGAACTCATCCAATGGTCTCCTGCCACTCTCAGCCAACACAAAGGGCGCAGAGTATAGCTCTTGCTCGATGGCCCGCTGGGTTCGGCTGTGCTCCTCGAACTGCTGACCTAGCTGAAGCCAAATCGTCGGTCAAACGACTTGCACAAAGCTTCATGGAAACAAGCTACAGGAAATTCTACAGGAAACTAGCCAAATTCCCACCAAAATCAGGGGTTTCCTGTAGAACTTTCTGTAGTTGGTTTCTTAGAAAGTTGAACTCTTTGCTAGTTGAACAGTTAGGGCGAAAGGTCGTACCAACGAGCGAAGACTGGTTTACACAGACTTACTCGCACAGTGCTGGGTTGTAGGAAATCATATTTGCCTTGCGGTGTGTATTGATGTTATCCGGAACGCCTTGCACAATAACGGTGCCGCTAGGCATCTGACCGGACGGAGCAGTGAAAGTGACGAACTGTGATACAATACAGGAAGCATTTACTCTTTGCTTGCCCCAGAATAATATTGTCCAAATTGAACTCTGAGCGAGGATGCGACAGGATGAGACGCAATATGACGAGAATAGTGAAAGGCTGGCAACAAGCTCTGACACACACACACACACACACACTCACAGACACACACCAACATACACCAACATACACCAACATACAGCAACACACCACAACCACAACCACACACACACAACCAGAAGCTCTCGCGCTCAAGCTTTGGCCAAAGCCCACCAACCAACTCCTTACACAACTCCAATCGGTAGCTGCGTCAGGGTATCTCCCTCTTCAAAAGCATTTAGTTTGGCTCCCCACCAACCAAACCACACACCAACCACCAGTTCCCCACGGGTTTTCTGGGTCACGGGGCAACCACGGGTCAACCAACAGATCCGGGTCCCGCGCCTCGTCCCCCTCCCTCGCCTGTCTCATCCGCCCAGGTCACCGCCCGGCGCCGGCACGGCTCCGGGCTCTCGGAGCGCCGCGAGGTCGCCGAGCGCGCGGGCGGCGGCCTGGCGAGGCGCGAGGCGCGAGGCGTAGGGAGGCGAGCGCGGGGTGAGTCGGGGAGCTGGCCATGGGTCAAAAGCCCGGTTAGCCCCCAGTGAACATCCCAATCCCCACTAAAATAGGTTCTAAAATGGGTGGTGAATTCACCCAAACCAAAATGGTATCATTGGTGTTGAGCCACACCCAGGTGCGACAGGCAGAACCGCCAGAGAGTGGGATAGTTGACCGCCTTAGGGCAGACTGCACGCAGACGGTCGTAGAACTTGACAGGAAAAAGGTCGCAGGGGGTACCAATCAAAACAGAAGCAAAAAAAACACAGGGAAAAGGCACCATGCTCAAGGTGAGTCAACCAGAAAACTTCAGAAAACCATGGTGGATTAGGGTTCCCGCGCTTTTCACATGGAACCTGACGTGAAAGGGGGGTCCTGGTTTGGACAATTTTTATTTAGGCTCAAAAGGAGGGTTCGGGGGTTCAGTTCCCACCAGTAAAACAATGTGTGGGCTCTAATATAACCACCATGGTTCACGCGATGATTGTCATCGTTAAACCCTAGGGCTTATCTTCCGAGGCTCGGTTCCCCTTCTTGGGGTGGCTGTGTGCTTTCTTCCCCAAGAGCTGGAAGCTTTGGGTCTTTGCCCACGGCTCTGGGATGAGGGAGGGTTCAGGAGATTCGGTTCTGTTGGGGATACTAGCTGCATGGGATGGTGGTTTGCTTAGCACTGGTTCCATCCTTAGCACCGGCTCAATTGAGACCCGCCCAATTCATTTGTTGCAGATTTGGAAGTGCTTGCATTCGGGCACGCGAACGGTCGAAGGCCTTGGGGCTTGGTGAGGGAAAATCTTGGGGTTGACGCGAGCTGCCTTGGAGTGCTGGATTGGGTTGTTTAGGCTGGGCGGCATTAGGGTGTGTTCAGGCCATTTGGGTGGGTTTAGGGTTGCTTCAGGATAAATTTGGGGCTGGCTCTGTGGGTGGTTGCTTGGGAGTTGTTTCTTCTTTTTCTGGTGGCTTGAAGGACCACTTCCCCTCCCCCCCTCCCATAGGTGTCCTTTTAGGGGAAATAGATGGCCCTGGTAGGTGGTTAAACCACCACATAAACCAGGGCCATCTAGTTTTCCACCAATACAACCAAAAAGGGCACCTATGCCCCCTCCGCTTCCCCCCCCCCCGGTTGGCTTCGATTCGGCTCTTTGCCGATGCCCTCGGCCTCTCGTCCACGGGCACGCCGGAGATGGCGAGATGCAGATCTCCCTGGGGGTCGAAGGCCGCCGAAGCCCCGCACAGCAGCTGCAGCGGCGGCAAATGGGCGCCCGGCTCCAGGCAGAAGAGCATGTGCTCCTCCAAACGTCTTGGTTTGCTTTCTGCTTCCCCCTACCCAAGACCTCATTATTTGAGGCCCCCCCAAAGGCCAATATTTGGTCTCCCTTTAAACCCGACCAAAGCTCGGTTGTTGCTCCCCTGCGAAAAGTGAATAACTTTTAGTGGTTTAATGGGAAAAACATCCATTATTTGGCAAAAGTTAAAGTCCTAACATCCAAGCAAAATGCACCTCTGCAAACATTGGTTTGCCAAGGAATTCCGCGAGGAGCGAAGCATTCGTATGCCATGAAACCAGGGAAAAAGGTACCACCGACCCTTTTCCGCCAACTTGAAGCAGAAGGTGACATGGAGTGTACAACGATTTAGCCATAAAAAATTGGGTAGTTGAAAATCCCCCCGAAGAGACAAAGGCCTGGAGTGTGGAGATCATCGGAGAAAACTCCGACCCTTCCCATTGCTTGCCAAGCTGGATGGTGTTCAGCCCGGCTTGCGAGCGGCTCCTGTGGGTTCCCGTGGGATCTTTTCGGCTTCCCCTCGAAATCAACAAGTGAGAGCCAGTCTTACCCCTTAAAACTCCAAGCCCTGGGCAGACATATAGCCCATGTTACCAACAAAAAATGAAAAGTTGTGTTTTTAAGAGGTAAGCAGTGCCTGTGCTGTGGACCAAACGGAACCAAAGGAAAAATATCAAAGGCGTTGGTCCCTGGGCGAGTGAGACTTGGTCGATGCCGCAGCCCCAAGCAGCCGGGCGTTGCTTTTTGTGTCTTGGCCAGCCCGGTTGGATGCGCTGAAACGCGGGGGCCAAGCTTGGATTCATTCATTGCATGTGCCTGAGTGCCTCCCTTCAAAGGCGATTGGTTCATAACCAAATCAAAAGACCCAACACCAAAGGGTGTTCTGTACAGTTTGGTTGACATGCATGGGCTGAACCTTGCTTCCACACCTTGTGGTTCAGCAGCGTGTACCTCCGGACCACCTGGCAGCAACTCACACGAGGTACACTCATGCCAAGCTGACCAACCCCGCTCAAGTCGGACTGGGGCAAATTGCTTTTCAACTTGAGATGTCGCAATGTCCGAAGGGACCTTCATCAACATACCTGGTTCCACCTGGGTCCTGGAGGATGGAGCCCTTTTTACGCCTTATAGCTGTTGAAATCAACACCTTGCTGTGGTACCAAATAAGACCATCCCTCAAAATGTATTTTGTCAATACGGGATTCCCGTGGATCACAGCAACTGACCCGAGCTTACGTTTCCCAGAAACCACACCCATAACCAAAACCAAGCCCACTTAGCCGGCCACGGAGGCCAAAATCCAACCAATTTTCCCATGGACTGATAACACCACAAAGGCCAAAGGCGGTTCAAGAGTTTGACTTGTGCCACCATGCGGTGGACATCATTTTGGTGGAGATGTATTTCCACCAACCACTTTCGAGGTGGTTCCCTACTAAAGCTCATGGCTATTTAACCCAAGGGAAGGAAAGACACTTGCCTTTGAACAACAAATATTCAGCTTCGCGCGAATTGGTGGTTCGTATTGGTGGTTTGGACGTGTTCCGGGGTGGATTCCAATTTACCCTACACAAGAACCAAGGGTTGAAATCTCCAAACCATGCGAGGCAGGGCGATTCTTGACAAAATGATATTGATTTCTGCTTATTCAACAATCAGCTCATCCTTGCCCATCAGATAACTTGCTGGTGCTCAGTAGGGAATACCCGTTCCGGGCATTGGGAATGAATGAACCGTTTCAGGATTCCCTTTCAGGGATGGATTCCCTTAGTGAACCACAAGGGACGGTTTATGGGGGTGCATCCACCTCATTCTCTGCGCCTATCGAACCAGCAAGATAAAGAAGACCAGTGAGCATGATTAATCATGGCTTTATATGTGTGTTACCTGTTTTTTTTAAACAACAAGTCAATTCTCAGGGGGTCTTATAGGAAACCACCAGTTGGATGGGGAGTGGCTTGGTTGCTGTTGACCCCCCTGCAAAAAGTTCAACTTTTTGGGGGGTTAGTGGAAAACCCTTGATTTCAACCAACAAGTCAAAGTCTAAAGATCCGTTACCCCATAGCAGTCAATGAGTCAAGCTTGGATGGGGGTCTTTTTCCTTTTCTGCTCAGAATTTGATGGCACCTAGCTGCACCTAGAAGACACAGCCGCAAGACCGGGAAAAGCTTATAGGAAACCAGCCGCATGGCCCAAAAAAAGCTCGAGCTTTACATTTACCACTAAAATGGTCCAGCCCCAAAAAGTTTCCAAGATCATGAGCTCAGGAAGCGAGGCAACCAGCCGCCGGCGCAGCCGGCCGGCCCCGCTGGCCCGCCTCCACGATCAGCGTCCGGTAGAAGGGCAGCGGCGCCGGGCGCACCGTGAAGCCGAAGCAGCGCTGCACCGGGTTGCGCTGGCTCCGCGGGGCCCAGCCCGCGCCCACCTGGCGGGTTGGGCCCCGAGGGGCGGAAGAACCAAACGGCACACGAGCAAACCCAAAAAAGGGTTCAAGGGGGGGCGAAGAGGTAAGACTTCTTTTATTTGGTCAGGGCGAAGAGGGAAGACTTCAGTCTGGCAATAGATTTAGTCAACCCATAATTGGGTCAAAACAAACTGGAGTCAGAACAAACCGGGACCCAGTCCGATTCGTCAACCCAAGGGGCCCAAGGACCGTCCCTAGCCAGAACTTGATGGCTCAACAGAACAGTTGCTCACCCCTTAAAACTCCAAGGATTGGGGAAGTTAACCTTTTACAGACATATAGCCCATGTTACCCAACAAGTTGAAAAGTTGTGTTTTTAAGAGGTAAGGTTGCTTTGAAGCTTGTCCTTCTAGGTCTTCCAGTAGAGAGGTTAGAATAAGGGTACCGTTTCTTTTTTCGGTAGTCTATTTTAGGGGAACCCTCCCCCCAAAAAAGGGTAAAAGGGCACTACTGGGGGACCCATTCCGATTAGTCAACCCATCAAAAGGTCTCACTCACAAATTATTCCCGGATTTCCACCAAAAGGGGCACACACCCAATCAATCAAGCAGGAGGTGCTTCATCCGGGGCTTGCATCTTGAGTTACTCTAGAAATTAACATGGAATCCCCCTGCCTCTCTCTGGATAGTAGTTGTGTGGGTTCCATGTGAATCAAAATCAAAACCCATCGGAATTAAATGGTCGGGACCCCAGAACCATGTAAAGAAGTAAAACGGCGGTGAAGGCACCTAGCTAGGGGTTGGGATTGTCCCTTACACGAAGAACGGCCTGTGCCTTAGAACCGTCTCATGTTCGTTCAGCGGCGGGATTGAACAGCGCGAACTTGGACACATCGGTCGTGTCAGTACAAAGAAACCCCGCATAAAAAAACATGTCTAGGTCCTCCAGTAGAGAGGCTAGAATAAGGGTACCAACTTTTTTCTGTCTATTTCAGTAGGGGAACCCTCCCAACCAACAAAGGGGTGAGAAAGGGCACTACTGGGGGCCCTAGTAGTTGGGTTGCTGGTTGCAGAACAAAGCAGAAGTCAACATTTGATTTGATTCTTCCCTCCTGCTCCTCCCCCTTCCTCCTCCTATGTAGGTCATGCATAAAGTCTTGAACATTGGTGCAAAAGTGCTGTTCACAAAACGTTCTTCCACCTGATTTCCTAAAGTGTACTGCTACCAATCTCCTCCAGCATTTCCTCACACGGGGAAACTCAACACGAGACCCTGGGATATGGGTAACGTCTTTTCAAGGCTTGGAAGGGAACAGGGGGCCAACTGTATCTTGCACTCGTCTCTTCCATGCGCTGAGCGCGGCGCCGTGGGCTGGTTGATCCTGACAGTGGGGCTCTTCTGCGGCAGGAAACAAATTTGTCATGCAGCCCAAATGGGCGTAACATGGATTACTTGGAAGCTCCTTAAAAAAATAGTGACTTGCAGATTGACCGCAATTTTCTGAAATCAGGATGCCCGGAAAGATTTCGGCGGGTGTTTTGCGGCCGCTCGTGCCACTCCAAGCTCTCTTTTTGGGCTGGTGGCAAACCATCGGCAAACAGGATGGATTTGGCCGAATGAAACCTCTGCAAGACTGACATGGCCTGCTGCAATCGCAGAGAAGAGATAATAACTAGAACCTAGTGTTAAAGCTCCTCAAGGCAACTTTAGACAAGCATGTGACATATTCTCACTCTGTGTGAAGAACTCGTGCACCTCAAGCAGGGATTTGGAAGGTAGAGACATTGAAGATTCGCGTCACAGTTGCCTTGCAGGTTTTTCTGCCATGGACAGTCCAAAACATGTCAAGGTCTGCCTAGAAGCCCCTCAGATTTCATAGCAAGCTGAACGAAAGGCTTGCAAACCAGAAAACTCACCAAAACACATTGCACGCAAGGACGTCTTGCACAGCTTGATTTCAAGTATTCGGAAAGTCTCTCGACTATGCGAGAAAACCACGGCAGCTACAACCATGCTGTGGAGGGAGAAATTCCTGCACCGCTTGGGATGAATGAGACCCTATGAACATTTACAAAATTAAGTTGATCCACTAAAATGTGTGCTGGATTTAGTCCATGCACAGGAATGTCGTCCTCTGAGTGATATACCCCCTCAGTTCTTATTCAGGGGGTTCCTTTTTAATTATTCAGCAGTGGGTTCCTTTTTTCGCGGGGAACCCCTGATTAATCACTGCGGGGTTTATCAATCAGGGCTCGGCATAATCTTGGTCGACGTTGATCTCTTTGCAACAAGTGTACCTTTTTGTTTAATGGAAAACCCCTTGATTTCGACCAAAAGGATGAAGTCTAAAGATCCAACCCAAATTGCAATCAAGTTATGTGGGTTTCCCGACCAGCTACCCAACTGTCAAAACCCCGTACCCCCGGTGAACATCTCAATCCCCACTCGAATAGGTTCTAAAATGGGTGGTGAATTCACCTACCAACCAAAATGGGATCCCAAAACGGTTTTGATCCACAGCCAAATGAGGCCCTGAAGACCACAGGACAAGGTTGACCCCATATTAGTCAACCACAGTTTCTTAATAGGGGGGTGGGGGCCCTCCACAAGTGATGATCCCCACAATACCCAGGGACACCCCTATTTCCCGACCAGCTTCCCAACTTTTGACAAACAATCATCTCCTGAAGGGCTGCGTCACCGGCACCGCGGACTCCCCGTTGGCGTTGTAGCGCTGATCACAAAGCCCCACCCGGATCTTGCCGCTCCTATCGAAGGAGCTGGGTGCTGCTCAAACGGATCCGTGGCTCTGATTTCTGGCAACGGTCACAAACCAAACGGCGAACGAAGGAACTGGGAGGTGCTCAAACCGTTTTCTGGCAACGGTCACAAACCAACCAAATAGCACACATGAAGGAACAGTGACTCAGATTGCGGCCAAAATCAGGAACCACTATTGTGGCAAAACATGAAACAAGCAGCTCGACCAAGTCATAGTTTACCCCCTCGGCCGCTCACATGGAATCCGAGAAAGGGTACCTGCAAGGGGGAAAGCAAGCCAAGCTCTTGCAGCTGCTACCTGAAAAACATTTGACTGTTGGCTCTACCAACAGCTACAATGGTTTTACGTAGGTTTTACATGGGTGTTGCCATATAACTCCCATGAAGCCAGGTAGTAAAAACGCCGTAGAGTGGCCGCAAGGTTGCAGCTCGATGGGAGGATGGAACCAGATGTAAAAATGCAGAAAAGTCTAGGCGTTCCGCCCTGCCCAGTGGACAAGCAAAAATGGACTCGTGGTCAGGCTGCTTAACTTCAAAGGAGACCCCTGAAAGAAACGACAATCAGGGTAGCAGTGGAGTGACAGTTCGTCGCAAAAAAAACAGCTGCTCTCACGCAGGCTTCTAAAAGCCCTTTGGGCAGACTATGTGATACAAGGACGCAGTCAGACTGAGTATGATCCTCGATCTCTCTTTATCTCAACAGAGCTTTGTATGATACTCGCTAATTGATCGCTTGAATTGGGGGCTGGCCAAGAAAAGCTTGCATCTTGGACCCTCGTTCAATAATTAAGCAACACATCACAGGCCTGTCGTGAGGGTGGGCCCCAATACAGTCACCGGGGCGCTTTGTCTAGGCCTCTAGATCATTTACCTTTGGAGGACCTGTTTTCGGGATACAAGCTTCTGCCAAAGCAACACAAATCACCGTTGGGGCGACCTGATTTTGGTGATTTTGGTGTTTGTCCATGTGGGTGGGTCAAAAATAGGTACCTAAAATGGCACCCTGGTAAATGGAAACAATGACTAAAACCTGTGGTCCAATTCCTGGTGACTAATTTTGACCCGTTCCAGACAGTGATCATGGCATTGTCCCTCAGTTGTTCAGTGACCCTGGAAAAAAAGGAACCCTTTTTTGGGGCTTGGACCATTTTAGTCCAAAAAAAAGGTTGGAAAAAGAACAAGGCAGCCACTAAACAACTGAGGTCCCCGTCCTCACCAGGTTCTCGGAGACCATGCGCAGGGTGTTGCAGTCGAATTGCATGAGTGCGTGCCGCCGGTCCGCCCCGAGGCGCCCCCCAAACTTGGCCTCGCCTGCGCAGAAGGAAGCCATTGCAAGCAGCCTCCCCCTCCTCGTCATTATCGTCATTGTCATCCTCGTCATCATGATCACAATAGTTATCATCATCACCACCACCACCACCAACATCATCATCATCATCATCATCATCATCATCATCATCATCATCATGATCATCATCATCATCACCGTCATCATCGTCATCCTCATCATCATCGTCATCATCATCATCATCGTCGTCGTCATAATCATCATCATCGTCGTCATCATGTTCAGATTGTCATCATCATCATCATCATCATCATCATCATCATCATCATCGTCATCACCATCATCGTCAGCGTCATCATCATCATCGTCGTCATCATCATCATCATCGTCGTCGTCATCATCATCATCATCGTCATCATCATCATCATCATCGTCATCGTCATCATTATCATCATCATCGTCATCATCATCATCATCATCGTCATCATCATCATCATCATCCATCATCATCATCATCGTCATCATCATCATAATCGTAATCATCATCATCATCATCGTCGTCGTCATCATCATCATCATGATGGTCACCACCACCACCAACATCATCATCAGCATCGTCAGCATCATCTGGCACCCCGACGCGCCCCGATAAAAGCCCACAGATTTTCTTCGCAGAGCAACGACCAACATATTTTGCCGCATCGCAATATGCACCAGCGGGAAAGCAGAACACGCCCTGGAAATGGCAAACACAGCTCCCTATGAGCGCTTGGTTGTGGGTAGAACATTGCAACAATCCAGTCGCATAAAACAAACAACTTGCGAGCGACGCAGGTGCCTTGAAGACAACAACGGCAATTTTTGTCAAAGAAAACACCGAACGATTTGAACATGTGGGATTGTCCATATTGGGCCGGGACAACACAAACAAAACGGCTGTTCCATTAATCTGAACTGCGGATTGATAAACTCTTGGTTGATTCATACGAGTGCCTCTTTGCAATGGAACTCCTTCACTTTGTGGGTGACACCCTATTGTATACTGCAGGGGTAGAATGGATGGGCTACTAATCCGAGTTGTCCAATATGAGTGTGGCACGCACCGGATCAAGCGAACTCGCCTGGATCTCGGGTCAGGATCTCCTGGGGCAAGCACACGCGGCAATCGCTGCGTCGGTTCAGAAGCCAGTACCTCAGCCAGAGGCACACGGGCTCGAAAAATCGAGACCTGGAAAAGCCTGTCGTATTTGTTGTCTTCCTACAACAAACACACAAGTCGATTAATGGAGGGGGTGTCCCTGGGTATTGTCGGGGATCATCACTTGTGGAGCGGCCCCCGCCCCCCCTATTAATAAACTGTGGTTAACTAATATGGGGTCGACATTCTCCTGTGGTCTTCAGGGGCTCATTTCCGTATAGTGACACCGGGAGTTCGCACATCTTCAACAGGAGAGCCAAGAGCAAAGCTTGTGGCCGACATGCGTATATAGCCAAGGCGCTGCGTGAAAAATACAAGCCTCACAGACCGCGGGGAGAATTGTCGGACCTGGCCGGTGCCGCTTGAGGTAAGGGGTCCAACGTATGGATCACGGTTCCCTGCTCTGTCAACTGGTCCAATCGGATTCACAACTGAAAAACTGATGAATTTGCTACTCGGAACAAGAGGCTCATATCATCTCAGCATAGAAGGGTAGCCAAGCATCTAGGAAGTGGCTATGAGGCTATTGGTGGCAAAGTCAAATGACCCTAGCTTCCTGCGCGCACGAACCAAAACCTGCCAGTTCAACAAAACAACAAGAAATTAATCGAGGATCTCCAAACTGTCGGCGCTTTCTTCGTCGGATGCAGAAGCAACAAAACACCCACCCATATTCTAGCTGAAGACTCACCCAAAAGTCTTTCCATGAAACAACTATATAACCAACATGATTTTATGACTAGCTTGGGCACGCGAGATCTCAAGTTAGCATCACAAAATAGGGGTACCCTCCAAAAAGAACCACACCACGAAAGACCCGCTTGCTGCTATCCGCCTGTAAGGGCGACCAGTACTCTGACGTCGTAAGGCCCGGCTCTGTCTCCAGAGTGACCATCAGCTTGGCACAATCTTCCGCCTGCGGTGCCCAGGCGGGTCGAGTCCACACGCAGCTTTCCGAGGGAGGAGACAAGTACGGGGAGAGGCAATTTGATGGGTGTGTTTTCTTGCAAGGAATCTTAAATATGGAGATCTGCCCATTTTTTCATTCAGCCCATACGGAAGCGAGGCCAACAGAACGCATTCATGGGTGAGATATTCTTACACCTAGGATCGTTCTTTCCCCAAATGATATCTACATGTGCCATGGATTAACTTTCTTCTCTCCTTTTCGAGTCTGCCTGAGTCAGTGGCGGCGCTGTGGCGTCCACTGCAGGGGACAACGGACGGGGCATAGCCCCAGAATAAAAAGCGCAGGTCTCTTGCGGGCTCTGTCACCGTCACCTGCGTAGCCGGATCTGCTCCAGCCACCGGCACCTGGCATCCTTGCCACTCCTCGAGGCAAGCTAAAGGGCCCACGCAGGCCGGTATGCAGTTACGCGCGACGGAAGCTCCACAACGTGGCCGGATGACAGCCGGATCGCAAGGCCCAAAGACTTCATAAAGTTCAAAGGTGCCTTTGACCCAGCTGACGCCAGGGAAGGCCCGAGAGTCCAGCTGGTCAATAGCATTGGGAACCAAGTGTGCTCCACCCAACCAAGCGATTCAAGCTACATGCTCTCGCTTGGTGACAAAGTTCAGCGGCTGCTGGCCGCCCTGGTCAGGTGGTATACACTCAACCACCAGCAATCACCCTGAAGGATCCCAAAGTTGTGGACGCCTGGAAGTGCTCTGGACCTGGCTTCCACTTCTCGCTGCCGACCCACAAAGCCTGAAGCTGGCTGGAGACACCAGCGCACCGAGACACCATCGCATCAGATCTTCTTGCATGCCGAATGGCTTAGCGCGCGCGCTACAGAGCGCTGCGGATGGCTGATTCGGTCTGGGCAACCAGCTTCCATCCTTCCATGTCAGCAGCACAGCTCGACCCAAACCCGCACAGCAGCCAACTTTCTTCCTGATCTGTTGCGGGTGGAGCAGCGTGACCACGTGGGCTGCGCTAGGCGCCTGCCACAAGAGGCACGTCCACCGCGCGTTGTCCACCAGCTCCCAGCCAAGGAGGACCACGCGCGAACCCACGGATCTCGATGCCCGCACGGGCGATTTGCACTAGACCCAGCTCCATGTCCATGTTCTGGCTTTCTGAATAGAAATAATCATAAAGGTTGTTAAGGATCCTTAACAAGGATGACCATCCCTGTTCGCCAAGAAATCTGCCATAGGTCCAAGAAAGTGCTGGGGGCATGGTCAAACCATGGCTACCGTGCTAGAGTTTCCTTGTAGGTTCCACCTGATCGTGAGAGAGTTTGACCGGCGAGGCCTTTTCAGATCACAATCTTCCACAGGATAAAGGCAAAAATCAGCCCCGCCAACTAGCCCGCTTTGATCCAGCTTGATAAGGTCAGATACAACAGGGCAAGCGGTGACCTTGCTCAAACCTGAGGATGTTCCTAGCGCTAAACGCCCTCCCTGAAAAAGCCCGAATGGAAGGACGCTGCAATTTAGAACGGCGTTTTCGTTTTTTTTGGTTTGCCTCGGCTTCAATAGTGTTTTTTAGGGGCCAGCATCTCGACTGGAGTGAGCTTATGGTGTTGCGTTCGAGCCGCGCGTGTGGGCCGTGTTTCAAAGTGAACACCATCTGTGAGCCAATCCTATGCTCACGATGCCAATGAGTCGCTTGATCTTTCAACATCCAAACAAAGCTGCGGAGAAACAAGCAGCACAACGGAAGCTCTTGTGCTGAAGACATTATCTGTTCCTCACGCACAATTCCAAAACAGCAACCATTCGGCCACTGTTATTCATGGCAACAAATTGGCCTCCAAGGGTTGACCGCAAGCTGAAACTAGCCGTGCCCGCTCTGCTTTCATCCTGCCTCGGCACCATTCTTTGTGGCCTGACAGGGCCAGCGGGGTCGGGGCTGACAGGAGTCGCCAGGCAATAGTTCTAGGGGTAACTTCCCCATTCTTTCCAAGAATCCTTCTTTCTAGAAAACCACCAAACACCCTGGAGAAATGGCTGGGTTTTTGAAAGAACGATGGCTGAAAAGAATGGAAAAGGAATCAACCCCTAGAATAGTAGTCTCTGTTTCTCTCTCAGGCGTGAGGGGAAACTAGTCGAGGAGGGGTTGTCGAGTGGAGTCTTGCACAATCAGGTCCGCAGGACTGTTTCTCGCCAGAAAATTGCGTGCCTAAGACTCTTGTGCTTACACATTTTGTGTGGTGCTTCAAGAAGAACACTGTAGGTCTCTGTTTTAATTGTTGGGCTTTGCTCGATTTCCACGAGGCAGCCAGCCGAGGATGTTCAAGCAAAAAACCTCGGCGGTTGTCATCTTGGTACTCTGATGCTGCACCCAACGCCGTGCCTAGCCATACACACCCACGCCAATGCAACTCCAACCGAAGTGCAGCAAACATCCACCTGCACCGTTGTGGACAAATTCCAGCACCTGCCTGTAAGCTGCAAAAACAAACACGGCATACCACTATGGCGCACACATGATCGACTGCTTCTGGTTGTTGGCGGTTTGCAAAAACAGAAGGCCATGGGTCAAAACCCAAATCGTACCCCCAGTGAACATCCCAATCCCCACTCAAATAGCTTCTGGAATGGGTGGACCCAACATGGGATCCCAAAACGGTTTTGACCCACAGCCAACAGGCCGCAAAGCATCACAAATTTTGGTCGGTTCGGATGCTAGGAGCTCTAGCTTCCCATTTACCCTGAACAAGAACCAGGGGTTCAAATCCTCAAGCCACCACTTGGGGGTAAGTTCATGGAACCAAAGTGGTCTCCCAGAAGCCAAGGTTACGCTTGATCTACCGGACTCCCGATTTGTGTCTATCGGTCAACATGTCTGGTCTATGACCAATTTACCCGAAACTCTACCTTCGCTTCCCAGGGCGGTTCTTTAGAGATTCCCCCAATGGTCCTCTTGAGTTGCCCTTCAGCCAACCCCAACAAGACACAAACACCGCGCCTCAACAAAAACTGAGGGGCTCAACTTGGTTTCTTCTTTTGGTGTTCCGAGCGTCTCATAAGGATGCTTATAAGGCGCCTTATAAGGCTAGGTCCTCCAGTAGAGAGGTTAGAATCTGGGTACCCATTTTTCTGGAGTCTATTTCAGCACTGGAACCCTCCCCCCCCAAAAAAAGGGTTTTCAGAGCACTGCGGGGGGACCTAGGAGCCTTACCAGGAGCCCCAAATCGAGCGCCTCATGGAAGAGCAGGCGTTTCTGATGCTTCTCGCGGGGCAGGCGGTCCGGCCAGACCGGCGTCTCCAGCTGCAGGAGCAACGGCTCCTCCCAGACACCTGGCGCGGGCAACTCCAATTGGGGATGGATCAAGCCTTGGGCGCCGGAAAAAAATTACCCCAGCAAGAAGTTTAACTTGTTGCTGGTTAAAAAGGACATATGAGGGGAATCAAAAAGCTGAAAGTCTGAAGATGCAACCCAATAGCGGTAGAGAAAGGGTCCTTTGCATGGCAATGACCACGAGGGAACGCCACCAAAAAAAGGTGACGTTCCGCCGAAACGGTCGAAAAAACTATGTCAATGCATGGTTAGTTGGGGGCAAAGTGTGGATGGGATGTCAGTGAGTCGCGGACCCTTCATCTACTACCATGTCCTTGCAGAACTCTCGGTAGCTCCTTAGCTCTCTTAAAACCAAATTTGGACACCCCAAGCTCCTTGGCTCCCTTGCAACCACCAGCTAGTTTGGGTGGGAATTCATGTCCACAGACGAATTGAAGGAGGTGGTTGCTATAATATATATATATATAACAAAAAACAAGTATACAGAATGATTCCCAGACCAAAATTCCGGAAACTTTCTGAAAGGAACCTTATGGGTGACGTGGCGAACCCTGTTTGCCCAGAAAGATCCACTGCGTCAGGTATTGCCCACCACAAAGAAGACTGTTGAGTCTTGTCTTCCTGTTTCGCGAACCTTAAGATGCATCATGTCGAAAAGAGATCCCAGTGATATCAGTGACAAGAGGCCATAGTCCCACTGCTGTGTGATGACCTTGATGTAGCACGGTAAGTTCACAAATTCTCAAATTCACGCTGCAGCGAACTCTGCTTGGTTGACGTTGGAAGGGGAGCAAAAGCTTCAAATTTTAGCAGTTAAGTGGTTGTATTTCAACCACTAAACCACAACCTGGAGATTCAAACGTCAAGGAATTCCTAGTCATTCTCGGCATTGACCCTGTTTTGGACGCAAACCGCAAACGCCTAGAAACAGGAAACGCCCGCAAATTGCCGCAAAACACCCGCAAAAAAGGGGCAAACGCCTGCAAAAAAACGCAACAAACCGCAAAACACCTAAAACGCCTAAAACGCCCTGAGAACCAGAACGCCTAGGAATTCCTCGGCATTGGAATCTCCAGGAATAAGCAAAAATGTAAAATGCTTCCCAACAACAACCATGTCTGCATGTCTTAGATTCATTTCAAGCCCTCGCAGTGCAGGCCTCCACTGATTCAAGTTTTTCTTCTTAAGCCCCTCCGATCCATCCCACTCCGTGAAAAAAAAGCAACGGTCATATCCGATCCATCCCACTCCACTCCGCAGGCCTTTGGCCGAATGTCCATTTGGAGACAAGATCAAAATCAAGAACAGGTATCCTTACATTATACACCTGAACATTGCCTTATAAATGGCGGTTTCCCTTTATTTTGGTGTTGAAAAAGCAACATGTAACTCAAATGGTTGGGCGAGATCTTTTAAGGAGCCCAGAAGAAGCACTCTGGTTTTGTGGGAGTTTTAGAAAACCAAAACACGGGCTGCTCGCGCCTGCCTGTGCAAGGAGGCACCTCCATATTCAGCTTCAGCAGCTGCGAAGGCTTCAGCATATCCACGTCCTCCCCACAGCTGATGAGGACGGGCCCCTCAGAGGTCGTTAGCCTCAGCTCCGAGGTCGTTAGCCTCAGGGAGGGGATGCACAAAGGGAACATCAACAGGATGAACACAATTAAATAATTTCAACATAATATCAAATGATTTAAGAGGATATACTATAAAATGTTTATTAGACTATTTTAATTGGAATAATTATATACTAATGATAATTACATACCAAGTCTTTCAAGGACCCAAAAACTCGTCAAAACTGGCTGCGGATGGACGAAATCCTCTTAGGCACCACCGTTCAGAAACCCTGGAAGGACAAATACCAACAACAAATAAACACCAAAAGAGAGAGCTTGGACCCAACAACGCTCCAAAACTGTGCTGTCCGTTTTCAGATCTGCTAAACCTGGACCTTCGTCCTCCTGAGAAAAAAACCACTGAGTTTCCGCCTTTGTCTGGATATTAGGATCGCAGGGGTCTCCAAAAGCACCCAGACATTTCCCCTTTGAAGGTCCAGGAGAGTGACTAGCTTGTGGGAGAAATTCGGAAACCCAACCACTCAGCCGACTAAAAAGATCCGAACACCCAAGCCAGATGCCTGGGAGCCAAGTCAAAATACCTCCAAATCATGACCTCTTTGAGACAAAATGTGTTAAACTAGTAGTTGCAACCCGTGTCTTTTTCTGCAACGAAAAAGGGGACAAACAAAAAAAGAAACGCGGAAAGGTCTCGCACTTCAAACCTTGCTCTTTCTTTTTGCTTTGGCCGCGACTCCCTCGACTCCGGGTCGGGGGGTCCGTCCATCGACCGAGGCGCTGCAGGGGGCAGGGCAGGCGGTTGCAGATCAGCGCCGCAGGCTCCAAAGTCACCGAGAAGAGCAGCGCCTGCAGCGAGGCCTGCGCCAGACGCACGCGGACCCGAAAAACGGGACGTCACCGGCGATCTGGGTGGCTCGTCCTCTTTTGGGGTTGGTGCAAATAGCGGTTTTGGCGACTTTGAAGGAAGGCCCAAAGGAAAACCGAAAGGGACGAGGGGATCTCTCAAAGGGTTGGGTTACAGGAAATTCTACAGGAAAACCTCTGATTTGCGGTGTGTTGGGGCTATTTCCTATAGATGTTCCTGTAACCCTCATAGCTCGTCCTCTTTTGGGTTGGGAAAAAACGGCTTTGCTAGGGTCCCCATTCTTTCCAGGGATCAACCTTTCTAAAAACCCGCAAGAAACCCAAGGAAAACGGCAGGTTTTTCAACAAACGATAGTTGAAAAGAATGGAAAAGGAATCAAACCCTAAAGTTTTTGCGAATTTAAACGGATGCCCAAAGGAAAACCAAATGTCATTTTTTGGGGGGGCGTTAACCTCACACAAGACACGCCCACATTGAACACGAGTGATTGGGCACCGACTTTTGGTTGATTTTTGAAGACAAAACAAGAGGAAATCCACCAGAAAACTTGACTTATTTTGAGACGCGCCCAATTCCGCTGTTGAACACCTGAACCAAAGTGGGGATTCGGTTTGGAACCCTGTGACCACTCTGGTCAAAGGATACATCCACAAGCCTCTGGCCTTCAAAGGAGAACCGCGAGAACCGCGCAATCAGCTGGTAAAGGCGACGCTTTCATGCAAATGCATCCTCTCCTTAAACAGGGATCCCTACAATAGAAACACCTGAGAATTGCCTTGTAAATGGTGGTTTCCCTAAATTTTGGTGGAAAAAGCCATGCTTCAAACGGGCAAAATGTATCTTTTAAGGAGCCCTGTTAAACCGTGTTGGATCGAGTGGATGCAAAAAGCTTATTCACACTTGGTGGTTGTGTGGTAGGTTTGGATGGGTCCCCTGAATCAGCAGATTCACAGGGAACCGAACCGAACCATCGAGGAATCTTTGGACGAGCTGTGGTAGCTTGGGTGTTCAAAATCGGATGTGGAACCCCTAAAATGCGCGGTTTCCTTTTGGCTCCCCGTCGAACAAAAAAGAATTAAAAGACAGGGGAGCGGAATCCAAGGACAAGTCGTGTCATTTTTTCTACCCTGGCCATACAGCGGAGGTAGCCATACCTACAAAGGCATGTAATTATTCAAGAAAAAGAAGGGGTCAGGTCATACCAACAACCTCGACAAGTTTGCTTCGAAACAGGGGGCTCAAACGCTGAGTGCCAAACTCCCTTGATCTTGGGATTGACCTGCTTCTCGCTGACGCGACTCGATAAGCGCCCATCATAAGGGATCAAGGGAGTCAATTCCCAGAACCGTTTTCTAGACTTACTAGGTCCTCCAGTGGAGAGGTTGGAACAAGGGACCCTTTTTTCTGTAGTCTATTTTAGTAGGGGAACCCTCGCAACCAAAAAAGGGTAACGGTAAAAGGGCACCTAGCTGGGGGACCTTGCTCATGGACTCATGGAGTGTGGCGCCTGCAGATCGGCGCTGACCCCGCACACGGTGGAGCACAGGCAAACGCTCTCCTCCCCGTGGCGGTCGTGCAAGTGGAGCTTCCTGCGGAAAGCGGAGCGATGGAGCCGACTCTGAAACCATGTGAGGCCACTCTTAGTTGGCATGTACAGGGGAATCATTCTTCCAGGATTTCTTATAAGTGGCACAGGATTTCGCACATCCACAGTACCATAGATATACATACGTAAACCTTCTATTATGTGTCCCGTGCATGTAGCTGGACCACGGCTCACGGACGGCCGTGCACGAAACGCCACTTTGCAACCCTTTCCAGGCTCGGGGGGTTTCGGTTTTCGGGGGGGGAGGGATGTTACCGTTCGGGTCACATGCATTTGCGCGCACAAGCGCACAGCCCTGTGCACACAGGCGGAGACCGCTCCGGGGCCCTTGGCGCGCGTGCTCACACACACACACACACACGCATTGGACCCTTGTAGTCTATGTTTTTTCGCTGTAATTGCCACTCTCAAACATTAGCTAATTCCATGGCATCACCGTCACCGTCTACCACCGTAAGCGGCGCAAGGCCAGCGCGAGTCAGACCCTAGAGTCTCCGCCATCGGCTCACTCAGTGAGATCTGATGCTTTGAGCTTGCAGCTTTTCGAGCCTATGGACTTGACCAGTCCTGTTCGCATCGGACATCCAGGTGCGTCCTCTTCATCATCATCGGCGGCTTCTTTCCCAAATGCTCAGTTCTCACATGGTGCTGTAGGAGCCACTCTTGCAGCCCAGCTCGGGCGCGGTCAGCTTCCAGTGTTAGTTCACGCCCGAGACCAGAGCCCCTACCTCAACACTCCAAGTGACTGGCCAGGATTCAAGGATTGGTGCTACCAGGTGACTGAAGCTAGCGGCCTCAAGACAGCTTCCAAGACCATGAAAGGATTTACTACGCGGGCAGAAGAAGCTCGCATCGTGCTTGCTCGGGCAGCAATCGCGTTCTTTCATGGCAGTGGTCAATTCGACCGAGCCCACGCGTGCTTCACTTGCAGAGAGAGCTTGCCCAAAGGTGAGCTGATCTGGACTCGACGATGCTGCTGACGCGAAAACACTTGGCATCCTCATTCTTGCGAGTTTTCGGTCCAAAACAAAGTAGTTTTTCGGGCTACTCTTTTGTGCCTCATTGTCGTCAAACCGGGCCTATTTGTTCTTCTTCATTGCAATCACCCTGTAATTGCGGCTTGAGTGTTGACATTGACGTTTCTTGTTGACTGAAATTCGTTAAATCTTGAACGGTCGTCTATGAGCCGTGTACCATGTAGTTGGTAGTATCCTCCACAAGTGGCCGGAAAATTCGAAACACGGGCAAATAAGCAAAATCACCCTTGCTGTTTTGCCCACCTTTCGCAATATGATCGCCACATTGTTGAACACATGGGCACACAACCAAATGGCCCAGGGAGGACTCAAGGCTGCATATTATAGTTGGTGCTTCCAGCCAAGCAGCTGCACGAAGCGACGAAACAAGACCCATAGCGAAACTAGACCGATCGATGCCCTCCTTTCACATTGAAACACACACACACACACACACACCCTCAACTAGTTTACTTTGTCAGATTACAGTTCTCTCCCGAAATGAAGTTGCTCTGTTTGGTATGGGTATGGGTCAAAGTTAACGCCCCAGGGGACCACACGTTTTAGTCATTGTGTCCATTTACCGAGGGAGTTCCATTGACACACACACACACACGCACACACACACACACGTATTCTCTTGAACAAGCAAACTACAAGCTGAGAAAAATGCATTGGACCCCGCGCGCGCGTGTGCGTGTTTATGGGGTAAGAACAGCAGTCGCATGCCTGGTTGCTGTCTTGTCGGTTTCTCTATTTGCGTACTGGTTTGCTCATGTTGCCTTCTGTTCAAATACTCGAATTATTGCATAGCAAGGTCCGTCAATCCGATTCATTCAGGTTCAGCTCAACAGACAGGTGGCTGGCATGACAGAACGCAGTCACTTTGCAGGCGTAGCCTCGAGTGGCGTGACGTGTGCTGCTTTTCTGCCCATGCAGTCGAGTACATCATGGTCTTTCGCTTCCTTCCATTTGCTTAAGCCCTCTGGAAAAAAAGTATACAACATATTTCCAGTAGTGTCAGATTCCCTTTAAAACCAACAAGGGAAGAAATGTTCTTAGGCAAATGGATGCTTCTGGATGTGGCATGGTCTCAAAATCAGGGTAGACACTTCAAGACATTTGAGATGAGAGGCCCGCAAGCGCCCCAAAAAGCTGGTACTTTTGAATACAGGCAGTCTGAACGTGCACATTGGACGCCACTTGTTTTGTTGCCCCCTCAGAAAATCACATGATGTCTGCTGTTTGTTTTGGCAAAGGCCGCCTGGATCGCAGGAAGTAGTCGTTCGCCACCATGCTTCGATACCGGCACATGGCTTGCCAGGAATTCTTGCCAATCCTGAGGGGAGAGAATGGATATTGGGTCATTCGCTCTAGGGGCAGCTGCATTTGCTTAAGTCCCGAGGAAAAAAAACACACATACTTCCAGTAGTGATAGATTCCCTTTAACATCAACAGGGGGAAAGCAAACATATTCTTAAGCAAATGCAAGGTACGCTTGCAAATAAACTCCAGTAGAGAGGTTAGAATAAGGGTACCCTTTTTTCTGTAGTCTATTTTAAGTAGGGGAACCCTCTCCCCAAACAAGAGTAAAAGGGCACTACTGGGGGACCTACATGCCGTTGAGAGGTGATTTAAAAAAGATCTATGCTCAAAGTGCCTTCTTCCTGCCACGGCGCTAGGTTTTTGCCGACATTGCGCTGGGTTTACAAAACTCCTCCCCCAATTCCATGTATGTAGTATTTATTGCAAATAAACAGTGAAATGGAACCACAAATGGAATATCAGGGATCACCCTCCCCAATTCCATTGTTAAGGGGGTGGACATTCTCCAAGCTAGGCACAGCCTGGATGGCTTGACAAGAACATCAAACACTTCATCCCTGAGCTGGGTTGTCAACATGCAGCGCGGAACGTGAATAGACACGCAGCGCCCAACATTGTCTTGCCAATCTAGGATTCTTGCCAAGGTTGACAACAACAAAGGAGCAAGACCAGGTAGAACCTGTTCAATGAATCCAACTCATCTTGAGAACAAGCGAGAACACTGAGACTCTCGTGCATTGCCAGCATCTCTAGGCAAGAAAACTGTGGCCCACCCTGAACAAAAAAAACACAGCATCGTCATAAGGGCCGAAAACACCTGCATACGATCTCAGCTTTCAAGCCCATGCTGCTTGACTACCTGTCGAAACTTCACTGTTCGAATACAAACAAGCATACATTGGCCCGTTTGTGAACATAGGGATGACCTCTCCGATGTGTTGATTTCCAGTTTTCGGATGTCCTGCAAAGACTAACTCACTTCCTGAGTGGATTGGCCAAAAAGTCCAAACTGTTGCTTGCAACTAGCATGGTTTTCAAAAATAGTATAAAGGCCGGGCACTCAGGAAGTGAGGTAAATGGACTACTGGACCACTGGACCACCTTCTGTTGTTTTGCTTTTTTTTTAACGGGAGCTTCCAATTCTTTGGGATCGGAACGGTGGGCCGGTAGGTGAAAACCGCCAAGGCGCAGGGGCTGCAAAATCCCGGCCTTGCGCTGCGACCGCATCCAGCCTGAATCGAACAAGCATACCACACGAACATGAAGTCCTCCATTGGCTTAAGTCCCCTGGACGAAAAACGAAACACAAATATGTCCTTTAGTTCGAGATTCGCTCCAAAACCAACAGAAAGAGAAAAAACGATAGTATTAAGCATGTGGAAGAAGTGCGGAGAAGCAGTGACAACAGCGGAAGAAGCACCGAAGAAGCACCGAAGAAGCACAACTTGGAGCATGGAAGAACCATGAAACAACCCTGGCATAAACATGGGCTATGCCTGGACAACCATAAGAAAAACGCAAGGCCCTTCAACGCGTTGTAGGGCGGGATGAAACAGGTTGTGACGAGCAACCCAAAGACCCTTCCCCGCCCCCCAAAAGAAAAAAAACAACTAGAAACAAAGACTTGAGATCAAGCCAACAGCTAAAGGCTCCGAGACTCAGATAGATTATAGACCCCTTCTAGTTGTTTCCTTGCTTTACCAAGGATATCCAGTCAGCTTCCATGCACGGTTCGTGCACTACACAATGGAAACATCTTGGGTTGTAGGAGCAAACGAGGCCCCACGATTGGCCCAACCGGATTTATTGTTTCACACCCCGTAGGGGGCTCAAGAAGCTCTCGCAAAAGCGCGCCAAAATAAGCCACCAAAAAGGGAAGTATAGCACCCCCCCCTTTGCAGGGCCCCCCACCCATGGCTGTCCAATCGCCCGCAAAAAACGCGAAAGACCGGGTCACTGAACAAAGCATTTGCCAGCCGTTTTGGGGTGTGGATGGACGAAATCCGCTCACCCTTCAGAAACCCTGGAATGATTCGCTTCCCCAACGTAAATACCAACAAGTTAACGTAGTGGTTTCATTTCGTGGTGCGACATGGATTTCACAACCAACGGCGGGAACCTCTTATGCTCACTTCCCAAGTGGATTGGGCCAAACAAGTCACCAAGTTTGTCACTTACCACTACTTGGTTGCTGTTGACCCCCCTCCAAAAAGTTTAACTTTTGGGGGTTTAGTGCCTTTATTTTCCAAAAAGTTAAAGTCTAAAGATCCAACCCAATAGTCAGTGAAGACTAAAACGGTGCAAGGGCAAAACGTGACTAAAAGTCCGAAAGGGAACTGAGGAAGGGTTTCAAACATCCGCGCCTCGCTTGTCGGAGTCCGTGTTTCCCGACAACACGCTGGAGAAGGAACTCCCGGAGCTGGTCGTGGGCGGAACCTCTCGGCATTTGCTTTTGCGCCGGGAAAAAAGAGAAAATATTTCCAGTAAAATCGATTCCCTTTAAAGCCACCAAGGAAAAACGAAACATTCGTAAGCAAATGGAAGTTTTGTTTATCCATGTGGTTTCCCCCAACAGCCAGGAAGGGTTCAAAAGGAGGGTTCTGAGGTGGGCGGCTTCTGAACAGACTGGTGAAGATGAGGCTTGCCTTGGAACAAAGGCACGGCTTGCAGGCCCCAATCCAAAAGTTGTGTTTTTGTTGACTCTTGTGGGTGTCAACTGCAGACCGCCAGTGGCCAGGGGAGGAGAAGAAACGTCAATTACCATTCACACCAAGCTCAGCAACTGGGGGTTGATAGGTCCGATATACATGGGATGACCATCAAATAAACCAACGAAAAAGATGACTTTCGGGGATTTTGATCAACCCCGCGTACCATGCAAGGCAAAGGCGTAAGCACATTTGTGCTGCTGTCTCTTAGTGCTACCACATAGCAGCAGCCGCAGAAGACGCAGCAGCAATCACAGTCCCTTGTAGAAGCCACTGAGGAAAAATATGTCAGACCGAACGCTAATTTGGTAACCTCTCATGAAAAAACAATGCTGAAAGCCAACTGCAAGGACTCCCAACCAAGGCCAGTTCGCACTGCGTAGCAAACGCGAGTAGGCTTGATGAATCTTTTGTCTGTTGCTGAGACACATCCGGCGAAAACATCCAACAAAACCGGATGCCAAGCTCCCTAAAGGAAACACAACATGCAAATACCAAACAACCCGTCCGGGGAATCAGCTGGACACCAACATGCGAACATAGAGGTCTGTCTCAAAGTCAACATGTGTCCTCTTTCCAGATGATGGTCAAACAACACCAGGGGAAGCAATAACAAACCATTTGGCGGGAAATAGGGTAACCCCGAAATGGGTCGTCCTGGTAAATGAAACCAAAGACGAATACCTGCGGTTCCACACCCACTTCAAGGAGTCCCATCCGCTTTTTCCAGCATCCATTTCTCGCTTCCCGAGTGGATGGGCCAACAAAAAACAGCCTCCGCCACACTTGTTTTGCCTTTTAACTTTACCCGCCAAAACGGTCTTCTGCCCAAAAAGTGACAGTCCGAAACGGAACTCAGGGAGCCACCGCCCGTAAGACTTCCGAACTCCCCCGCTTTTCCAGCCCATCCATTCCTTCGAAGGACCCGTCAAAAACCGAAAAGCGATCGATCGATCGCGGCTCCGGCGCCTTGAGCTCCCCGGTGACCGCCACCCACAGACTCTGCGGCAGCTGCTTGCCCTCCATGGCCAGCCACGCCAACGGCACCGGCCGAGGCTCCTGAGACGTCGACTCGGCCGAACTCGACTCCTTCCATTTGCCATCTTGTGGGTTGCCGGTCGGCTGCTTCCCGTGGAAGGCAACGACAAGATGCTCAGTTGATACCATCATTTCGTGTTCAAAACTTCCTTTTGCTTGAACCCCCCTGGAAAAAATACACATATTCCTGAAGATTCATTCTCCGGCCTTTTCCTAGGCGTTTTGGTTTCCTGGTAGTTTTGGGTGTGTTGGACGTTCTGAATGGTTTCTAGGAGTTCTGGGCGACCCCCGAACCCAAAAACGTCTTTTTCTGATTTGCGGGCATCGCGGGGTTGTGCGGGCGTTTGCGGGCTTTTTGCGGGCGTTTTGCGGGTAATTCCGGGCGGGAAAACGTAAAAAGGGACCAATTCTGCAATCTCACGAACATATAGGAGTCTTAGTGGTTTTAGGCGACTTCACGAAAAAAGCATCGATATTTAGGGAAAGCAAGTTAAAGACGAGAACTACCAGGAAATTCATGGAGAATGGAGAATGAATCTCCAGGTTTCCAGTATAGTGATAGATTCCCTTTAAATCCAGCAAGGGAAATAAAACATGTTCTTAAGCAAATGGATGACTCGGCCCTCGGCCGAACGCGCCGAGTCGGTTCGAAGCGGGGGGGGTCAGAAACAAGTTGGTCAAGGGCAGGATGGACGAGGGCAGGCTTGTTTGAGTTTGATATTGCCTCGGTTGCTTTCTGCTCCCTGCTAAAAGTTTAACTGTTAGTGGTTTAATGGAAAACCCATTTGGCAAAAAAATGAAGTCCTAACATCCAAGCAAAATGCGCCAAAGTTGACATGGGATGCACTGGTATTTGTTTGTGCGTAATGTCCTTTAGTGACGGCACCTTAGCACAGGCAAAGCTGAAGCGGTTGACCATGGTCTTGGAAGATAAGATGAATTGCTGCAACATGCTGACCTGATTCAGCATGAGTTTGGTAGAAAATTCAAAGGTCACTCAATCCAACCTCCAACTGCCAGCGTTCTTCAAAAAACTCCTCGCAATGGCTACGGACATCTCGGAAAGGGCCTCAAAACCCAAAAACAGCCTCGCAGCAGTGTTTACAAGGTTGTTAGCAGATACATGGGTCCGTCCCTTTTTAAAAGCCGAGGAAACGAAACAGCGTGTTTCTTCTTTGGTTTCCCATCAAACCACCCAAACCCAAAACATGTTCACAAGGGGATCCTCCTTTCTCAGCTGGTCATAGGTGACCTTTTAGACAAATTGGACGGCACTGGTAAATGGAATGGACGCCTACTGTGGATGGACGACATCCCTTCGCACCACTTTGAAACCATGTGAAGCCACTCTTAGTTGGTATTTACAGGGGAATCATTCTTCCAGGTTTGCTTAAGTGGTGCGAAATGGATCTTGCAACCATCCACAGTATGTCCTACGAAATTCACCGAAAACGGACACCTAGGCAGCCGGAGGCCGCGACTCGAACTCGGCCCCTCTTCAGAGGCAAGGCTCCGATTTCGGGGGCAGCTCGAGAAAGCCTGGCCCGGTGTCTCGGAACCCTGAAGCAAACCATCCAGACGTCAAGGCCCCCTGCAATTCACTTCTTGCTAGTTGAAAAGCAAAACTGGCGGAACACCTTTTCAAATGGGAAGGTTAAGTCTGGCAAACACCTGACGTGCGCGCCGGGACCTCTGTAGCTTTAAGGCTCTCTGGCTCATTCGTCGATCATATTTCCCAAGCTCCCACTAACCGCCGTGCTAGAAGCCGGTAGTGGATGGGGAATGCTGGACAGAACATGTGGCATCATGAAACGCGCACACGGAGGCCACCGCAAATCCGGGTGGCGAATTAAGGGAGTCTGGACATTCACCAAACACTCGAGTTGGCAACCGCGAGGCCACTTGGCGTTCTTAAGCCTCGAGTTTCTTGGTATCAGGTAGCCCTTACCCCCGACTTCAAATACACGCCTCTCTAGAAAAACCTGGTGTTCCATTGTAACTGCCTCCTTTTTTTGGACATGATGCCCTCAAAAGGTGGGTATTTCGAGTTGAGGGTGGCGGTGGTCAGGGTTGATGCGTTGGATTTGGAGGTGTGAGCCTCCCCGTTTTTTTGTTTTTTTGCAAATCGGAGCCTCAGAACACCTCCAATGGGTGTGTTGCTAGTAGAAAAATCGGACCATCCGAAGCAGGGATCCGGATGCTTCTGAAAAACACCTGAACATTGCAACTTGTAAATGGTGGTCTCAAACTTTAGTTTGGTGTTGAAAAAGCCGCCATGTGGGTGCGGCTCAAAATTAAGTAAAAGGGGGCGCCATTTTGGAGTTCCTTTTGCTTTTTGAGCCAGTTCTGTAACTCAAATGGGCGGTTGCAACATGGAGATCTTTTTTTTCTCGGAGCCCTGCGAAATGGCTAAAAGGTGTCAAAGGTTTCGAGTTCAAAACCCAGCCAAAGCTTACCCCTTAAAACTCCAAGCCCTGGGGAAGCTAATCTTTTACAGACATATAGCCCATGTTACCCAAAAAGTTGAAAAGTTGTGTTTTTTTAAGAGGTAAGAAAGGGTTCCCATCGCTTTCAAAGGTTTCAAACCCACCAAAAAAAAGAGGTGCCAAGCCCAGTGACTCTGGGATTGGCATCGGTTTCGAGCGTTTCAACCGGTAAAACCCACCGGTACCAACTCGAAGTCCAGTGACTGTGGGACTCGGGACTCCAGAGATTTCTGTTGTCTGCCAATCTTTGATTTTGCACTACCCAAGTCACCCCCAAAAGGAAAACAGGGCGTATACAGTGATATGGCCATGGGTCAAAACCCAAATCGTACCCCCAGTGAACATCCGATTCAATCCCCACTAAAATAGACAAAATGGGTGGTGCACCTATCCCAAAATGGTACGATTGGCTTTGAAGCATGGCCATATGGCCATATGGCTTTGTAGCGGTTGTATATGTATTCAACCGGGTGGTTGGGGGGTAGTGGAAACCATCTTGGAGCCAACGGTAAGGACTTGATTGCTGCAGAATAAACCAAAACCAATGGATATGATTTCATGAGTACCCAGTGTTCACAAAGCACTGGCGTGCCGACTTTTCTTGAATGGGATTCCCGCACTTTCGAGACCGCGCTCCAGTCTGTGTAAGAGGCGGTTTATCCATCGCCGGTCTGGTTCTGTGTTTTTCTCTCTCCTCTCCTCTCTCTCTCTCTCTCTCTCTCTCTCTCTCTCTCTGTCCCTATCTTTCTCTCTATCTCTTTATCTCCCTATCTCTCCTACCTACTTACCTACCTGCCCACCTACCTACCTGCCTCTTACCTCACCTCACCTGACCAACCTACCAACACTCCTACACCCCCTATTTATCTATCTGTCTGATTGTCTATATATCTCTCCTTCTGTGCATATACACGAGATGTGTATTATATGTACAATCATACATCCAGGGTGGGTGTTCTTTGGAACTCAACTTACCTTCGATACTTGGTTTATTTGTTTGCTGAATGACAGGAGGCACCCTCGGATTTGTGCCTTGGTCAATATGCAGGGGTTCAAACCCCAAACAGAAACACCATGCAGGCCAACACAGGGAATACCTTCATCTAACATGGAAACCCTGACCGGGGGGTCCTGGTTTGGACAGTGTTCCTCTAAAACGTGCCATTTCTCTGGTTCCACGTGCACGGGAGGGTAATGTGAGGGCCGAAATCATTACACACATTCCTTCACGATCATGACTTGTAGTCGTATCGCTTCTAAGTATCACTCGGGTTCTTCTTCACCTGACTCTGGATTGCATGTACATATTGACCCCCTCAAACTGGTGCTCCTCTTGGTTTCCCTGCCTGCAAACCACCAAAAACGGGCTACTCACTTCCTGGGTGGATCGGCCCAACAAAAATCCAATACGTTTGCTTTGCAACCGAAACGCGTCTTCCCAAAAACTTCTTCAGCAACTGGAAGTCTTCATGGCCCTCCCCGCAGGGGCCTTCGATCGCAGATCCGTAGGGCCCGATGGACACGCTCACCTCCGTGCGGTTCTCGACGAAGAGCACGGAGCCTCAGGCGGCGGACTTTGTTCAAACAGTCCAGTGCGGCGGCGCGTCTTTTTTTTAGGTTTTCGGAGTCCAAAGGCGCACCAACTCACAAAAACAAGGATCCATCCTTTAGAGTGCGGGGATGTATTTGGGTGTGTCTTTTCTTAGGGAACCCCCCCCCCGCCCAAAGAAAAAAAAGGCATCGGTATTCCGAATATGGTTTGCGCCTTGAAAGCCACCAAACAGGTGCCTTTCCTGAGGTCACATGTCGTTTAAACAAAGTCAAGGACTCGAAGATCGAAATGTCCCCCCCCCCCCCCCAGTTGTGCTAGTCCAATTTGGGGCGGTGTTACCCTGTTTTTGGCGGTGTTAGCCTGTTTTTGGCGGGGCTACCTCACCATCTTGGCATTTAGGTGTCTTGTTTTTTAGGAGGAAAAAACACATGGCTTTAGTCTTTCTGTTGGTTTCCCTTTAAAGCCATGAAACCAAATCGCTACCAACTCAATCGACAGACCCGCTTGGCCGACCTGCAAAAAGCGAGCCCCACGCTTGGAGACGAATGTGTTGAGCTTGGTCTTTTGAGAGTATACCCGATTTGGGATTAAAGGAAACCAAACGGAAGCCGACCCTGCAAGAGGGATGCCTTAGGTACTGCGATAAAAGACTGTTACAAGTTGAGTCTTTGTCGGACTCTTCAAAATGAAGCCTTCTGGCGGTTGTCAGGTTATGCTCCATCTTGCGGGGATCCCTCGTCCGGTTCTCCAAGATCCAATTTGAACATCTCACCAACTCCGAAAAGCGAAAACATGAATGCCCGAAAGAGACATCACGACATGGACCAAGGGGCACATGACTCAATGGGGGGGTTCTCGACTGCTGGACGCCTTTTCATTGGTAGGTTTGAATGGGAACCAACACCCCTTTTCTACCCATGTTTGTGGCTCCCCTATCTTGACACCCCCACCCCTCAATGACAGGTTGCAACCTGAATCAGTTGGAGTAAATCGCCTACTGCAAAACTGCAGAAGTGGAAGGTTTGACAGCACATGATGGGTAATCTATAGATGGTATGACTTCAATTGCGACATGCATGTAGCTCGCTCCTATGTCCTCCTGCTGAAACACCGCCTGGCTTGGGAGGCAAATTAAGAAAGTCCATTGCAATGGCTGAACTCGCACAAGTGAAAACAATCAGTGTTGCAAATAGTACTTTCCACATGCTAAAGCATGCTAGTGTGAAATGGTTGGCTGCGGCTGCAACAGCAGTTTGCAGCGTCATAGTGTTCTCTGAAACACAAACGGACAAGCAGAAATTAACTGCCGAGCATGTTAAGGCAAAACACATCTTCATAATACAATGCTCCTCATACGCTATCAGCCCGCATCATGTGAACCCGCAGTATCAAACACCATGTGGAAGAGTTCAAATCTGTTCTTTTCATGACAAGCGCACAGTGAACACATCGACGTGTTGCCGGAGCGGACTCAGGCAAAACCAAAGGGTCCCGATCGCGGGGTGAATGCCTTCCCTGCGCCTCTAGGGTGAATGCCATAAGCATATCCTAGGTCTTCCAGAGAGGTTAGAGTAAGGGTACGTAGTCTATTTTAGTAGGGGAACCCTCCCCCCCAAAAAAAAGCAAAAGGGCACTACTGGGGGACCTAGTATTTTGCAAGGGAACAAGCGACGCCTTGATCAACCCTGGTTGATATTGGTTTTTGTGGCTGACTCACTTCCTGAGGGGGTTGACCAAAAAAGTCCAACTTGTTGGTTGCTGCTAAAATTGTCTTCCAAAAATCGTTTAAAGTTCAGGCTCTACTAAGAGGCGTGCTAAGATGGCTATGAAATATTAGGGCAGTAGAACCTACTAAAAGGTATCTGATTGGAGTCCGGCCGCGCAACAATGCAGCGCGCCCGCTCAAGAGCACCCACTCAGCAGAACACACCAGTCACTTGAGCCAACCAAATGGCGACTGCAAAGTGTACTCTAAGAGTTGGTTGGTCATCTTTTGCATTTCTGAAAACCTGCCCGTGTTTCCCGGCAATGTGGCAGAATGTATTGAGGGCACTTGAGCTTGCGCCGATTCGCTTAAAGGATATTGACCCTTGAGGAATCCGGGCCCCGGGCCCCAGGCCCTGGAGTTCTATTGGGGGTGGTTGATTTCGCAGGCCTTCGGCATCCCAGCGCCAACGCATCCCTCGGATCTGCTAGTTTTTTTTTTAACCCAGTAATGAATGGCAAATGGTTCACAATGAGTCAGCAACCACTCATGTTCCAAAGAGTTCATACGGCCGAGCAAAAAACAAAAAAAAACAAAACATGAGAGAACGGCTGAAAGTCCATGCGTTTTTGTTTTTTTTTTTTTTTTTAAGAGGCTCAAACAGTCGTGGCCATCATCTCCTTGGACCTTCTGAGCTGCAAGGAGCTGAGTGTGACCTCCAGCTCGTGGAGCTTGGAGCCCACCTCCGTGCGCACCAAGATCCAGGCCTCCGAGGCCAGCGCGCTCTTGGACACGTCCAGGTTGCTCTGCGTGCCTCGGGCGTGACGTTGACGTTGGGGGAGGGGAGCATGTTGTTTTTTGTTTATAGCCGTTAAGTGGAGTTAGATTTCAACCACTAAACCACAATAAGATCAAAAAAATGGAAAAACTGTGTCCCAACAGCAACCATGCGGGGAGGGGGAGGAAATGTTCCCTGATGGACGTTGGGAGAGAAAAAAGTCGGGGGGAAGATCGATGGATGCGATGGGTGATGCTCGTCATGTTTGTTCCTTCTTTCTTTTTTTCATGTGTGTCTTTTCTTCTTTTTTTGTTGTCTGTTTTCTTGGGGGGGTGGGGCAAGGCACCCGAACGTTTGTTTCAAAACGGGAGCCAAAGGAGACACCACAAGTTTCAGGCGAACCCCAATTTCGAAACCCAGAAAGGGAGCTTCACACAGGGCTCCCGGCATGTTTCCCCAAAGGAGACTTGACTCTAAAATGGCCACCAAAAGGTGAGGTTCAAAACCGACTAAGAGGCCAGCAAAAAGGAGCCCTGCAAAATGGTGGACGACCTTTTGGTTGGTATTCCAGGCAAATCCCAAAGAAAACTTGCCGTTTCAGTGCGGATCGATTCTGAGAAACACCGAAACACGCATGGATGGGCCGCCTTTGGTGGTCTTGTTTTCTGGCAAGCCGACTTGGACCTTCTCTAAACGCTGTCCTCAGATCCGCTAAAACTTTGACTTGTGGGTCTCACGGACACCCCAGAGAAACCGGATGGCGCCGAGGAAATCATTTTGGATACGGGTCCCAACCCCCACCGATTTGTTCTGACCTCCATATTCTAGGGGTTGATTCCTTTTCCATTCTTTCCAACCATCGTTCTTTTCAAAAACCGGCTGTTTCCCCTTGAGTTTTTGATGGTTTCCGGAAAAGAAGGATCCCTGGAAAGAATGGGGAAGTTACCCCTAGACATATTACGTGTTGGTTTGGGGGGGCCAACCAAGCTCCGGAGTCGGACAAGGGGCTCTGAATGGAATTGCAGCGTCGGCAGCTGCTGGAGAACAGACTGCTGCTGAGGCTGGACCGGGTGCCTGAAGGCACGTGTGAACCGACGGTTCATCTATGCATATATATATATATATGCCTACGCAAACGGCACCCCTGTTCAAACAAATAAATACGTAGTGTATATATATATACAATCATGTATACTGAATATCTGATTAATGAATGACATGTATAATACAAATACATGATATGTGAACTCCTACTTGCTTGGTCAATTCACCTGCGAGGGATTGAATAATATATATATATATAACTAGGGCAGCGGGCCCCACCCTATGGTACCACCCACAGGTTCTGTGGGTTGCCGGCACCAGCGCCGGGCCCAAAATGCCAAGATATTTTTGAGAATCCGGTGACATACCACATGGTTTGCAGGCTGAGGGGCTCATGAAATAACGCCTCAATGCTGCACGCAAAGGCCTTCTCCTTTCGCTGCTCAGGAATTACCAGGGTTCAATTCGTGGGTCAAGCAACTCGGAAGGAGGTCGCTTAGACCTTGCACTTCCTGCCCAATTGACGCGTCGGGGACACTGGGAACCCATTTTTTTCAGGGATGAGCCTCTTAATTATGAACCTACCAAACGAAAAGGAAAACCATATTTGTCGGAACACGCCGGGAATGCCAAGTTCTGCGCCAACTTCCGAGCGGGTTCGTGACCCTATCCTTTAAGAGGCGTTTACTGCTTCCCGTGGAGGAAGGCAACGACCAGATGCTCAGTTAATACTTTCATTTGCTTAAGTCGCCAGGGAAAAATACAAGTATGTCCAGCAGTGATAGATTCCCTTCAACATCAGGGGAAAGCAAACATATTCTTAAGCAACTGCTGGACACAACCAAGTCATGGCCGGCTTAGCTCCAATGACCACAGCCCCAAAAGCGCCAAAAAGCGCCAACAAACGCCAAAAAGCGCCTCCCGTGTCAGGCTTCACGGCCACGGATTTCAGCGCCGAGGTGGCGGTGAGCTGCAGGAAAACCTGTGGGAGAAGCCGGGAAAAGGTGTTTGTCTTGCGGTTTTGGTTGTTTGGATTTTGGGGATATCACTGAAAAGGATTTTTTCTGGCGGTTTTGGTTGTTTGGATTTTGGGGATATCTCTGAAAAGGGATTTTTTTTCTGGCGGTGTTGGTTGTTTGGATTTTGGGGATATCTCTGAAAAGGATTTTTCTGGCGGTTTTGGTTGTTTGGATTTTGGGGATATCTCTGAAAAGGGTTTTTCTGGCGGTTTTGGTTGTTTGGATTTTGGGGATATCTCTGAAAAGGATTTTTCTGGAAGTGTTGGTTGTTTGGATTTTGGGGAAATCTCTGAAAATGAATTTTCTGGCGGTGTTGGTTGTTTGGATTTTGGGGATATCTCTGAAAAGGATTTTTCTGGCGGTGTTGGTTGTTTGGATTTTGGGGATATCTCTGAAAAGGATTTTTTCTGGCGGTGTTGGTTGTTTGGATTTTGGGGATATCTCTGAAAAGGACTATTCTGGCGGTTTTGGTTGTTTGGATTTTGGGGATATCTCTGAAAAGGGTTTTTCTGGCGGTTTTGGTTGTTTGGATTTTGGGGATATCTCTGAAAAGGTTTTTTTTCTGGCGGTGTTGGTTGTTGGGATTTTGGGGATATCTCTGAAAAGGATTTGTCTGGCGGTTTTGGTTGATTGGATTTTGGGGATATCTCTGAAAATGATTTTTCTGGCGGTGTTGGTTGTTTGGATTTTGGGGATATCTCTGAAAAGGATTTTTCTGGCGGTGTTGGTTGTTTGGATTTTGGGGATATCTCTGAAAAGGATTTTTTCTGGCGGTGTTGGTTGTTTGGATTTTGGGGATATCTCTGAAAAGGGTTTTTCTGGCGGTGTTGGTTGTTTGGATTTTGGGGATATCTCTGAAAAGGATTTTTCTGGCGGTGTTGGTTGTTTGGATTTTGGGGATATCTCTGAAAAGGGTTTTTCTGGCGGTTTTGGTTGTTTGGATTTTGGGGATATCTCTGAAAGGGTCTTTTTTTTTTTTTTTGGCGGTGTTGGTTGTTTGGATTTTGGGGATATCTCTGAAAAGGATTTTTCTGGCGGTGTTGGTTGTTTGGATTTTGGGGATATCTCTGAAAATGATTTTTCTGGCGGTGTTGGTTGCTTGGATTTTGGGGATATCTCTGAAAAGGATTTTTCTGGCGGTGTTGGTTGTTTGGATTTTGGGGATATCTCTGAAAAGGATTAAATTCTGGCGGTGTTGGTTGTTTGGATTTTGGGGATATCTCTGAAAAGGGTTTTTCTGGCGTTGGTTGTTTGGATTTTGGGGATATCTCTGAAAAGGATTTTTCTGGCGGTGTTGGTTGTTTGGATTTTGGGGATATCTCTGAAAAGGATTTTTCTGGCGGTGTTGGTTGTTTGGATTTTGGGAATATCTCTGAAAAGGAGTTGTTTCTGGCGGTGTCGCTTGTTTGGACTTTGGGGATATCTCTGAAAAGGATTTTTTCTGGCGGTGTTGGTTGTTTGGATTTTGGGGATATCTCTGAAAAGGATTTTTATGGCGGTGTTGGTTGTTTGGATTTTGGGGATATCTCTGAAAAGGATTTTTTTTCTGGCGGTGTTGGTTGTTTGGATTTTGGGGATATCTCTGAAAAGGATTTTTCTGGCGGTGTTGGTTGTTTGGATTTTGGGGATATCTCTGAAAATGATTGTTTTCTGGCGGTGTTGGTTGTTTGGATTTTGGGGATATCTCTGAAAAGGATTTTTTCTGGCGGTGTTGGTTGTTTGGAATTTGGGGAAATCTCTGAAAATGATTTTTCTGGCGGTGTTGGTTGTTTGGATTTTGGGGATATCTCTGAAAAGGATTTTTCCTGGCGGTGTTGGTTGTTTGGATTTTGGGGATATCTCTGAAAAGGATTTTTCTGGCGTTGTTGGTTGTTTGGATTTTGGGGATATCTCTGAAAAGGATTTTCTGTGTTGGTTGTTTGGATTTTGGGGATATCTCTGAAAAGGATTTTTTTCTGGCGGTGTTGGTTGTTTGGATTTTGGGGATATCTCTGAAAAGGATTTTTCTGGCGGTGTTGGTTGTTTGGATTTTGGGGATACTGTGGATGGACGAACAACTGCACCACTTTGAAACCATGAGAGGGAAGCCATGGATTTTTGTCTTGTGCGGTTTGTTGGTTGTTTCAGCTTCCCTCTGGTTGGTGGTTTGGATTGGTGGTTTGGTGGTTCGGGAGAGGTTCACCAATCCAAACGACCAATTCAAGGGAGGCTGATTGTTTGGATTTTGGGGATATCTCTGAAAAACGGGGCCGGCCGGTAAGGGGAAACCCAAAGGGATGATTCGCCTTCTGGTTTTCTCGGCCTCAAGGGACAATTGTGGGGTCTGCTCCGGGCCATTTTGGGTTAACTGCCTGAAAGCCTAGCCGAATGCCGTCATGCACAAGTAACTCAAGCAGGAAATGAGCGCCATCGCTGAAATGTGACACATCAACAGGTTGAGCCTCTTTTGCCAAGGGGGCATCACAGCAGCCTCGCATGTGTTCTTGCCTGCATAACCGCCATCCTCTTGATGCTCAATAAAACACAACTCAAACTACAGGCCCGCGTCCTATTGACACATGGCATCTACAAGGAATGCATGATGTGGGACCTCCTAGAAAACTCATAGCTCAAAATCTCGGTCTTTCATCGTGATTTCAGCATGTATCTGTGCTTCTCAGGGGTGAGGCACTCAACTCCCTCGATCATTGAAACAAGAGGCTACATCGATTCTCCTTTGCTCCCCTTTGCAATCAGAGGGGTCTCCCAGCTTCATGCACAACAACCGGCACTTCTCTTCACCCTCCCAAGAAAAGCCCGCCCAGTAAGTAGGTCCCTTCAACAAAAAGAACCCCACAAAACAGGAAACCCCCGATCAATCGGGCGCGGGTGCTTATTTGTCTCTGTTTGGCAGGATGACACCTGGCAGTTGCATGGCCACTCAACACGGATCTACTGTTTGGGTGGGAACTATTGTGTGAAAGCCCTGCTAAGGTTTCGGCGTTTTGAAAATGGAGGCACTCCATTTTGGCTCTGGATGGCATTGGAACACGACTAAAGGGAAACCGCCCCATCCAGCAAGTGGCAGGAAGGGTTCAGTGGATCGGGGTGAGACTTGATGTTCCCATTGTGTGCTGCAAGACCAAGCATACTTAGCCACAAAACCGTGCTACATTTCAGTAGGTCAGGGGGGTTCAATGGACCCCTCCTCCATTTTCCCAAAGCGTGCCATCTACTTTCCCAGTCGTTTGGGCGTTCCTCAAAATAGTTCCTAATGGATAGGTCGCCCTTTCGATACATTCCCGTCTTCTCAACATAGGTTCCCCTGTGTCTGGCATTAAAAAACCAATCAACATACTTCGTTGCTATGGACCTCTGCAAAAAGTTCAACTCTTTGTGGGTCCAATTCGGACGACCCCGCGCAACGTTTCAACCAGAAAGTTCTTCAGCCCAAAGATCCAACTCCCCAAAATCGCAACCACGGGACCCCAAAATAAGGCCAAACTCCCTGCTCCAGCCGCCTCAAAGCGAGCCTGGCAGGTTTGGGGCCGGAACCCCCCTTCAAAACCCATCTCCGAAGACCGGTCAAACTCCCCCCTAGAAAGTGATCAAATCCCCTCGAAAAACCGTAGAAACCGGCTCAAGCCCCTCTAGAAACGGATCAAATGAATCCTAGGAACCGGCCCCAACTCCGGTCAAATCGGTCCAATTCCCCCTCTCAAAGCCGGTTCAACGCCGGTCAAATCCCTATAGAAACTGGTCAAATCCCCTCTAGAACCGCCCTTTAAAGACAGGCCCAACGCCGGTCCCACCTTCGCTTGGCCCAAGCCCACTGCCATTCTGTAGCTCTCTGCGGCTGGAGCCATGTGGAAACACGCGGACATGCACCCACCCTCGACCTTGGAAACCAGCTCATGCATTTCGGTGCCGACTCACCCACTCTAATAAACAGACTTCAAGGCAAACTAAAGCACCGTATATACCTCAAAGCCAGCCAAAAGCGGACTGGCCGAGGCGGGCAAGGCGCAGCGTTGACCAATAAAATAAAACAAACGCGGAGCTGTGCCGATGTCTCCTCTCCAGCGCGTGCTCTCGTTTTCTCGTGCGCGCCTTGGCCTCCATCTCGAAGAGATGCAGCAGCACCCCCCAGCCCCGGGCCGCGCCCAGAGCCCTGGTGCACCATGGCAGCTTCACCTCAGACCAAATCGAGCGCTGAAACCAAAAGTGTTGGGGCAAAAACGTAGGATGTTTACTTCCATTTGGTTAAGACCCCTGGAAAAAATACAAAAAAAAACAAGGGAACATAACAAACATACTCTTAAGCAAATGGATGCTTTTGCACACAACCCGAAAAAGAAAAACTCCAACGGGTACAGGAAACACCGGGTACAAGGTGCCCCAAGTATCCGGACCTTTGAAATTCCCTGCAAAACCTGGGTGCTTGCCCACAATGATGGGATGAATTCCCTTGTGTAGGGGTAGTTTGAGGGTAATTGGTGGCTTTGGATTGGTGTCAGCTTCCCACTGATTGGTGGTGGTTCAGGAGTGGTTTCCGTTCCTCTACAAGATCCAAGGGTACTCCAAATCCAACCCACCACTTTGAACGGGTTTTCTGAGGAGCCCAGTACCAAACCCGAAAAGAAACAAAAACTACACAGGAAACCTGAGGCACACGGCGCCCCAATGGATAACCACGTGGTTTGCGGGTGTTTGTCTTGAGTTGGTACCCAGTTTTTTGGGTGGCGCTAAACCCGAAAGGAAACTCAGCAACTCTCGGGGGTGCCCCTATTTTCGGACGCACCCAATATCGCATGTGGATCATGATTTTTGCGGGGTTTTGGGTCACGGGCTTCTGTCTGTGAATGGATGTGAAGGGACCCACTCAGTTTTGATTGAGCAGCAATTTTCGGCACACTTTTCGTCGCCTCATTCTTGATTTTGCGGAACAAACACATTGTGGGTGTGGCTTCATATTCAGGTCAGGGTCCCTCTCTTTTTGGAAAGCTAGTATTGGGTCGTTGACCCAGACATGGCATATCAACACGAAGCTTTGGCGTGTGTTTGTTGCAACTGACAATGGGTTTACGGTGGTTCAACAGGGTGGCTGTTGCGGGCTGGTTTAGGGTGGGTCTAGTGTAGATTGGTGTGTTTAGTGTGATTGTAGGATGGGTTTAGGGTGGGTCTGGGATGGGGTAAGGATGGTTTACGGTGGATTTAAGGTGGGTTTAGTGTGGATTTAGGGCGAAAAGGTGTGGTTAAGGTGGGTTTAGGGCGCTTGCTTTGTTGCTTGCTTGCTTGCTTGGGTTGCGGCGGCAGACACTTCCCAGTCCAGCGGGACAAACATCCTGAAACAAGAACAACCGCCAGCCCACATGCCCAAAACTTGCGTTGCAACTCTGTGGGACGAACAACGGTCATACAAATCAGCGTGGCTTGGGGACGCCCCTCTCGCAAGCATCACAGTCAGAGGTTGTCAGCGTTTAAGAGACGCAAAGAAAGGCAAAGAATGGGAGATAGGCGTGGAGTGAGGGAAAGTGCGGGGCTTCATCCCTTCCCATGAAGTCCTGTGGATGGTTGCGGAATCCACATCGGCCCACTTTGAAACCATGGGGAAAGCATAACGCCTGGTGTTTGTGTGCAGGGGAATCGAATCATTCCAGGGTTGAAATAGGTGGTGCGAAATGGGCGTTCGTCCATCAGTGGTTGGGTTCCGGCAGCCGGGTGATTAAAATGGTCGACCCAGAACCACGTAAAGAACTAAAAAGGCGGAGATATCCGCCTGGCTATTTATGGCAAGGGGATTGTCCCTTAACCTTCATCTACCCGAAGCGGTTTTGAGCACGTGACTCAGGTGGGGAAGGTTGTTTTCGGGCATTCCTTGCTGGACTTGTGGCTGACCGGGGACCTTCCGCACTCAACCTCAAGGCACCTGCACGAGTCTTCGCTCGTGTTTTCCTTTTTGGGGGGCTCGAAGTTAAGGGGGAACCGCACTTGGTGTCCTTTACTTTGCCAACTGGGGTAGCTTGGGTGTGGCTATTTTTGAGCAGTCGGCCAATGACATTCACTATACGGGAAACCTTCGACATGACTTCATTGCATCGCAACTTTCGAATTCGACGTCGCATGTTGGTTTTGCCCAGAAACTCACTTCCTGAGTGGATTGGCTCAAAAAAGCCAGAACTATTGAACTGTACCACCAATCTTGTCCAAGCCCAAAAAGTGACCAAAGTCCAAAACGGAACTCAGGAAGTGAGAATTGAAATCGGCGAGCTACACATCGCCAGAATCGGCTTCCTTCGAATTTCAAAGTTCGCATCGAAGTCGCCACGCACTGGGTGTCGTTGAGCACAGCCTGCGCACCGGAGCAGCCGCTCTCCAAGACCTCCAAACTCACGTCCTGCACGTGAGAGGCGCATGCGAGAAGCGCGACGCACGCCAGAAAAAAGCCAAAGCGCTGGTCAAGCTGGGGAACAGATGGGGAAAACACGGAGAACATGTGGGGGTTGATCAAAAGGTCCGTAATACATGGGATGATCATCAAACAAACCAACAAACAATATTAATTTCGCCAATACACGGGAAAAGTTGCCTATGGTCATTTGCGGGCCGGGAATATTGATCAACCCCCATGTTGGACATATAAGAATACATGGGGAAACCACAGGAAGACTGGAGAGAACATTGGCTCCTTTGCTGAGTTTTGCGCGAGCTCGAGTCCCCAAAAGCCAGACCAAGCCGCTCCGCATGTCTTGGCAAGCACACCTCCATGAGGTTTGAAGGGACCATTACAGAACATTTATTGCAGCTGTTTGGTTTTGGCTTGGGAGGACCCTAACAAAAGACAGCAGTGCAGGGGTTGGAACTGCGCGGTCAAGGCATCCTTCCTCAACCAATGAAACCGAACCTTGGTTGCTGTTGACCCCTCAAAAGTTTCGCTGGTGAGTCCAATTCGGAAATTCCGCAGGGTTTCAACCAAGTCCAAAGGTCCAAAGATCATAGCCATAAAGCTCAGTGAGTCACCCAGCCATGTGGATCCCATGAAACTTATCCAAAAATCCGCCAGGCCCAAAGATCCGCCTCAAATCGCCACGCCAACCTTGCGGAAGCCCCCTTTGAGCCACACCCAATGCCCAGGTTCGTAGTCGTTTCAAGGCCCCGGTTGCGGATCTCATGGCCAAAGCAATGGATTTTGCCACGCGAGATGACAGGCCCGGCTTGAGCTGTTCCAATGTTGGGACACAAGCCCCAATGGATTTTGGGACACGAGCCAATTGTTGGGTCACTAAATCAAACACCAACACTGGGCAAAAAAGTATATATAGAGAAGCATCTTCTTTGTTGGTGTAAAGGGAACAAGCAGAATAGTTGGCTGCACAACACTCAATTGACATAGGATTGCGATGCGCTCCAAACTGCAGGACAACCGTGAACAAAAAATAGGTCTTAGGAAAACATGTGGGGGAAGTAGAAGCAAACAAGCTCCAAGGGAATCAAATGACAATTTGAAGGGGAACACTTCTTTCTTCGCAGAAGCAGTTGGATATAGAATTAGAGCTTTACGATTCTAAGCGAACCAGAGTAAGTTGATGTTGAAGCAACCACGTCTGGCTTACATGAATGTCAAACAATATGAGCAGACACAAGTGACGAAAGCCCTAAGATCCCCACAAGTTGACGACACCTGGCAATCTCGTCTATTGCTCTTGCCATGCTCAAACTGCATTGTGTTGATCATGGTCATGATCCCCTGAAAAGGAACCCTACAAACGGCGGTCAAAATCCCCATTGCCCCTTTTTCAAATTCTATGACTCTTGGAAGGAGGGTAAGAGTCGGTAAGAGTCCAATGACAATCCCTGTGGGGTCCACATCTGGCATACACAGCAAACATGAATTTACCGGTTCCGAGTCATATTTTCCCAGAAGAAGCCAAACATAAAATTAGAAACAGCTTACCCACAGAACCGTATCTCTAAATGTGAGGCATAATCAAAACCCGGTATTAAAACGGTCGACCCTGAACCATGTAAAGAGTATTGAAGGCGGTCGCAGCTATTTATGGTTGGGATTGTCCCTTACTAACCTTCATCAATACCCGGGTCTTGATTCTGGCTCATTGACGCCCTAAGAGCGTGTTTATTGACGCCCTAAGAGCGGTACCCTCCCTAACATGGCAACTATGGGAGGGCACCTGGAAGATCAATTTCCTCTTGGAGGGACCCATGGCAATGTACCGTTTCAGAGGAGACCCTACTCCATATCAAAGTGTCCAAACACACATCCACACCATGGAACCCCAAACAGAACAAGGAACCCTATTAGCAGGCCTTGTTAATAGCTATCGACAACTGTAGCAGGTCGTACGTTTTGGAGGAGACCGATTCCTCTCCATATCTTACATGGAAGTGTCTCAAAATTGGCAATCCCCTTTTGGTTTGTGTTTAAAGGGAGTCCAAAAAGGACACCAACAACTTGGGGGTGGGTGCCCAATTTTGAGACACTCCCAAACAGGTCTGTGGGAAATGACAACTTCTGTGATGCAACAGAAAGGGCTTCCCAAAGACTAACCCCCCAAAATTTAGGGGGATATTCCCACAAGTATCACAGAAGTGCTTGGATGAGAGCCCCTTGTGATCAACCACAACCCTGGAAAAAATGGTGTTCCCTTGAGTTTCCCTGAAACACATCCCCCAAAAGGTCCTTTCATTTGCCTAAGTCCCAATGAACAAAAAAAACAGTAGTGATAAATTCCTTTAAAACCAACAAGGGAGAATCAAAACATGTTCTTTAGCAAATGGATGTAGGCCAAAGACGAGGGGAAGCTCCCCGCCGACGACCGTCACACCGCTGCCTGGCCCAGCAAGTTCCGCACCGAGAGCTGTGGCTGCCCTGGGCTCGTTTGAAGTCGAAGGAAGTCGACGACCGTCTGGCGTTGCACAGTGGGTTTTGCGCAAAAAAAAAACACACACAAACCCTCCAAACTGCCAAAAAACGCACCAAACAGCGAACCAAAAAGGGGATCCCCCGAAAAAATCGGACAGACTCAAAGGACAGAGTGTCTTGTTGTTTGAGGTAAGAACCACCCAATGTTCGGGTGCCCTGAAAAGGACACAATGACATGAGCACCCGACAATACCGCTAGAAACCGATAGGGCCCCAACACCGATATGTTTCGGAGTTTGTGTAAGTCGCAAGGATGAAACCGCCCAAATCAAGTGCGCACGATCCACGAAAGGGTGCTTTGCTCCAAGACGGACTATCTATCTTATGTTGCGTAAAGGCGCGTGGAGGCATCTCGATAGTTGCAACTGGAGCTCCAAATTGGGATGCGGAACCATGTTGTCAGTCCATCAATTTGTTTCTGAGGTGGGTCTGTCTTTTCTTAAGGGTATCTTTTTGAAGTTCTTTTAGTGTTGGGGGGTATTACCCTGAAGACATTGTTCTAGGGGTTGATTCCCCATGCTTTTCAACCATCGTTCTTTTCAAAAACCAGCTGTTTCCCCTTGGAGTCTGCTTTCTGAAAGAAGGATCCCTGGGTTCAGAATGGGGAAGTGTCCCCCGAGAATCTTAGGAAACCCCCGCCCCACCCCCCCCCCCCGCGCCCGCGCCCCGCTGAGCCGAAAATTTTTGGGAGACCGAGAAGCTGGAGGAGATGCTCACCTGTCGCTGCAGGCCCTTGGAGCTCAAGATCTGGCCGCCCGGCGTTGCTTAAGCTCAAGAACGACTTCTCGCTTGCTTTCTGCTCCGCTAAACGTTTCTCTCTTTCTTTTGGTGGGTTTAATGGGAAAAACCATTTGTGGAATAATGGACAAGGTGATGGATAAGTTTGATCACTTTTAATGGTTTAATGGAAAAACATATTTTAGTGGGCTTCATGGGAAAACATCCATGAGTTGGCCAAAAAAATGCGAAAGTCCCAACATCCCTTGGCAAATGCGCCAAAGGCTTCCCCATGGCCCGGGCCTTTCTCAGCTCCCATCGAGCCAAGAGTCGCCGAATCTCTTTACGTATAGCATGGTCCAAGCCCATGTGTTTTTTTTTTTTTGAAGTCCGGGAGCTTAGGAACTGAGCTTTGGATTGGTGTGTTAAGTGACAAACACATACTATGTGTTACTTTCTGCTCCCCTGCTAAAAGTTTAACTTTTAGCGGTTCAGTGGAAAACCCACTAGTTGGCAAAATGTTAAAGTCCTAACAGCCAAGCAAAATGCACCAAAGAAATAATTACTCCCACGCAGATTAGATAAAAATAGAACCCCAACAACCAGCATCCATCATGCGCAGAATCTCCTTTTAGACCCCACACCCTTTTGGTGTTCCACGCTTCTCTGGTACCAAGAAGGGCTTCAAATCCCGAAACCAATCCAAAAGTCCATCAAAGGGCTCCAGCTCTTCAAATGTGCTGGCCAATCCATTCCATAAAGGAAAACCACACAAAATAGGCCCGTATCTTCGTTGCTGGCGAAACCTCTCTGCTAAAAGTTTAACTTTTTGCAGGTCCAATGTGTCCAATGCAAAAAAAGAAAAGAAACAAACAAAAACACATTTTCTACAAAAACTTCGTCCAAAGATCCGCTACCACATAGCAATAGAGCATATAATCCGAAAGGATTGCCTTCGAGCCCAAAAGTCCATCCTCCGACTCTGCGAAAGAAATTGCAAGCGGAATGTGAGCTCAAAGCTCGGATGTGTGCATAGGCTAAAAGCAAGCAAGGCAGAGGTCCCACACAAATCAAAAACAAAAAATCATCACATCAAAAAAAACAACAAAAACGTACAAAACAAGCTGGTTACGTTTTTGTCCAAGGATTGGATTGCGGATTTGACTTTGTAGTTGTTTGCGGCTGTCTGCGAATTGCAAAAAGCTGGTGTTGCTCGGCGTGGTTGGGTTGTGCTGAAGAAAAACATCACTCTGGACTCCAATGGGATTGTCGCAAGGCGAGGTTTGGATCATTGAAACTATAGTTCTGAATGTCGGTATGGTTGCTCAGTTTGTGCCAATAGGTTCGTGCGTGCGTGCGTGCGTGCGTGCGTGCGTGCGTGCGTGCGTGTGCGTGGGTGGCTGGCTGGCTGGCTGGCTGGCTGGCTGGCTGGCTGGCTGGCTGGCTGGCTGGGTGTGTGTGTGGGTGCGTGCGTGCGTGCGTGCGTGCGTGCGTGCGTGCGTGCGTGCGTGCGTGCGTGCGTGCGTGCGTGCGTGCGTGCGTGCGTGCGTGCGTGCGTGCGTGCGTGCGTGCGTGCGTGCGTGCGTGCGTGCGTGCGTGCGTGCGTGCGTGCGTGCGTGCGTGCGTGCGTGCGTGCGTGCGTGCGTGCGTGCGTGCGTGCGTGCGTGCGTGCGTGCGTGCGTGCGTGCGTGCGTGCGTGCGTGCGTGCGTGCGTGCGTGCGTGCGTGCGTGCGTGCGTGCGTGCGTGCGTGCGTGCGTGCGTGCGTGCGTGCGTGCGTGCGTGCGTGCGTGCGTGCGTGCGTGCGTGCGTGCGTGCGTGTGTGTGTGTGTGTGTGTGCGCGTGTGTGTGTGCGCGTGTGTGTTTCAACGTTGCTTGTGGGCTGTGGTTTGGGCGCGCTTCTCCTTTGCAAAGTACGTTGGTGGCTGGCGCAGCAATCCCTTTACCGTTACTCAATGAAATACTCATCTTTGGGGGGTGCTTGTCATCTGAAGTTGAAGAAGGACCAGAACAGAAGGCGTTTTAGATATTGAACCAGCTTCCCTCGGATTGGTGGTTTGCTGGTTAAGCAGAGGTTCCCATTTACCCTCTACAAGAACCAGAGGTTCAAATCCCCAAGCCACCAATCCAAACCACCTCAGGCTTATGCGAGTAGAATATCCTGCACTTCAGAAGGCCAACAACAAATACACCAGTTGAAACTACTAAAGCCGGGGGGGAGGGGGGATATGGCCACGAATCAACCTCCGCTCAAAAAAAAACACAAACAGTTACAAAGGAGGCAGCCAAGGCCCACAAATCAACTCCAACACACACCAACATAGGTGATCAACCACCGATGGAGGGAATATTGATCAACCCCCATAGCCATGGACAAAAAGCTGCTCATATGGCGGATTCAATCGGCCATGGTTCCATTCATAGGAATCATAAATGGCTGCTAAGGATATCCTTACCGTGGATCAACCTCCAAATGGGTGACTGCGTGTGGCTCAAACAAATACAAACATCTTTAAAAACCGCACATGTTCGCCTTTCTTCCTATATAACCCCGTTGCCATCTTGAGTAAACCGGTTTTCTGAGCCACAAACAAATTGCTGGGGACCTCTTCCCATCTACCCCCTCTGCCAAAACCTTTTTTTTGGAGCCGCCAAATTGCGCTCAGGACCGTGTCCTGTCACCGTCCCTCGACCCCAAGCCGGTCCCTCCCCCCCCCGGTCCCTTGATGGGCTGCTTTCCTCGGGCTGAGGATTCTTGGAAAGAGTCTCGGATCAGAGTCTCCATGACCCTTAAAAAATGAATTTATTAGATGTCCTTACCTTAAATTTCATGAAATCATGGACCTATGTTTCAAGGGTCACGGAGACTCCAGGTAGAAAGCAACCCTTCGAAAAAGCAACCCTAAGAATGCAAAAGCAACCCTTACAAAGAATGGGAAAGCAACCCTTACAAAAAATGGGGTGTTCCAAGAAAACGGAATTTCGAAGCACCTCTTGGACATGGGAACGGTACCGATCCCTCGATCCCTCGATCCCTGGATCCCTGGATCCCCCGCCTGGCAGGGCGTCCGCTTCGGGGACTCCGAGTCCCAGGAGGCCGCGGAACAGGGGGACTCCGCCTCCTCCGATTGCATGCCTCCGGGCTCCAAAGGCACGGCGGCGGGTGTTTGTTCCTTTTTTTCCTCCTTCTTTCATTTGTTATTTTCGTGTTTTGTTGTCTTTGCGTGTTTGTTTCTTCTTCTCTTTAATATCCTCTTGTTGTTTTCGTGTTTTTTTTTTTGTTCACGTGGGGCGCCGCAATTATTATTATTTTGTTTAAGTTGAGGAACCCGTAAAACGGCAAAAAGGGCGGAGATACATATGTGTATATACATATGTTTGTGGGTGTCAGTTTTTGGAGTTGGTACTCCTGTGTTGGTCTGGTTTTAAAGGGACACCAAAGGAATGCCATGATTTTGGGGGCCCCCAAAAACAACAACACCCCATAGATGGAAAGGAAAGGGCATGATATCCCTTCTGGAGTAAAGGCAAAGCAAAAGGTTCAAGTTGCGAGCTTAAGTCTTGAGAACCCAAGTCGCATGGCGAGCTCTAGTTAAAACCAAAAGAAGAAACAAACGGGGCCTGCTGAGGGGATCTCTTATAGGGGCCGGTTCATTTTCCGATGTGGCACTCACCTCGATTCCCCTGAACTACCAAATAGCACACACTCATACGAGGTGGGTTTCTTGAAGGTCCAAATCAGACTTGGAATGTTTTCCAGTTGGGCGCCCACATGGTAGAAACATGTCATGGGCAGGGACGTCTTTGCGCGCCCCCCTTCCACACATTCGTTTGGGTCTCGCAGTGCAGCCGATGGACAGAGCTGGAATGGCCGTGGGGGAAAAGGGGGGCCACCTTGCTTTGGCGGAAGTTGCGGAGACTCACTCTCTCACTTCACTTCACTTCACTTCACTTCACTTCACTTCACTTCACTTCACTCCACTCCACTCCACTCCACTCCACTTCACTCACTTCACTCGCTCACTCACTTACTCACTCCCTCAGTCACTCCCTCACACCCCTTCAAAAAAAGCCGTCTCTTCCTGAGCTGATTGGCAAAGTCTAAACTTGTTAACCACCAAAATGGTCCAAGCCCAAGTGGCTAAAGTCCAGCAGCTCTCGTGTGCGCCAAGTACTCTGGCCCGGGGCGGCACCACAACGACTGAGAAACGGACTGCGAGAAAATAACTGCCTAGAGTCTCCATGACCCTCACAAAATGGGGTCATTACCCTAAATAATGGGGTCATGGACCTATTTCTAAAGGGTCATGGAGACTCCAGGTACTCCACAGGTTCGTGTCACCTTCTCACCTTCTCATGCCCGCCTTCGATGCGCGCCAGGGCGTCGTGGTAGAGGCTCACCAAGGTCTCGATCAAGGCAGAGCTCAGATTCAGATTCACCCAGGAGACTTTGCAGCTCGAGGGCTGGTGCTTGCCCGTGAAGAGGTTAAAGACCAGCACCACCTCGGGCAAACTGACTTGGTTGTGGGTCAAACATAGGTACCCAAAATGGAACCCTGGTAAGAGGAAACATGGACTAAAATCCGCGGTCCCCTGGTGGTTTAATTCTGACCCACACCCACTTGTTGCCCGAAGAGGACGTAGGCAAATTGGGTGGCCCCAGCTTTTCAAGGAAGTTTCCATCTCCAACTCCGGTGTCTTGCAGCACCACACTTTTATGTTCCTCCAGCTTTGCCCGTCTCATCAATCTACCCACCGCACTTCAGACACAATCGAAACCTGGTAGTAAAATGGTCTACCCAAACCAGTGTAGAGAACTACAAAGACGGCTGCACCTAGCTGAGGCTGTCCCTTCCCAACACCTGGGTGTTGATTGTGGCTCACCTTTGCAAACCAAACCTTTAAGCCTTGTTTCACCACGCGCCGATAGGAAGGCCTCTCGTTGATCTTAAGGGCGAGCGGCAAATTGTTCACTGAGCATGCAGAAATGGTACATCAATAAGCAGAAATGAGAACTGCCCCTGTTTACCAGGTTCTTGGATGTTTGGGATGGCTCTTGCTCTTCTTGTTTCCAACTTGCTCCAGAAGTTTCGTCTCTTCCCCAATCGCTGCTGTAAGCTGGGGGGAGCATCCCCGCGCCTTTGATCAACCCCCGGGTTCGCTTCGGGAGGGAGGTTTCAAGGGCCTAGATCCCCATCGGCGGATTGTAGCTTCAGTTGCTTTGGGTTGGTTGACGTTGGGTTTGGGGAGCAAAAATTCTCAAATTTCAGCAGCTAAGTGGGGATTTCAACTACTAAACTGCAATAAGCCAAAATGTAAAATGTTTCCCAACAACAACCATGTTTGGGTGCTGCAGCACGGTGGAACAAAGTCTTCTCTGTAAAGTGGACCACGGAGGCCCCATGACGCCATGACTTGTCACTCTAAAGGGGATTCCTTTGGCACAGAAATTGGGCCCTTTCGGCCCATGTTCGGCGACCGTTGGCTAAAACCCGAAACCAAGCCCAAACAAAGTCAAAGCTCCTCACATCCTCACTTACACCACTGAAAACCGGACGGTCCGCCCAAAAGCCGAAAGCGCGCCCAATGCCAAGGGTATGCACAAAGAACTCGAAACGAAAAGACCCTCCTGAAGATCAATTTCAGCTAGGTCCTCCAGTAGAGAGGCTAGAATAAGGGTACCCTTTTTTTGCAGTTTATTTTAGTAGGGGAAACCTCCCAACCAAAAAAGTTGGTGAGGAAGGGCGCCAATTGCTGGGGGACCTATTTGGTAGGGAGAGCCCACCCCCGAAAAATGGCAAAAAAGTGCACAAGGGCACGACTGGGGCACCTAGACATGTCAGCTCGGAACACACCGCGGAGGCGAGAGCTCGCTCTGTTTACGCCTGAGCTCCCCCACGGGCTCCAACAGGGTCGTGGCCCGCGCCAGCTCCGTGGAGGTGATGTTGGCCTAAGATTCCACCGCGCTTGGAGCCAGGGGATATAAATATTATATATATATATATATATATTATAGATTGTTTTTTGTTTGTCTATATATATATATATATTATATTATTTTATATTATAATATATTATATCATATCATATTATATCATATTATATATACATATACATACATATATATATTTATATGTTATATTGTACTATACTATATTATATTATATTATATTATATATATATACATATATATATTGTATTGTATATATATATAATATAATATATGTATATGTATCTATATAATGGTCCCCCCACTCCCCCAAGATGCGCTCCCAGGCGAAAAACACAGTGTTTATTAAACAAAAAACAAGAAACAAAAGAAGAAAAAACAACTATATGCATCTATCTACAACCAATTGGAGGGCAGGGGGGTCGTGTTGCCGTACCTGTGAGAAAATTGGCGACCCCCTTTAAAAGGAATCCTGCACTACGAGGGGGTCAAACAATTTTCCATCAAAGGTGGCAAAAGACCCCCCTGATTTGAACAAGTAAGCGGCATAGATCGCAAACATTTGAAGACAGCAGGGGTACCAGAAGGGCTGTAGTTGAATTCACCAAGCTATTGAGGAAGTGAGGGACCTTCACCATGGAGCTCGTTTAATCCCTAGGTAAACAGCATGCCTCAAAGCAAGGCATATCGCCAACCATTTGACAATGCAATCCGCATTGCAGGTGAAAGCGGTGCATATCTGATGTTTCAACAAATGAAAGGGCTACTTCTCAAACCGCTTGTTCTAAAAGGAGGGGAGCAATTGCGACATTCAAGGGCAAGCACAACACCAACTCCCAAAAAGCAAACCACAAAACGGAAACAGCAACCCTGGAAAGAACATTTTGCCATCCATATTTACTGGAATTATTTTCATGATGTTGGTTAACGTTTAGAATATTTGCCTTTCTATGTTCTTATTTGTTGGAAACGGGTAGGGGTGTCAAGTTGGATCACAGCAGAACTTATTGAGATTTAGGGGTTGTGTTCTTGGGTGTGAACATTTGTTGGCACGTAGCTTGGATTTTTCGGGTGGGATTTGTTGGGGAGATGGGAGATGGTACGTAGTTCTCAATGTTGTTATTGAATAAGCGTAGGGATGAAGGTGAGATGGGGTAAAGAATAAATATTGGTATGATATCTGTTTTTCGGTGTTGGATTGGTTGGGTGATTTGTTTTGAAGGTTGAAAACCGGTTGCTTTTGTATGTGTGTTCAAAATAGGCCAAACAGAGTAGGGGGACTCTAGGGGTGGACGGCAAAATGAGGACGGGAGAGGCCTAGTCTAACTTAATGGCTTTAGGCCTAGTCTAACTTAATGTCTTCTTCTATTTGCTTTTTCGCCCCCTGGAGAAAAAAAACAGTAGTGATAGATTCCCTTTAAAGCCAGCAAGGGAAAACAAAATGTTCAAGCAAATGGATGTCTTACGTCGTAATTATTGTTGAAGGAATCCTTGCAGGCCACACGTGCCTCTTGGCAAATTTCACACAGATCTGTGTGGCAACTCGGATCCGTCGACCCCAAACTGCGTGCATGTTTTTTTCTTGTTTGACGTTGGAAGGGGAGCAACAATTTATGTTTTAGCAGTTAAGTGGATTTAGATTTCAACCACTAAACCACAATAAGATCAAAAATGGGAAAAATGTTTCCCAACAACGACCATGCGTGTTCTTTTCTTCAGTTCGGGTGCCAGCCTCCATTGGGGTCTGGATCCTTCGACCCCAACTGCGTGCATTTTTGTTTATTCAGTCTCCGTGCTTTGCCAGCCTTTTCATTGGGGTCTGGGATCCTTGGACCTGAAACAACTCGGCCTCGCTCAACGAGGTCCCCAGCACAAAGCTTGGGGTTGACGCTGGGTTAGGGGAGCAAGGCTCTAAAACTTTTAGCAGTTCAGTGGATTTGGATTTCAACCATTAATCTAGAGGTTGATTCCCCATTCTGTTCAGCCATCGTTCTTTTCAAAACCGGCCATTTCCCAAGGGCTTTTGGTGGTTTTCTAGAAAGAAGGATCCTTGGAAAGAATGGGGAAGGTAGCCCTAGAATTAAGCCACAATAGCAAAAATGTTCAAATGTTTCCCAACAACCACCATGATGCATGCTTCGAAAAGAGGATCCGACATTCAGCATGAATTTACCCACTAACCACGATTAAACCGAGTCCGAACTACTTGAATTTACCACTCACATCGTCCAACCAACCAGGAAGCCCATGTCCAGTAGAGAGGTTAGAATAAGGGTACCAACTCTTTTTTTTCAGTAGTCTATCTTAGCAGGGGAACCCTCCCAACCAAAAAAGTTGGTGAGAAAGGGCACCTAGCTGGGGACTTTGTCAAATTGAAGGTTCTTCGTTTGGGGCCACCCACATTCTCCACCCGCAGCGGCCAGGGGTGCTGGAAAGCAAGGACACTTGTGCAGGGACACTTGTGCAACTCGACACATCACAGCCCAAAAGCAGCAAACAGCGAGAAAAGCACCAAAAGCACCAGGTTTTGTACCAGCCTGTTTCCCCCCCCCAAAAGGGGAAAAAGGGCACGACCGGGGGACCTAGACCACGTCTGGGGCACCCAACCGCACACGCCCAAAGCCACCGCTCAATCCGAGGCGCCGAGATGGCCGCGCGCCCCGCGAGCTGGCGCCGCCGCCGGGCCTGGGCGACGCCCAAGGGAGACTTTTCAGGGATCCGGATGCATTATACACCGATCGAACATTGCAACTTGTAAATGGTGGTGTCCAACTTTCTTTTAATATTGAAAAAGCAACATGTTTCAAATGGTTGCAAAATGGAGATCTTTTAAGGAGCCCTGTCCAAAAAACCCAAAAAAAGGGGGTGCTTTCTAAAAAAAAGCACCTCTAGATATGGGTGTGTGTGTGTGTGTTTGTGTTTTACAAGGAGGCCGCCCCCCCTTCCCACAAAGCACCATGTGTGTGTGTGTGTGTGTTCTCTTTTTACTAGGAGCCGCCCCCAAAAAAGCACCTCTAGGTGGGCGTGTCTTCTTTTCTTCTTTTAACAGGAGCCGGGGAGCACCCCCCCAAAACAAAAAAAACAAACACTGCTAGGGTTCCTTTTAGTTTCCGATTCAAAACACCAAGATGTAATACCCCCCGAAAAAGACACGCCCATATAGATATGAAAAGCTGGAATGGTGAAAGATTGCCATAGCCGCCGTGAATTGCACAGAGCGACGCTCAGCCATGGTTCCGTCCAGTCACGTTGCACAACCGCAAAAGGGCTGACCCTTTTAAGTGCCGAGCCCGATAAACAAACCTGGGAAAAGCGGGCCACTCAAGAGTGAATGGCCCAAACAAACATTCCAGGCTTTTGAACATTTGTCTACCACTAAGATGCTCCTAAAAAGTTCGAAGTCCGAAACGGAACTCAGGGAGTGAGACAAGATGGCAGTGGTATCTTCAAGCAGGTGTTCACTCGCTATGTGCCAAGGGTCCAGGTGTTTTGTTCTTCGCGCCAAAGCGCGGGCCATGTCAGCAAGCGACTGGAGAGATATGCGCTGGGTGGCTCTTGAAAAACATCGAAGCATTGGGTGAGTTCCAGCATAACTGAGGGCAGCTTGCTTGACGATTCCTCTTGTTTTTCTTTTTTTGAATTGCAGCAAGTTGCCCAGATCCGTTTGAAACCCCCATAGACCTCTGCCGAAAGCTGCTAGAGGCAGACTTTTAAATGTTTTGAGCACATAGACTTGTCTCCGAACTCGAAACGGTGGGTTTGCATTTGCGTCTGCTTCAAATTAAAATACCCCGTTTGTCGATTTCCATTGGTCATAAGCTCGATGCACCGCGAGCTCCTTGTGATTTGCCCAGAGATGCGTGTAGTCTCGTGTGTGCTAATTGGCTACTCGCAACACGTCCAAGTACCTGAGGAAGCACCTCGTCCAAATTGAGTTAGGACTTACTTGGCTAGGTCCTCCAGTTACTGGAGGTTAGAATAAGTTGGTACCCAGTTTTTTTCTGGACGTCTAAAAGGGGAACACACTGGGGGACCTTGGGACTTGAACCCCGAGGGCGCCTCCTGGTTGAACGTAAGGAGTTTTAGGGGCGTCCAAGTGTCGGGTCTGACTTGAAATACCAAAAGCAGTCCAGAGATGTCCAGAGACAACCTAAGGCTGTTGAGGGAATCGGCCATGGAAGGCTTGGAAAAGGTATGCCCAAAAGGTATGGATACTTCTTTGATACATTCCCCATCATTTGCTTTTTTGGGCGGGTCCACACCTCAAGATATGTTGACAGCTCTTTTCTTTTGGGGGGGGGTTGTCTCAACACAGAAAACCCTGCACATGCTCAGCGTCTGCTCGGCTTCACTTTAAACCAACCCCAAGGAGGGTCCCCCTTTAAGAAAAGGCATAGGTCTGGGTGAATTATAATATTTCACAGCCTGAAATAAGGTGGTTGGGGGCCATTCCCCACATAAACCACCATTTGGGGTGAGGTCGTGTGAGGTCGCTATGATTCACCCAGATATGTGAGTTGGTGTCAACTTCGGGGAACTCCATCGTTTGTCGTCCGAAAGCCGCCAGAAAGGGGGTTCGCCAACCTGAGAACCCCCTATGGACACTGGAGGTCTGCGACATGTTTGCCAAGAGGGCTCCCCCAAACAGGGACGCAGTCCTAATCCAGCTACCAGTGGATGGGCCAAACAAGTCCAAACTGTTGCCACTAAACAAGTAGGTCTTCCCAACAAGTGTACAGTCCAGGAAATCAGGAAGTGTACAGTCCAAGCAAAATATTTGGATGACGACAATCCCGACCCAGGAATCTCTCAAGGCGCAGATCTTGGCGAGGGCGATGCGCTCCCAGGGGAGTACACGGACATAGGAGAGGGCTGCCCACCCTCGTTCGGCGCAAAACAACTTCAAGCAACCGATGGCCTCGCCTAACTCACCTCCTGAGTGGACTGGCCAAACAAAGTCTGAACTTCTTGCTTACCACACAAATGGGCTTCTCAGAGTCCAGGAATTCAGGAAGTGAGCTCAAGTAACCCCCCCAAAAGAGGTTGTTTGCCGAACAGGCGGATAACAAATGTTTCAACAAGGGGTCAACCCGCCATTGCCTCAGATCCGAAAGATCAAAGACCAAAGCAATAATCTTCATCCCGAGTTCGCATTGGACCCCCACACCGTTGCCAAAAATGAGTTGCAAGTGCCATGTGGAGGCTTATCAATATTCCTTTCGGGCCCTAAATAACCATGAGTAACTTTTCCCATTGGTTGAACAGGGATCCTTACATTATACACCTGAACATTGCCTTGTCTTATGTTGGTGGAAAAAGCCATGGTTCAAATGGGCAAAATGGAGATCTTTCAAGGAGCCCCGTTGAAATATCATCTTTTTAGTGGTTTTCCAACCAACGGTCATCCCAAGGACCTGTGGATAAAGACTAGTCTTCACGCGACGGGCCTGCGAGTGACTCGGTTGGGCACCCCGCAAAAGGCCCAAGCGCAAAAGGCCCAAAATTTTCAAAGTAATCCAGGAAGCTCACATGGACTGAACTTCAGTGAGCGGGGCCTGTTTTCGACCAGCATGTTCGTCAATCCTTGACCCGTGACCCCTGCTATCGATCTTATTTCATTGCCTCCAACATCAGCGAGTGTCTCAGGTGCCCCTTACAAAATGGGTCTGGGTCAAAATCAAAGCACCGGGGACCGCGCGTTTCAGCCCTTGATCCATTTTTGGGTACAATTGTTTCACCCCCTCCCCCCTAAACGGGAGGCTAGACTAACCTTTGACCAGCAAGAATGTGGTCTGGCCAGGGCTACATCAAAAGCAACAGGGGCAACTCACAGCGGAGCCAGGCAAAGCTGAGCTTGACGTTTCCCATGAAACTTTGCCTTGCTCAACAGAGGTCCAAGCACTGGCTGCCAGCCGATTTCATGTTGCTTCTTTTGCCGAACAAAAAGGCCGCGTTTGTACCCACCGCTGTGATACGAGCGTGGGCTAGACCCGGCCTGCGCGAAACTTGATTGGTCCAAGCTGAGCAGCAGGTCCTGCATAGCAGGGAACCGAACTTTCCCGCGATGACCCTCGGGTGAAAGGAGAGCAAAGGCGCGTCCAATGGAAGTAACACTAGGCCTTTTCAAGTGACTTACAAAGCCCTTTTGCCCACTTAAACAACTGTTGGCAAGAGTGTGTACACATGCGGGCTTGTCAAAATTAGGACCCTGGTTGCAATCCACTTTAACAAACGGCACATTTCTTAAAGGGGGCATATTTGTGACAACTCCCCGCATGGTCTGGGGGCGGAAGGGGAGGGGTAACAAGTAAATATTCTCATTTAGTGGTGAAAAGCAGCTTTTTGGTGGTTGCCCTAATGGTCACCCCAAGTAAAGGACCTTTTGATGAACCCCCGAATATGTCAACATGTAAAAAATTCCAAATCTTAAGCCCGTGAGGTCAAACGCAGAGAGATTTAGGCGTGACTCCTCAATGAGGACCACAGCAAGCTCTGCATCCGTGGAAGACTGCCTCAGTGAGATCAGGTGGCCGATGACTGTCCAAAGAGCCCAAGATCCAATTGATTGTGCCCATTAAGCTGGGTAGAACTACAAACTTGGTTCTGAATATAGACCAACGGTGGCGTGGTCAGTTAGCCTAGCCAGTGGTGAGCATACACCATGTCACCCGGTTTATATGGCAGAACATGGTCATGAAGGTTTGCTGTGGCTGTCGAGCTACCGCTGACTCTGACTTAGTCGGGGATGCTGCCATACGCCTAAGCTAGAAATTCCCCAAACTCCTGCTTTTAGGTTCGTTGTTCGACGCGACCGCAAGACAAATGTTGAAAGACCTGAAGTCTTGTTAGTCCAGAAGACGTGATGCTTGTTGGCCAACCTTGCACATTCAGAGCCCCCAGTGTTCCTTGTCCCTTCATCACCCCGCCCAAACCAACGACATCGACAACTTGGTGACTGTCCAAACAAACACCCGCAACTTGAGCAACATCCAATCGAGTAAACGAAAGACCATGCACTGATTTCGCTGTAGCCGTACTCTTTTGCAAACAAAATCGCATGGAGCCCATTTTCACCATCAACCAAGGAGTCTCTTTTTTGTCGGGGCCGACTTATTGATGTCATTTCTCGCAAATCGGAACCAACACTAGGTCCTCCAGTAGTGAGGTTAGAATAAGGATACCTTTTTTCTGTAGTCTACTTTAGTAGGGGAACCCTCCCCCCAAGAAAGGGAAAGGGCACCAATTGCTGGGGGACCTCGAACAAATGCCCATGTTCGTAGCTCGGAACCCACCAAACTTCCGCGGCAGCGTCCGAAGAACGGCGAGGCGCACGAGGCCGATGTGGAGGGCCTCCAGCTCAAGGTCCAGCTGGAGCCGGCAACTGTGCCACACCGACGCCTCGCTTTAGCGAGTGGATCGGAATTCACGTGGTCGTAGTCCCAGGACCGCGTTTAGTGACGTCCATTTGCTTGAGCAACCGGAATAAAACAAAAATATGTCCAGTAGTGATGTTCTTAAGCAAATGGATGGTGGGGATCGCTGTGGGTTAAAAAAAAAACAAACAAAAATGGATCCCTGGTGAAAACATGGACCAACAGCTGCGGATTTGCGGTGGTGAAAAAAGCTGACCCACACACACACATGGTCGTGGTCCCAGGACCGGGTTTAGTGGGGATGGAGTCACGTGGAACCCGACAAACCATCAAAGGACTCGCCCCGCGGACGTCCCCTTTTGAGGTTCCATGAGAAAAAAGGGGGAGCCAGGAAAAAACAACAGATCTACAATTGGTGTCCTTCCAGGATTGTTCTCAAAACTGTGGGCTACTTGGCACCTAGTGCCAGTGACCTGCACTGAGAAGGGCCGATCAAAACAAGCAATACACCAAACAAAAGAAGAATTAGCATGCCTCTGCACCCGAATTGCCTTGCCACTTCTGACTCCGAATGCAGATTCTTAAAGGGTGGGGGAGTTCCCTGATATTACAGAAGGGAGACAAATCGCTGATTCCCACACCCAACATTGTTGTGGAAGATGGGTCTGCACTTGGTACGTGTATCACAGAAAATGACCCACCCATCCCGCCGCCCCCGCTCCTCCCCACCCATGCGCTTTGCAGGCCGACGATTCAACAGGGGAGAGGATTTAACCCCGCTTTTCGGCCCTGAGGGCCGATTGACGGGTTTTATCCTGTTAAATGTTTAGACACGGGCCGGTCATACACCTAGTGTCAGGGTCCTGGGTGCAAATAGTTCCCCTAAATGGCCCGATCGTCTCTATGTTTTCACACTCCGGTTGCATAAGCATTCAAGTGCAGGACGTTCTTCGGATTGTCTGTGAAGGAGGGAACCACACGAGACTATTAACGACCCCATGGGCTAAGGGGGATCAGCAACCGCCCAAGTTATCATCAAGCTGCCTTTGCTTGGTGCAGGCTGACAGGAAGCACATCTTCCGTGACCGGGATTTCCAACTTGAAGGGAGCCCCTCCTGCATCATTTGCGGGTCCAGCACGGGGCGGTGCGGATGGGCGTGCTCATGGCGCAGATCGATTTTGGAGCTGCATGCGCACCGCATGTTGATTCGCATCCCAACTCCCACAGCCCCAGCTCACAGCCCCACAGAGCCTGTGGCTTCCAGCGTTCATATCCCACCATCCAGCCCCCATCAGCCAGCGTGATCTGCTTCACGTGATTTGAAGCTCGCCGCTCTTCCGGCTTGGTGTTGGGTTGGCGGCGTTTCCGTTCCCAGGTGCAGCCACTGGCAGTGGGATCTGGGCTGCGTTGCATAAGGCCTGGTTTGATCCCTCGGGCTTCTTTCCGATGAAGGAAACCAGACCGGCGTCAGTCTGGATGCAGACGGTCAGTCCTGACTTAGCGCAGTCGCGAGTCCGACCCAAGCTGTCAGCTCGCAGCGAGCCCCGCCCAAGCACAAGTTGCGCCGCTCGTCCCAGCTGCGCCAGGCTGCCCTGTTGCCAGCTGATATCCTGGGCTCTGCCGTGAGCCCGTCAAACCAATACTCATTGCAGCCACCTCACTGGCAAGCCAGCCTGCAGCCGCTTCCAGCCATCAGCATCAAATCACAGCTCGAGTTCAAGTTCCTGGCATCGCTTTGCCTGCAGCTCACCAGACTGCTCAGCCAGCTGGCTGCTCAGCCCAGCCCCGGTATCATTTGCTCAAGCCCGCGTTGTTCTTATTGTTGTTCTTTTGAGCCTGGCTGAGGCGAGCAGCACGCAGCGACTACAATAAACCCGCACCATAGGAGGAGGGGGGGTGGTGATCCCGGCAAAAGTGCTGAAGCCCCAAGACAAACATCCCACATCCCCAGACACGCAGCCCCCCATTTTCCCACCCTCCTGTCTCTTTTTCTCGTCTTAGGCGCCGCGTGCCACAAGGAGGAGACGAACCACGTGGGCACCAGCTCCAGTACGATCTCCCCCACCTGCTCCAAATCCTGCGACACCGCCCGCCAGCTGCGCTCAGAGAACCTGCGTTCGGAGGACCTCAGCTTCGGAAAAATCGTGTGATGGGGTTGCTGTTGGAACTGACCATGTGAGCTGCAGTGGATGGACGGAAACCTGCACCAGTTTGAAACCATGTGAAGCCACTGTTAGTTGGAATGTACAGGGGAATCATTCTTCCAGCATTTCTTAAGTGGTGCAGGATTTCGTCCATCCACAGTATCTCCAAAGTTCAAAAGGTGGAGAAATCAAGAATATCTCTTGTTTGCTTTGTTTGACAGGGTTGTTAGCACTATGCCCGTTCCTGAAATCCAACCTTGGAATCGAATTTGAGGGATAACCCACCCCACTACACCCAATGATTTGGGCACATGTCGTTCCATGTTGGCCTGAAATCCCAGCGGATTTGAGGGAGCGCCCGCTGCGCATTCCTGGCGTTTTTCTCAGCTGGTCCCACCCCCCCTATGTTGCTCGATCTCCTGGATTGCAATGAAACCAAAAGCCCCTGCATCCACTGCATGCTGGCTATGTGATATTTGCGTTTAACACACACAACGCATGGCAGCCCCTGAACCCTGGCAGCAGGCGAGCTCCAGAGCCAAATGACAAAGGGCACGCAGGGCAATGGGATTGCAGAAATCACAACATCCCATGACTGACTAGTGACTGGTGCAAAGGAGTTTTTTAAGGGGCCTGCTTCAAGCGCAGTTCAAGGGAATTCGCAGGGCCGCAACAACTCATGCCAGCCCCCTCTAGACTCATGCCAGCCCCCTCAAGCACCGGTTTGTTCCGTTTATTCGGCATGCTGCAAACCCACATGCTTTGCCTTGCTGCACTGCTGCCCCATTCCTTGTGTTTGTGTTCCACGAGGTGTCAAATGGTTTCTAAGAAATGGGCTCCTTTCGGGCGCGATCGGAACCCGTTTTGAATCCGCTTAACGGGTCTCACAAATGGTACCCAGCAGGGCTGTGGGGAATGGAATCCACTTCTGTGATGTAACAGAAAAGGGCCGAACCCCAAAAACAATTTTGTCGATCTAAAGGGGGATTCACAGAAGTGGCTGTGGCTCAAAATTAAACAGGAGGGGTTACGCAGGTTTTGGTCCATGGTTCCACCTGCCAGGGTTCCATTTTGGTACCGGTTTTTTGAGCCACAGCCAAGTGGTTGGAGAAACCCCGAGTGATCAACCACAACCCTGGCACCCAGTGCCATAGACCACCAGTAGGCCTAGGCTGCTTCAGCTTCCTGGTGCCCAGGGAATGACTTTCCGGGTGGCGGGTGTCGGGAATGAACCGGAAGGGCATTCCCTTCAATGAAACCATAGGATGGTTTATAGGAACCATTCCCTCATTCCCTGCTAGGAACTAGCAAGTTGAAATGATGGGTGCTGTTCAACAAAGTAAGCTTTTCGGGGTTGGTTTCAAGAACCGCCAAACAGGAAGATTAACCCTTTCTCTTTTGGGGAAAGCGTCCTGGCAAAGCCAGGACGCGATCTTCCCCAATCCAAGTGGCTCGGAGCGGGCTTTATCCTTGAGGCTGCTGAAACTCCCGGATTTCTCCATGCTCCGCGGATCGTGGCCTCGGCACCGGTTCGGTTCACCCTCAGTTTGGTGGGTTCCGTCTGGGAAAAGTGAACAAAACACACTCGAATCTAGGGCTATCGTCCATTTCTATTCTTTCCAGGCATCCTTCTAAAGCCACCCACACCCCTGGAAAAACAGCTGGTTTTTGAAAGAGCGTTGAAAAGAATCGGGAATCAACCCCTAGAATGAACATCTGGGCGTCGCCCATGTGCGAACTGCAAAAGAATCGACATGAACTCGGTTGCTTTCTGCTCCCCTGCTAAAAGTTTAACTTTTAGTGGTTTAATGGAAAACCCATTAGTTGGCAAACAGTTACGGTCCTAACATCCCTTGGCAAAATGCACCTCTATGAAGACAGTCAAAGAATTGACAAAGACAGGCAGCTGCACTTCGTCAGAGAGGGCTCTTGAAAGTGATACTATATCCTCCTTGCCTTCCATTTGGTTGAGGCCCCAGGAAGAAAAAAAATAATGTTCGGTAGTGATGAATTCCTTTTAAAACCAAGGGAAAATAAACAAAATCTTAACCAAATGGACGTTGTTCTCCTTAATGGCCTTACAGCTCATGGCCTTACAACAAGGAGTTGGTGGAGTGCTGGGCAGTTTCCTTCTAACCTTTGAGTTATGGCCTTCAAACAGCAAGGGGCTTTGGTAGCTGTGTCTAAAAAAAATGGCGCGGCCCGCCGCTTTGTGCCCCTGTCTTCGTTCGTTGGTTCAACATGCTCAACCCAAAAAACGCGGTCCACGTTGGTTTTTTTCTTCGGGCGGCCAAAAGCCGCCAGCTCAGCATCCAGCGCCAGCAGATATCTCCAGGTCCTGAGATGGATCGAGACTTGTCTGTGAAAAGTCACTCACCCGCTCTGTCTGTTGTCTGATGTCGCCGCTAAAAGTGTGAAACACTTTTAGTGGGTTAGATGGAAATCCACAAAACACTGAACAGCTGAAAAGCTGAGGGGATGGCTGGGAGCCACCAAGTAACTTGGGGGTTATATGGAAACCCAACCACCAAACCAACTTTAAAAAAAAGAGCTACAAGCCTAAGGGGATGGCTGGGAACTATCGAGCTTTGAGTCTCGGTTCCCTTTTTGGGTTAGTTTGAAAAGGAGACTAAAGGCATCACTTTGGGGGGTCCCACCTCAAAAAAGATATGTCTTCTCAATGCGGAGAGAAACGCAATTCCCGGGGCGAGGGGGGGTGGCATGATGGATAAGGATTCGCGGGCGCAAGTCGAGGGTCAAATGGCCATCGTTGCACCCGAAAGCAACCCCTTGGGGCTAATTCCATGGGTCCTTGATTGAAAAGAAGAGGTTCACAGCAAATGACTTCACACAGAGTGAGTGTTTGGTTTGTTACAGGGAAACGAAAAGGACACCTGCCATTTTGGTGGAGAACATTTCCAGCTGGGTGCCTGTTGTGTGAGGGTACCCTCTTTAGGTTGGTTCAAAGTGAAAAGGCAAGCCCATTCGATGCAGTTTGTGGTTGGAAGGGTAAATTTTGGGGTGGATAAAGTTAAAGGTAAACCAACAAGAACACCGAAGCCATGTGTTTTTTGTGTTTTGTCCTTTCTTCTTGCCCCGGGGGGGGGGGGGATTTTTGAGACACGCCCATTTAAGGGCACCAAAAAAACACCACTTTTTTTTGGAGGGGGGGTCGATTTTTAAAGACACGCCCACTGAAAACCCACCAAATTTCGACACCAACCGACTTCCACTTCCAGGCCTCAGCAGCAGTGGCACATGCTCCGTCTTCAGCGAGACCTGAGCTTCTGGTGATCGGCTCTCGGCTCTGGCGAGGTTCGGGTTCGAAGAAGCCCATCTATTCAGTTGGGCGTGGATGTTTTTTTTGGAGGGGGATTGAAATGAGGTTTGGTTTCAGTTGGGTGTGCGTGATTTTTTTGGAGGGTACACCTTGGGTGCTTTTTTTGAGGGTACGCCCTTGTTGGTTGGTTTTAAGGGGGAACGCAAAGGACAACCGTCAAAAAAGACACCCATATGGGTTTCTCATCATACGAATGGCGAACCACCTACTAGCTTGGCGACGAATATCCCAGTAAATCCCGGAATTGCCACAGTTCCCGCACATCACTCTGGAAAGCTGGGCTGCTTGACGGCGTGATCTTCACTCAGGGTATCGACAAATTCGAGGGGCGGGGGGGGGGCAGCGAAGTACATGGCCACTACAAATGCTACACTCATGCAGTAGTAGAAATGAAGAACGGATACCCAATCGTGCAACCGTCTCTCCGCTACTGACCATTTGATTGATCGGGTGCCGACACTACTCTCTAAAAAAAGGCACCCCCTTCAAACTCTGGATGGACGAAATCCTGCACCACCTTGAAGCCACGGTTGACACCATAACGTTTGTTGGTATTTACGAGGGAATTTCTATTCTGGGTGTCTTAGGTGGTGCCTATAGGGATTTTGTCCCCTCCTCTTTTTCACATAAGTTCTCACCAGGGGCCCAAGCCACAGGGTTCAACTGCTTCGACCCTGCGTCAGGGCACCCCGACTTTTTCGAAACCCGAACATGCCCCAAAACAGGCCCCATCCACCCATCCACCCCCCCCAACAATCCCCCGCAACAACCTGCCCCCCGCAACAACCCCCCTCCCCCCCCTCCAACCCTCTCCTCCCCCCCCCAAACCCTGCCCCCGCAAACCCCAACCCCCCAAACCTCCCCCCCAACCCCCCCCGCGGATCCTCTTCGAGGCGCGCAAAGCGGCGCCAGCCGCAGCTGCCCACTGATGCGCCTCTCCAAACTCAGCTCCACGTCCAGGCGAACCCGGCAGGGGTGCAGAATCGCACCCTCCTGGACCATGGAATGTGTCTTTCTTGAGGGGATCCCCCCTGCCAAATATATGTATATATACACATAAATATACATATATATATATACACTAGAACAAAACAACATGTGTATATATATATATGGCTATGATTTTTTTAGGGGTCTGTAACGCGCGACGCGCCACGAATCTTGTTACGGAGGTCTGTAACGGAGGTCCTTGTTACGCAGGTCTGTAACGGGACAAACATTTCCTGACAAGCAGTATCAGTAGCACAATGTAGCGCAGCACAACGAGGTATGTAATGGCTATGTAACGAGGTCTGTAACGAGGCAAAGCGAAGCGCAGTACGCAAAGCGCGCCTCGGCAGCACCAGCTTGCTTGAGCTATTCAACGCAAGCCACGCTGCGGCAAAAAGCGGGGTCGCTGGCCCGGGCTGGGGTTGGGTCTGTAACGAGGTATGTAACGGCTATGTAACGAGGTCTGTAACGAGGTAAAGCAAAGCGCAGCACGCAAAGCACGCCTCAGCAGCTCTATTCAACGCAAGCCAAGCTGCGGCAAAAAGAGGGCAGTCACGACACTGGCCCGGTTTGTTCATCTGAGGTGTGTAACGAGGGCGTGTATAACGAGGGTGTGTAACGAGGGTGTGTAACGAGGGTGTGTAACGAGGGGTGTGTAACGAGCCAGCTGGTTTTGTTACAGAGGTCTGTAACGAGGTCTGCAACGAATGTCCGCCGCGGCTCTGTTACAGACCCCTCAAAAAAAAACACTGCCATATATATATATATATATATATATATGGTGTTCCCGGTGGTTTCCGTTTCAACCCCCCCCCCCCCACCCCGCAAAAAAACAAAGAGGTAGTGTTCCCCATTCTGTGTCTTTCCGATAGCGTTAATGTGAGGAGACAACCAACTTGTGGCCCGAGTATCCAATACGCATACCTCTGGCTCAAAACCTGATTCGGTATATCCACATGGAAAATCGTTCAGTGGATTTGCAGGCAAGCCATCAAAACTAGGCTTTTTCTGGGAGCCTCCGGCTGTACCGCCACCCAAGAAAAGTGGTTTTCCTTGTGGCTTTCCTTTCAAACCAGCCAACAAAAGGTTCCACATGGGTTCTTCATCTACATGTGCCTGGGTATATGTCGCCTCTTCCCTGGATCGATTGTGGGGTTGCGTAAACAAACAAAAAAAGGCACCCAGCTTGCAAGCCGGCCATTTTTGACATCCTCACGTGCTTTTTGGCCCTAGGCCCAGGGCAAGCCTCTTCTGGCAGAATCCGAATCTGACCTGATACCTTCCATTTGCTTTTGCGCCCCCTGGAAAAAAAAGTCCAGTGGTGATGGATTCCATTTGAAACCAGCAAGGGAAAACATATTTGTTTAAAAAAAAAAAAATGTTCTTAAGCAAACGGATGATACGTGTCTGAGCCCCAAACCCCTTCCCACCTCCATCCCCTTCAACCACCTCGCCCCTCATCCTTCCACTCCAAGACCCAATTGCCAAGGCCTCGCCCGCCTCCTCACCGACCGCACTTAAGTCTCAAGGGGTGAATATCACCACTGGTGGTCCCCGAAGAGAGATTTAGCTGAAAGTAGCGTCTACTTTAAATATATGTTGCAGCAAAACAACACAAAAAAAAACCACACGTGTCCATCCACCCAAAACCCCCACTGGTGCCCGCCCCCCCCCCCCCCCACACGCGTCCATCATACCCCAGCAAAACCTGCCCCCCCGCCCAAAGTAGGCCGGTTCTTTTTTTTGGTAGCGCCTTGTTGCCTCCCCGGGAGCTGTGGCACGCACAAAGGCTGGAGACCCGCAGCTGGCTCCGCAGCTGCCGCAGGGACCAGTGCAGCCCGCAGCTCCACACGATGCCTCGCGGTGACTTTCGAGCGAGGAGGATTTCGCCGCCGCCGACGAAAACGGAACGGTCACCAGGGGGGGAGGGTTTGGGGGGGGGGGGGGGTTGTTTTTTTTTTTGAGGGGGGAGGATGATGAGAAAAATCCGCTGAGCCCCATGGAAAAGCCGCTGTTCCCGAGCGGTTCCCAAAAAGTGGAAGTCCAAAGATCCAACCAGATGGCCAAGCTTGAGTCGAAGGGAAGCTCTTCCTTGAGCCCAGGGCGGACCTGGAAATGAAAGGTGAGATCAGCTGTTGGGGCCGCTGAAAACAATTGCTCAAATCAGGGAAACCAAAAAGTTAAAAGGAACAATGTGTTGCCAAGACAGGGAAACTAAAAGGTTCAAAGGTCAGTTCGCTTTTGGCAACTGAGGTTTCTTTGGCCCAAATCAAGGCTTTTCAGTTTCCAGCATCCCGGTCCCGGAATTTTGACCATTGGCCCAAATCTTGCGACAGCAAATCGCATGTTCTGACTTGGTGTCATATTTTAGTCTGCATCAATATTAAAAGCATTGTAAGACCTTGGAAGGGAACATGCGTGGCTCCTCTTTAAGGAATCGAACCCCTTAGATGGTGGTTTTCCTTTTACGTCCCTTCAACCCAAAATGGTACGTTCCAACAAAAATACACACCCGATGTGTTTCTAGCTGTTTGTGGTTTAAGCAGCACCTTTTTTGCCAGAGATTCCTGGGTGATGTTAGGGAAAACAGAGGGAGCCGTGACTTAACCAATTTCCCTGCCTGCCTACTCACACAATGGGGACAACAACCTCTTGGAGTTTGTATTTTACGTGGGTGGCTCGTCTTTTTTGCGGTTGGACCCTTCCAAAATGGTGGTGTCCAATTTCAGTTTCCCTTTAAAACCACCCAAAGCCAGGTACCCTCAAAAACGACAGACCCGCATGGCGAGCCGGTCCCGACAATGAAAGAGCAGCAACCACAAGAGCCAAAACTTGAGCACTACTGCGGGTGGGCAAGATGCATTTCGCACCACTTGAAACCATGAAAAGCCACTGTTTGTTGGTATTTGCGTTGGGGAATCAAATCATTCCAGGGTTTGTCAAGTGGCGCGAAATGGATTTCGTCCATCCACAGTCGCTTTTGAAGGTTCCTTAAAACGGGAAATGGCTCTGAAACCCTGTAAAACCAAACTCGCTTCTCGAGTGGATCGGGCAAAAAAAGGTACCCACACTTTCCACTTGCCACGAAAATGGTCCAAGGAAAAAAGTGCCAAAAGTCCGAGTTCCGGAACTCGGGGAGTGCGCCGAACGAGGAAAAATTATCGGTCCCCCAGCAATCGCTGCCCTTTTTCTCCGTTTTTTTGGTTGGGAGATTCGGTTCCCCTACTACAACAGACGTCCTAAAAAAAGAAACGGTACCAACTTATTCTAACCTCTCAAATCTGGAGAACCAAGCCTGTCCCTGAAGCAAAGTTACCACCCCAGCCTGAATTGAAGTGAGAAAACGATCACATGTTGCTCGACATCGCCCAAGGTAGTCTTAGGTCTTGCCGCTCGCTCAAGTGGACTCCATGTCAACCACAGCGTTCTTCTAGGGGTTCATTCCTTTTCCATTCTTTTCAACCATCGTTCTTTAAGCCAAAAAAACAACTCGGTGTTTGTTTCTGGGGTTCTGATGGTTTTCTGGAAAGATTTGGATCCATGAGTTTAGAATGGAATTGGAAGGTACCCCTAGAGTGTGGATCGCTCAGTTTTGGACGGGCTCCCTTCAAGTAACTCCATCAAAACTTCTTACAGTGTCCCCATTCCCCATCCTTGGTTGACGTTGGAAGGGGAGCAACAATTCAAACCATAGCCGTCAAGTGGTTGGATTTCAACCACTAAACCACAATAAGCAAAAAATGGGAAAAACTGTTTGCCAACGACGACCACGCATCGTTCTTGCTCGATTTTTTTTCCAACCTAAGACGCTCGCTGTGGATTCCATGGTCCGCCGCTCCCCCGCGAGACCAGGAACCCCGCTCGACCGACAGAAACCGCGCGAGCTCGACCCACAGAAACGGCGCCTTGCGGGTCCTGGCCGGCGGCGCTGGGCAGAAAGGCCGAGAGCTTGGTGCAGCTCACCTCAAAGAACCGCAGGGGACGCTTGCAACCATTCTTTCCAGAAAACCATCACAACCCCAGAAAAAGAAAGAAACAAAAACGGCTAGTTGTTTGTCAAAGAGAACGGTTGAAAAGAATGGGGGGGGGGAAAAACAACAGCTAGTTTTGTTAAGAAGAACGATGGTTGAAAAGAATGGGGAAGACACTTTAAGAAGTTTTGAGGGTGGCACCTTAAGGAATCCTCGCGGTGGTTGTCGGATCCCGATCGGTAAATGGAAAGGCTAAACCCTGCGGTTTTTCTGGTTGAATTTTGACCCACACCCAAAATGGAGCCCTGGTAAATGGACACATGGACTGACCTCTGTGGCTTTCTGGTTTGATTTTGACCTAAACCAACCTCCAGATTTGAGAGGTTCGAATGAGTTGGTACCAACTCTTTTCGGTTTTGTCTATTTCAGTAGGCCCAGAGAAAGGTAACAGGGCACTGGGGGACCTAGTATTGTTTAGAGGCTAGCTGACACCAGTCTCTAGCGATTTACTGAAATCTGAAACTCACTTCCGATCGAGTGCCTGGGCAAAACCAAAAAACCAATTCAGGCCGGGATCCACTCCAAAGAGGAAACACACAAATTGAAACTTTTCACTCGATCCCAGAGGGTGTTGTTTGGTAGCCTAGGATTGTTTTTTTTTTTTTTGCTTTCTGGGGATTGAAAGGGGTTCAACTACTAGGTCCTCCAGATTTGAGAGGTTCGAATCAGTTAGTACCAACTTTTTTGTTTTCCCGGTAGTCTAGTTTACTAGGGGAACCCTCCCCCAGAAAAGGGTAAAAGGGCACTACTGGGGGACCCAAACTTCAATGCAGGCCGGGTCTTACATTCTATTTAGGATGGGTTCGGCTTGGTCGGAGCTTGGATTCAATCAGGGCTATGGTGTAAATGGCAACTTCTGTGATGCAACAAAAGGGCTCCCAAAGAACCCCCCCCCCGATGCAAAGGTGGATGATGCCCAAAAGTATCATAGAAGTGATTGGATAAACCTCGAGTGATCCCACAACCTTGCCTGAGAAGCATCGGTGTTGAGTGGGGACAAATGGTAGTAGAGTGTCTGGTGTTTAGTACCAGGTTGAAATGGATATCAAATCCAGGATCGGGAAACCGGTGAACCTAAGTGAACAGGAGAGTCGAAGAAAAATTGGTTGAAACGGTCAAACGCATGTCGCACACATGAATCAAACCAAGGGATGAAAAGGAAAAACCAAAGGTCGAAGGGTTTAAAGTAAAAAACAACAACAACAACATCGAACCAAAGGTTGAAAGGGTAAAACAAACTCAGCCACCACTTTGGAGATTTGGTTTGGTGGTTGGGCAATTTGGAGGTTAGGGGGTGGCTTGTCTCAGTAAGGAAAAAGGTTCATCTCCCGAAAAACCAAGGGTTGCCTGACCAAAAGGGTTGAGGCGTGTGGTTTTCATGTTTTTGCTTAACCAGCTGTTTAGCGCTGGTGTGTAAAGGGCCGTATCTTGCCCAACTCACCTCCGATTGGGTGGGGATTGGCCAAACAAAGTAACCATTTTTTTTTTATTTACCACTAAAATGGTCCAAGCCCCAAAGAGTTGAAAGTCCGAAACGGAAGTCAAGGAGTGAGCCAAAGGTCAACTGAGTCATAATAAAAACCCGGTCTTAAAATGGTCGACCCAGAACCATGTAAAGATTATGAAGGCGGCGCAGCTATTTATAGTTGGGAGTGTCCCTTACTAACCTTCACTTACCCGGGCTGTGATTGTGACTCAACTGATTGAAGTTTTCCCAAAACGACACCGCCACCCAGTCACGGACAGATCCCAGTGCTGCAGACGATCGAAGAGCTCCTCATCCGCCCCTGACGGCAAGCTGTGGAAAAAATGACAACCTGGAACTTGGCCACGACCAAAATGGCTGTGGGTCAAAACCAATGGGATCCCATTTTGGGGTAGGTGCACCACCCATTTTAGTCTATTTTAGTGGATGTTCACTGAGAATTCGGGATTTTGACCCATGGCCAAATGTGGGCTTTTTTGCAGGCCCCCACTAAAAAACAACAAAAACAACTTGCCGAGGACACCTAGCATTAAACGGGTCTATCCCGAATCAGGAGAAGAACAACAAGGGCAACAACGCCAACATTGTGGCTGGGACTATTCCTTACTCACCTTCATCTACTCTGGCTCTCATGTGCCGTTTGGAGGAAGATGCTCTTCAATCTTTGTAAGTGGATCAAAGGATAAAGCCTGGTGGTTGAAAACAAATCAGCATGTGCGGCCGATTTCGGTCTTATGAACCTCGGTCGATAATTTTTGTCCAGGACTCCTCGTGTTGTTTGCTTTTGGGGTTTGGACCCCTGGGGTGCGTGAACTTGACATGTGGCTGTCCCTTCAAGGAAGGTTGAATCCTACTTACCCCTTAAAACTCCAAGTTCTAGGGAAGTTAATCTTTTACAGACATATTGCCCATGTTACCCAAAAAGTTGAAAAGTTGTGTTTTTAAGAGGTAATCCTATGGCTCAAACCCTGCAACCCACAGCCTTCCCCGTCGGTGGGTTGCTGCCAAGTTTGATCGGTGGGTTGCGGCCAACTTCTCAGGGTTTGGTGCTGGGTATCGAATAAGACATGGGGAGTCTCCCAAATCTACTCACCAACCTGAGAAAAAAAGAAGAAGATGGGGAACACCAACAACATGTTTGTCTGTGATTTTTTCTCTGGGGGGAAGGAAAAAAAGGGATTTGATTTGGTGGAACAAATCAAACACACACACACACACACAGGCATGCCGTGACATGAAGCCAACGCCTCTCTGGAGGGAGGGTACCCCCTTTGCCACAGGGGTCCCGCTGTTCTGTGGCTAGGAAGAAAACCAACAAGAAAACCAACAGGAAAACCAACAGAAAGCCATTTTGGGGGGTCCAACCTTAATCTCACCTCGTGAGTGGATTGGCAAGGAAAAACAATGTGTTTTCATGTTCCACTAAATTGGTCTTCCCTAAATTGGTCTTCAAATCCAAGAACCCTTCGGAAGTGAATAAGCAACACAACACCCACATTTCCGCGGCCATCTCTCCCAATCTCCCAATCTCCGCGCGCGAAAAGGCGCGCCTTCGCGCGCGCCATGGGGCCTGTCTACCGCCTCTTTCTCTGAGAAGGCCTAGCGGTGGATAGGGCGTGGCCCGGGGCTTAGGTGGGAGAGGGCCCATCTGGCGCTTCCTTTCCAAAGGGGGCTGGGGGGTACTTGAACACCAAAAGTCATGATTCTCAGAAAACACATCTGGGTCCTCCGGTAGAGAAGCCAGAATAAGGGCACCCTTTTTTCTGTAGTCTATTTTAGTAAGGGAGGGTCAAACCCTCCCCCCAAAAATGGTACAAGGGCACTACTGGGGACCTGGACCTGACCGTGGAGATCATCCTAGGTTCTCCTCTTGTGAACTTCTTGACTCTCTCGATGGGCCCACCCGGACATCCTCGCTCCGCTCCCCAGAAATCGCGGGCAAAAATCTCCTCAGAATGATCCTCTTTTTCCGGTGGTTTCAGGGACACCCCCACAAGCTATCGAGAGAACCTCGAAATGCAGTCAGATTTTTCCATTTGCCTTTTTTTGTCCGTTGGAAAAAAAGAAGAGCATCTGTCAAGTGAAATCGATTCCCTTTAAAACCAACAAGGCAACTTGAAAGACATGTTCAATTGGCCATGGATCAAAATCTTGTACCCCCAGTGAACATCCCAATCCCCACTAAAATGGTACCATTGGTTTTGACCCACCGCCATTTTTCAGAAGATGGAAGTCAGTTCAGGCCGCCATAAAACGCCGCGCCTCCCCGAGCCTCTGAAGAAAGTCCAGACATTTGGCGAAGGAGCCGCAGTCAATGGACAGCCACAGAGGCGCCACGTGGGCCCTCACCTGCAGCTCCTGACGACAGGAAACAAATTTCCGGATGCCGAAGGAACCCCCCTTTGAAGATGGGCGTGTCAGGAACCCCCCTTTTGAAGGGGCGGTGGAACCGGGAAGGGAGAACAAGTGCCACAAATGCCTTTGTGGCCTGGATGAGTTTGAAAGGTTGGTAGTGAGCACTAGCCCGTGATAGACTCTTTGAACAGAAGGACCAACACAAAAGCGACACCCCCTGGTTTCTGTTCCAGAACAATACTGGTGAAACCCGTCTCTGCGCCAAAATGTCCTCCTGGTCTCAAGCTCCATTTCAGTGAGGCCCAAGAAAGGAATCTTCACAGGTCAAGCCGCACACCCAGTCAAGACATGTATGGTCGCTCTCATCTGCCCATTGCCGAAACAGATGCTCGAAAACGGAGTTCAAGCATATTCATGGTCGAAAACACGAGCTCTGTCCGCATATGTGTCACCCATTCGAGCAGCCGACATGAGGCGACCAATTTGTTTGAGCCCTTCGTTGAGGTTCGGGAAGAACAGGCTCACCAGGAAAATCGAAAAGAGCTTCTTGCTCCTGCTAGAAAGTGCTAAAACTATAATGTTGACCCAGGATTAATAAACCCGTCCCACTATTAGGGGGGTGTTCCCTCCAAGAGTGATGAATCCAACCACGTACTAAAAAGGGACACCCCCCGATCAAAATCAACCAGGGGTTCTGCTTACTCCGGGGTTAACATTAAGAACACTCAGTTGTTCAGTGACCCTGGAAAAAAAGGGAACCCTTTTTGAGGAAGACCATTTTTAGTGGGGCCACCAAAAAAAAGTTGGAAAACGAATTGGTGCCACTGAAGAACTGAGAAAACTCTAAGAACAACAAGATCTCAGATTCCAGGCTGCTTTCCAGGCCTGAGACATTGGGACACCACCCGACTCCAACATAAAAAGGCCCTCGGCCTCGTTGGGATGGCTTGAGATTTGGGGCTTTCGAGCGTTCAGCGATGAGAAACATGACGTTAACGGGTCACCATCAAAACCCGGGTGACTGAACTTGGCTGGAATTAGGACCCCAGCAAAAAAATATCTTTTTTGCCTGGTTAGTGGAAAACAAAGGGGACCCCAAAAAAGAGCAAAAAAGCAAAAAGGGGAGCTAATTCTGGTGAAGTAAAATGGTCGTCCCAGAACCATGCTAGAAGTCAGAGGCCGTTCATCCGCAGCTCTTTGTGGCAAGGGGATTGTCCCTAACCTTCAACCCGAATTTCGGCTTTCAAGCATCGTTCATTTCAAAAACCGGCCCGTTCCCTGGGTTTCCGGTGGTTTGCTAGAAAGATGCGGATCCCTGGGTTTATGGAAATGGAAGCAACCCTCAGAAAAAGGGGTGTTCTGCTTGTTTGAGGGGAGCCTGTTTGCTGCGGTTCGGGGGAAAATCATAGGATAGAAGGAAGCTCGCCAGCTTTGAGGATTGCCATTGAGACGAAGCGAACATGAACCAATGTTGAGCCCTGGTTCAAAAAAAAAACCGGAAGTGCAGCAAAAAAAAAACACGGCAGTGCAGCAGCACCAGAGACAAATCGATCGGTCCCTCACGGACTCCAAGGGCATGGCCACGCTGCAGCTGAAGCCCTGCAGTCGCAGCAGCTGAGCTTCGCTGCAGGGCTCCCAAACCTGGCGAGAGACGTCTGAGACTCCACCCCGTTCGCCTGGAAAACCGCGGAAAACCACTCTTTTGCCTGGAAAACCGGTGTGGAGTGGCGGAAAAAACCACTCTTATTTGTCTGGAAAACCGGCGAAAACCTGTTGCCCACTCACTTGGCGAGTGACCAGCCCAAAAAAAAACTACACTTTTTGGGCTACCACTCAAATACACGGAAAGAGCCACCAAGGAAAAAAGTGTAAAGTGTGTCCACTGACTTTGGGGTGTCCACCCCTTTTGTCTGGAAAGGGGTTTGGATTTGCGCGCGTTTTTTGCGGATGTGGTCACCCTGCTGGAAAAAAAGGTTGGAGAGGCGTTCTTTTGATAATTTGGTCTGGAAAACCTTTTTTAATGCGCGCTTTTTGTGGGTTTCATCTGCCCTTCCTTTGTGTTGGTCCCTTCTTTTAGTCGCATCTTTCCACCTAGGCTTTGGTGTGTCCACCCTTTTGTCTGGAAGACGGGTTTGTTTGTTTTTTTGCGCGCGATCTTTTGTGGATTTCGTCTGTTCTTCCTCCTGTTGGTCCTGGTTCTTTTAGCTTCATCTTTTGGTACACTTTTGAGATTCTACAACCACATCCAAAAAACCATTCTCTAGATTTCGGAGGCATTGAAGTGGTCACTTTCTGGGAGGGGCGGACATGCTTGGCCACCAAATATGCTTTACCCACCCCAAACCTCAAATAAAAATGGGTGTCTCTTGAAATTGGAATCGGACCCCACAAAGTGGTGCACCATTTTCTTTTCGTGATCCTTAAGCTCAAACGAATACCTTTCGCCTCAAAGACGAGAGCCACCCATATCGCACTTCCAGGAGCTTTTTGTTTATGCACAGAAAAGTACAAAGACGTGTCATCCATATGTCGCCGTGGTCAAAACTCGTTGTATTGTGGCCTATGGTCATGGTTCCCTTCAAGCATCATCAGAATGGTTAAGGATACTTACCAATGTGGTCATCCTGCTAGCCTCAAGTAAAGGGCTCTCCTCATTTTGTCAGTGGATTGGCCAAAACCAGTCTGCACAGTTTCGTTGCCACTAGAATGGTCCAAGCCCAAAGAGTGACTAAAGTCCGAAACGGAACTCAGCGAGTGAGTCTTTCCTTGCTGGTTCTCAGCCGGGAATGAGAAACGCAATGTCCCCGAAGAGACCCATCCATCCTATGGTTTCTTTTCTTCCCAAACAAAAGCCACCTAAGCTAGCACCACCAGGTGAGGCAATGACCTTCATAAACCATACCTTGGTTTCCTTTAAGGGCCTACCTATCGCACCAGCAAGCTTTGTATATGTTCAGAAATGAACCCCTGCTATGAACCCCTATGGACTACCTCACCCTTAGTTCTGGCTTGATGGGAAATCAGCCCATAACTTGGTTGACGTTGGAAAGCTGTTAAGTGGGGATTTTCCACTAAACCACAATAAGCAAAAATGTAAAATATTTCCCAACAACGACCATGATAAAGGGTCCAAATTGGCCGTGGGTTGGTTTGCTTTCCGCATCTTTTGCTTCCGAGGCGCGGAGGTCGGGCCCAGCTGAGACCGCAGCACCACCTGGTCCCCGTCCCCGGACAGCGCCAGCGCCGCGTCGCGGAACCGCAGGCGCAGCACCTCGACGGCGACCGCTTGGGGGTGCCGTTTTGAGGAGACTCGGAGTCTCCAAGAATGGAGACTGCTCGGTTTTCTTTAGGAATCGGAGGATCGTGAAAAAAAAATGTGATTTTTACTCCGCGCCCCCAAAAAACGATATGTTTCTTGGTTTTCTTTAGGCATCGGAAGATCGGAAAAAGGTGCTTTGTCGCGGTTGTCCTTTGGTGACCCTTTAAAACCAACCAAAAGGGGTACAGTCCGGCACCAACTCCTTGTAGGCGAGGCACCCATTTGGGCCCGTCCATGGAAACACCCCCTTTGAAAGGACCGAAACCAACCCTTTGGGTATGTGTGGTTCTGTCCTTGCGGTTTGCCAAAGGGAAACTCCTTTCTTGGAACCCGAGAATCGGGCTCCCAAAAAGGCGCCCACACGTGGAAACCCAAAGTCTAGGTTGCTGCCAAACTTGCAACTGCCCCGATCTGTTCATGTTGCCGGAATCCGACTTTGTCACAAGGCAGGCCAAAGGCCCTGCTTGAACATCCAAGGAAAATACGGCGGGTGGGAGCTAAGATCCCCAAAGTGAGGCATCACCAAAAACGATCATGAGTCAGGCGGCCAAGTGTAGGGGCCCTTTTAGAGAAACGAATCCTATCTTTGGAAATGCTCATTGAAACAGAGGGAATGGTGTAGAAACTTCTTTGGAGGGAAATGTGACAAAATCCTCTGGAAGGGCGTTAAAAGGAAGAACTGGATGACGTGGCCGCCAAATTCCATGTATACGCATCTGAAACATCACCTCCCAGGAAGTTCCTTTGTAGTCGTGCAGGATCATCCAGCATCCCGGACGACTTTCCGGACACTTGGAAACATGGAGGAAAAAGCAGTGGGAGGCTCCGTAGAACCTGTTGTCCGTATGACCCGGCGGCTCTCTTGTGGTTTTGTTCTGCTACAAACACCCAAACAAAGTTCGGCGGGAACAAAGGTGGGAACCTATTTTTAACAACATCTACGATCACCTCGTCTCCTCCCCATCGCCTTCATTTACTCAAATGGGCATCTGAAACCGACGAGAAGTGTCTGATCTCAGGCAGGAAAAATGGTTCAATTGAGCTTGCCTGTTCGTATGTGGCGAGTCGTCAAAACAAGAGGTGTGTTTTTGGCGCAACCTTTGTGCAACATCTGCTGACTTGCTTACAACAGTGCGTTTAGTTTGTGGGCCAATTTGGGAAACGGCCTCGAATCGGGAACAACACATTAGCTGTGAGAATTTTGCTCTCCTGGGGGTGATGGTCATGGATCCCTTGATGCAGCTCTCAATAGACATCATTCCTTGAGGCGATCACGACCATGCCCCAAACACACACTTCAAGAAAAAGCATAGGCCACAAACAAGAAGGGGTGTTTCTTATTTCAGTCTACACCTGGGCCCTGCTGAACCCCAACATTACCAGGTTCTAGAGACACTTCACAAACCTTGGTATGGGTTTGCAAAATGCTTCTTCTTTTTTCAGCCCCCCCAAACCTAAAATGAGCAGAAACAAAAACATCAGACAAGTAAAACAACAAGCTTGATCCAGAAGAACGGTGAAGGTGACAGCTTCTAAAGAGGACTGGGCCTTTGGGCGCGTAGAACCAACCCATGTCACGTCAAGCAGCTGGGCTGTGGCCCAGGAAGAAGTCCACATCGAGGCGTGGCAGTTGCCTGAGGACCCTACCTGCAACCCCTGGTGAATCCGCGGGAGATCAAAGGTAAAAAGTGAGTAGCTGAAAAGCTCGTTGAAACCCAACCACTGAACCAGGAACCAAAGCTTCTGCTGAAACCCAGCCACTGAACCAAGAACCGAAAAGACGACTGGGAACCGAAAAGATGACGGGGAATCCCCGAGTGGGAGCGTAGGTGAACCAGTCCGCACCCTTTGGGAAAGGGGCCAGCCTCGAGCGGGAGACGTAACAGAAGGAACTCAGGCAGGTCCAAAAGATGGTTGCCACTACCCCAAACCGAGGCTATATTTCAAACGGGTCATATGGGATATACAGCAACTATAGAGTCACTTTTTGTTAGGGGCCCCTATATGCCAAGAAACCGCGGGTAGCTTCGGTTTGTGGGTAGTGGAACCCATCGTAGAAAGGGAACCGCTCGCGGCCTCCCCATTTTAGGCGACAGTAGGAAGCCCAATGGATCTATCAACCCGGGACAGGCCAGGCACAGGACCTGTGCCGCCGGACCGCTGGAGCTGTGCATGTGAAGCCTTACAAACAAACCGAAGAGCCCGAAAAGAGAAAGGCCAGGGTCCGAGTTCCGAAGTGTGCCACCGCGATGTGTGCCAACATCGCGCTTGCCAGCATGTAGATCTATAGATGCACGACTGCCCTTGCACCTCAAAAAACAGCAACGCGTGAAGCCGATCTGAGCATGGCCGCAGCGACCTTTGAAGGCCACAAAAGCGCCACCCCTCTAGGCCGGGGCTGGGTCGGTTACAAGTCTCTGCCATCACACTTGACATGGTCGCGAATTGAAGCAAAACTGACCATGCGTTGTCCATCCGGTTTCAACACCCAACCCATCCATAGTTGACCATGCTTGATCTCTAGACCTTCTCTCAGCCGACCTGGGCAGGACGCTGGTCTACCCTCTTGGTGAAAGAAATCGTGACCGGTTCCGAGACTTTTTCGATGGGGCCAAGATGAACCCCAACCAAAATGGGTCCAATTTGCATCTCGGACTGCGTTCGGCTTGTGGTGCTGGTTTCCTTTTGACATGACCCAGGCTTTGTCAGACATCTCCAGAGCCATACAGATTTCACCTCATGAGGGGGTGCCAAGCAATTCAGTGAACAACGTCAGCACCCATCGGATTACAACAAACTCCCCATTTTCTTGGTGGAACTCCAAACTTCGCGGCGCAAAGCCCTCAATGGCCAGTGGCTTCAAGCCATCCGCGCATCCCCGCTTTGCCAAAGCGGGAAAGCCGGCACCACGCCCCACGCCCATGTCACCACGAGAAAAAGGCTTCGGATTCATTTCGGTTTTTCAAAAATCCAAGATGCAGCATCAAGGAGAAGTGCCAGTAGCGCGGCGAGGACAGCTCGACTGGCCCAATTTGGACGTCTCGCTCGAGAATCAATCCGCGGATGGAGCAGTTGGGGGGGGCCCTGGGATCCTAACTCACTTCCGACGGAGTGGATTGGCCAGAAAAAGTCGAAACTGGTTGTTTACCACTAAACTGGCCCAAGCCCAAAAAGTATACGGTAAAGGCCAGAAACTCAAGAAGTGAGACCTAAACAGAGCGATTTCCCTGGGCTATCTAGCAGGTCTCAGCCTAGGCCC